GGCAGTGTTCTCTTTTTAAAGGCGAGGCCCCTACCATGGCTCCATCTAAACCCTGCAGCCCCTGTCCGTGTACTCGAGACCCTCGCTCCGACTGACCCTGCCAAGGGTGGAGCTTAAAATAAGGGTGGTACCTCGGGTTACCTACCCCTCGAGAAACAACATGGGGCTGAGTCGCACGAGAGGAGCCACCGGAGAGACCGACAGACAGTCGTCGAAACTGAAGTGCGAACCGCGCTGCCCGAGCTGCCTTCATGTTCCGTTTTAAACGTACACTCGGTCAAGTGCCCTAACAACTAAGAAGCTGGATCCCTTCGTCGTCGTTCTTGCGACGTTTTCCCTCTTTTGCCGTTCCTTAGCTTTTCTTCTCCGGTCCGGATCTCAATTTTTTTGCCGATCTCTTTCCGTTCCGCGAAATCTTCCACCCATCCACGGTGACCGAAAGTGCGCAAGAGTACCTCGCAAATCACCGGCCGGACGTTGTAGTTTATTTCATTTCGCTGTTTGGTTTGAAGTGAAGTGGTCATCCGGTGTTGTATCACTGTATCGCGGAAAGGGAGCTTGTACGGGATCAATATATACGGAACTCCGGCTTCAAAATGGCGCCGATGATAGAGAACCATACACGTGCGGCGGCCGCCATCTTGGCGAGCGATCCGTATATCGGAAGCTGGAGGCGCAGACAGACTCAGAAAGGTAACTAAAGATACTGTTTTCGAAGAGTTTTCATAAGTAAGGTGTATAGAGTTTCTTTGAGGTATTGGCCCTGAGTTTATTATGTTTCGTTGTAGGTGGTGTTAAATTAAATAACGATGGATTTTATGTGATCTTTGAGGAAAGTTACGCAAGTTAAGTGGAAAAGAAATGGAGGCATCTTGTGTTTTGGTTTTGGAGAGATGGGGAATTACAAACATTTGGATTAGAAGTGTCGAAAGCTATTTGTAACATTTGTGTTTCTCGCATCGTTAATAATTTAGGTTTTTTCCTTTCCGGCTTTAAGAGAAAACCAAATTATCTGAGATATGTTTTGATAGGATAATGAACTGGCTCGTGGCGTGTCTTATATTTGAGTGACATCGCTCTTGAATCCGGGTGAAAATGTGGTCAGATTTTGTTACAGTGATTAGGATTTGCGGTCAACTCGTAAAGTGTTTTTATTGTCTGCCTTTGTGTACGTACAATAGTGATTTTGTACGTCGGTTTAAGGGTTTTAGGATTATGAGGAGGTTCTTGACCTTTTAGCCCCTTTTGGCCTCAATAATGAAACTACATCTCATAATGACTATACCGCTGGTTACTTGTAATACGCAACTATGTCTGCGAGTATCCAATTTGCCATCCAGGAAGCCTTTGTTTACGAGGCAAGCTCGTGCAGCGTTTCCCTGTCGGAAGTTAGAACTGTATAAATTTCCTTTTGATTTAAGTAATCACATTTTATACACTAAAGACTACTTGCGATGACAATTTCATAAAAAGATGCTTTTCTGGGGGGTACTGAAAATTTGCATTGTTTTTCGAAGTAAGTTATAAATCCCGACAGTTAAAAATGTCGATACGACTTTCACGCTTTTTATGAAGTAAGTAAGTACCCAATAAAGAACGAAGTAGCGAAATTCACGTTTTATAATTATTAAAATATTATTCGATAACGTTATAAAATTAGTATACCGTGTCTGAACAAATTGTGCAATAAAAAGGTTATAAAATGATAATATTTTAAAAATAATGTAGAATTAATCCCTTGCCGTACGATCTCGATTGACACAGCGGGCCTAATTGTAAATGACGATTCCCATTCGCCAATATACTGCAAGGAATTAATATCAGTTTCACCGAAACCGAGAAAGGCACTGCGAGTAATTTCCTTTTCAATAGCGCTCCGATTATAATGAAAAAGAAACAAAGGGTGTTACCGCGCCGCCTTTTCGACAGACCAGTTATAATGCACTTCCAAAACGTAGCCATGTTTGCTAGCCAACGAGAGATAAAATGATAAAGATATATTAATAGTAATATTTTTCGCCGTTCCGGCCCAGTGCTTACACGATTTTACCGAGCGTGTAGATATTTTTTATTTTCGAAAACGCAATTAATTCACCATAATACGTGTAAATGAAACGCCGTCGTGTTGCAAAATGGCGGCGATTCGGAAGGCGCAAAACGTGTCAAACAAGACCTCCGTGAGAGCACACCTTGTCCCTTTTGTATCACGGTTCCGATCCTATGACACTTTTCTTCGCCCTTGCATATCTGTAACAGTAAAATCGAAAATCACATGCCTATAGCGGCGAAGTTGGACAGGGTAAAAAGACCACGGTCGGCCGCGCGCCTTTACCATCTTGCATGGTCTCACCTGGTGGGGTACCTGGTATTTTTATTCGCCATTGCATATCTGTAACAGGAAAAATGAAAATAAATAGAACCGAAACGTCATTGTTTCACGAAGACTCTCGATGAAGTAATCAGTAGTCTCGTGGAACGAAGCCCGCCTCCCTGGACCAATGGGAGGTAAGAAAGCGACGGCAATTACCGCGTCGACTCGATCTCGGAGTCGACGTCTTCCGGGAAACGAAAATGGGTGTTCCTAGCTGACTTCCGAGCAACTTCGCGCTCGTAGCGGCGCTTCCTGGTACCAGGAACACAATGCTTCCTCGCGGGCGTAGGGCACGACCGTTTCCCCGCGGTCACTCCACGCGAGGTTCGGGGCGTAGCGCAATCTAACCTAACCTGGTACAACCCTAAACTGACATAACCTAACGTAATGTAACGCAACGTATCGTCAATGCGGCGCGACTCGACCGCCCGCAAGCTGCCATCAAGGATCGCGGCTTTGCGCGCGCGTTTGCTTTTGTCGGTCCCTCGAAACAATGCGATCTTCGAGCGGCCATTGTCGCTGGGCGCGACAGTCGCGGTACGCCGCTGCGCCGAGGGCGCGTCGAGGGAAAAATGCATTATTCAAGGCGAATTTGCATTCGTGAGAAGTCTCGCGGACAGGCGGGCGCGTCGTTAGGATGCTCTCTTGCCGTCCTTTTAACGACGCCTTGCTCCCTTTGCCTTAAGGACCGGTAACGAGGACCTCGCGGGGTCGCCGGGGTCGACGTCGATCTCTGGATTTTCATCGCGTCGCCAGACTGGATTCATTTCAAATCCATTTTGTCACTTTTAAGAAAACATCCGAATTCCCCATTTCATCGCCCGTGGTTTATGGGGATATGTGTTTTATATCACTTTCTGCTTGATTCGGTTCGTAGAGGTATCTTTACATTAACGTTACTTTGATGCTGATACCGATAGTTACATGGCCATATGATCTTGTTGACGTTCGTGGGTCAGCGGTTCCATGAAAAGGGATTGCAGGGTAGATTTGATCTTCGATGCTCGCAAAGGAACTTCTAAATTTCGGACGTTGAAAAGTCTGGTAGGGAATATTGCTAGAAGTTTCTAAGTTCGAGTTCACAAATGTCCGTTTGACGTTTATGAACTGTCACCTTAGAGATAATTTTTCATTAGCGTTCGAAATGTAAAAGTTCATTTAAACGAACAGCGAGCGTCGGATGCAAATTTGGCAGTCTAGCAGACAATGTTACTAGAAGTTACTAGGTTCAAGCGTTCGCTTCGCTTCAATTATTTGGCACTTTTTAAGATGAGATTTACTAAAAAGTCCTTTTGCAGAAGACAGGAAAGCACGAGGCGTAAGCTGTAGCTAATTTACCTTGGACGTCGACAGGAATTGTTTTGTGTCGTATTCGCGTGGCATAACCGCGATCCGTATTATTGCGTTATTGATTTTACATACTAAGGTACACATAGGTACACAAATTAACGTGTGTACCTGCCTTGAACATATGAGGACTATATGTGGGCTTACGACTAAGTAAATGTTTACTATCTTGGGGCTCGATTAGCCTATAATAGTGTTTCTGCTGGCGCAAGCATTGTAACGATTTAGAACAGTAACTAAACAATCGTGACCATCCTGGATTACTTTCTCAATATTATTGTCTTTCTCATACGGGGTCCAGATTTGAAAATGGTCGACATTCAATTGTCTTAATTTCTATCTAAGAGAATTCAGCAAAATGTTCGCCCTGCTGGAAAGAGATCACAAATATTAATATAACAGGTAATTTTATGTGCGGTCCAGTTTTCGACAAATTCGTTGTTGCGTTACATGCAATATCATAAGAAAGAGGTGGATTAAGGGAGTTAGTACGTTCTGAAATGCGTTTTAATCCAAGAGAGGGTAAAAGAGAACAAAAGAATATAATGAACATTTGCTTTCGGGGTTGTTATGTTTTATATTTTATGAAGAATTTCATATGAAGAAGTTTAAAATGTTTCAAAATGGCGGACTTGCAGAGGCGGAAAATTTCTAACGTCTTTTTTTTTTCACGTTACAAATGAATCAAGGTGGACGATGAGTACAAAACAAAAAGTGAGGGAGATTTTGAAAACGATGAAAGATTATTTAAAAAACAGAGAGAACCAAAAATTTTCCGACGAAAATTTTGGTTCAAACGGTACCAATGATTAAAGAGCAAAAAGCAATGAAAAAGTAATTTTGTATTGGCTATTTTTTAACCAGAATCTGCGTTTCACCATCGAAAACCCGCACCATCGATTGTTAAATAATTTCCTCTAGATTCTAAGACCACCTTGGCTGTTTCTTTCAGACGTACCATTCTCCTGGAATCATGCATACCGTGAAAAAATAACATCACAAATACTTAGCCTCCGCAAGTCCACCATTCTGAAATATTTGAAAACTTTTTTCCCCTAAATTCTCCGTATAAGACATGAAATGAAACAGACCCGGAAGTGAATATTTCCTGTATCTTTTCTTTCTCTTTTAACTCAATTTGAAACGCATCTTACAGCCCTCTTATAATTTTTAACTCCTAACCCTCCTAAGAACCCCCCTTGAAGAACAATAAATAATAACAATGGGTACCAGTTGGAATTTAAAGAGTGTAATCGAGTTTGAATCGAATTTGGTGTTGCAGGCAGCAGTTCCCCCTCGGACACATTAGACCTGAGCTCGCAACCTCAGCTTCACAACAACACCGTCGGCGTCTTCGGCCTCGCGACATCCGGTCCCCAGGAAGTTGTGATGAAAGAGAAAAGCAAAAACGCGGCGCGGACGCGCCGCGAGAAGGAGAACACCGAATTCGTCGAGCTTGGGAATCTGCTACCACTTCCTCACTCCACCACCAAACAATTGGACAAAGCCAGCATAATCAGACTAACGACTAGCTACTTGAAGATGAGAGACGTGTTTCCGAACGGTAGGAATCGAACGTGCCAATCACCCGATATGATGTCCCGAATAATCGATTTGTCATTTTCCCTCTCCGACTCTTACATTTTTGCTGTTCATGTTTAAGGTGAAGTGAAATCCCCTTCAAATCAGTTGATTCGAATAGGACACTTTTTTTTAAGGATATTAGACCAAACTGTCCGAAACTTTGACACATCACTCCCGATCATCTAAGAATTGACCTGACACATTCAAAATTTGGATTTTTGGAAAACATTTCTTAACTTAGCCCAGACCAGAACCAAAATGGCGTCGAGCTCTCATATTTCGATCAATATACAATTATCGAAGGCTCTGATATGAGAATCGAAAGGGTTAGGACAATTTTACGACAATTTAGAACACTCTGGTAATCGATGAACTCGCATTTGAACGGGATAAAGGCAAAAAAAGTGTTGTATGCGCTTCTATGCTAAAACGATGGGAATACGAAGTCTCGGAGTGAAAATTTAATTGACCTGGAAGTCACAGATGGGGCAGGGGGTCCCTCTGCAGTCAATTAGGACCCCAGAAAGCATGAATTCAGTGGATTTCTGGAGTTTTATTTCGATTTCTTGATATTTATTGTACGAAAACGACAGGTGGAGTTTGCCATTTGGTACAATATCCAATATAATTCGACACAGCTGTCAATATAAAACGAACGTCGGCAACGTAGGCATTTAGAAAAATCTTCTTTATTGACGTACTCATTTTTCTACCAAATTCAACAAACTTCCAACATGATGTTACAAGATTACAAATTTATTCCGCAGTCTCTCATAAATGTATAAATCATTCACTTTTGAGACATGAAGTTTATCATTTTACCACAATCTTATGTAACAAAAGTGTATGAAAATTATGAATATTTTGAAGAGTGTAATATAAGCGTAAGTGGGAGGAAAGCAGAATCTCCGAGACAGGTCTGGATTTGCTCTCGTTTCCGTAATGGCCGATAATTCATCCCGAGTGGGGAGGGACCAGGCATGTTCTTCAGAGGGGATGCAGGGGTGTCGAGCCTTTTTCGAGAATAAAGACGCGGCGGTATTCTAGAGGGATGCAGCCACTTGAAATTCAATTCGCCGATGCCGAGGGGGCTATTGTAACACTATAACAGCCCCCATGCTTTGCTTACAAAGCACCAGAGCTAACAATGCATTAAGTGCGCAATCACTCCCATCTCATCCGATACTATTTGCCCTTTACGCGTAAAAGCGTCTAGTGCCTGAATTAACAAAGGACCTGTCTTCCACGGCCCCGAATTAAACGAAGAATCGGTTAAATTCTCGAATGACAATCCCCTCAAAGGGGAAGTCAAGATTTCAAGCAAAGTAGTTTTTCGTGACGAATTGAGAATGAAAACTTTTTAACCGAACGAACTCCCTATACCGTCGTTCGGGACATTCTTTATGTATACATTGCGACGTTAAAAAGAGAAGCGGTAAATGTACGCGTTTGTAATAACCTCTAAACAGTACGAGCAGTTAAGATGACGTCGAACGCGCAAAAGGATTATTAATTCATTTTTAAAACACCGCGATGGCTGTCATTAAATTTACAATACCGTAAATGAAAAGTAAGAAATGAATGATATATATAGATTTAATTGCGACATCCGAGATTAAGACACGATAAAGATTTGATTTTATGTTAAAAGTGCTTAAAGTCTTGATCATTTGTTCCTTTGACGTAATGAACCTGTCCTACGTCATTTCGTGTATTTATCTCCGATATTTCTAGTTCTTGCAATTTTAATAACTGCCAGCCCACACAGTCCGAAAAAAAAAAACCGTAACACCTCGAAAGAAAAAATCATACACGCGAAAGACTGACATGTATATTGTTTAGAATAATGCAAAGAGATAGTGATTAGATTTTCGTTTAATAAATTCTTGTAACTATCAACAATCGGTCGTAGTCTTCTTTCATTATGCTAAACAATTGGTGTGGTTGTCAGATATGCACAATTTCAATTTTTAGGAGTCGCGGTTTTTTGGCGAGCCATAAATATTACCTATATTTAATATCGATGCGGTATGGAAAATGATGTCGCAGTCGCTAGGATGATCGTTGCAGACCGAGAAACATTTAATTACTAACTATCGCCGAGAACCGTAGGCGTAAAAATTCTCTCGAAATGGCCGATAATAATAAAAATGGCAGGTTTGTAACTGGCCAGAGTACCCGAGGACCCAGGGTCAGAAATGTCGGGTTAACGGCTTAGGTGTTTAGGCTCCATCCGAAGTTAATTTAACGCCTTTCGGGGACCCCGACTCAAACCCGTGCAAATCTGTCTCGCCGAAAATTTCGAGATGCGTTTCGTTGGCTCCGAAAGTCGTCCCCCCGTTGGTCACGCCATCTAATCTCTCGTGACATTAGTCAATCCATAATGGTACGCACTTAGGTTCAACAAATTTATTTAAAAAATATACATGCACTTTACAATATCCACTCTGATAATCGAGAGGCGTTCGTTTGTTCCTACTTGACAATATTCACGTCATAACTCGACGTAGAATTTTCAACTTGAATACTCGTATCATCTGAATATTCGTATTAATGTTTGAGATATTGCAAAAACACCTTTTGTTTTGAAATTTTGCGTACTCTAGCTCTTGCGTTTTTTCCCTTTACTTACTTTCCCCTTCTGGCATTTTTTTCTTAAATTTATCTTCTCGGGCTCGTAATGAAAAATACATATTTCTTTACAACGTTACTTACTCGGTAACTCGGAAATGTCTATATTTTCTCTCCACATAATAAAGTACTTCAGAAGAAATTTTCGATCATAGGAAATCTTATTCTTAAGTGAGATAACAACGTTTTTCGACATTTCGTTAGCGTAAAATATCCGACTTGCTAAAAGAATCGCAATAAGTACCAATAAAAGTCGTGAAAGTCTAAGAATAACATATATTGTTTAGGATAGTGTAAAGAGATAGTGTTTCTATTTGGTTTAAAAATGCTTATAATCACCCAGATATGGTCATAGTCTCCTTTCGTTATGCTAAACAACATATTTCGTTATTAGATGTGTGCAATTGTGTTTTATATATGGTTTTTAAGTATTGCAGTTTTTGCGAGTAGTGTATTTTTTTTCACTTTTTTACGTCACGTGTTTGAAGTACATTATTATTCTCGTTAATTCGCGGACTGTCGATGACGAATGAAAGAATAAAAAAAGTAGGATTGGACTTTGTCAAAATGTAAAATGTTTGTATCCCGTCAATATCATTTTTGATGATTCTCGATGGGACCGTTCGATCGGTATCGATTTGGCAGGCGTTCTTTATCGAAATGTCCGATGTTTCTGAATCGAAAGAGGGTTCCATCGAGTGATCATCAGACAAGGCAGAAACGTGTCACGGAATACGTGGTAGAATAGTGGTCTGCACGTGTCCACCTTTCTTCTCGAAGAATAAATGTGCTCTCATATGTGTTTTTGTATGTGCTTAGACTACGATCAACCAAAGTTCTCGGAATATAAGATCGATCTTAACCCGAGACTGCACGTGGACAGTCTCGGAAATGTCAAAGCAACGAGGATTACGTAATGTGTCTTCGATGTTCGACCCTCGATAATAGTTTCCCGACGACTTAGAATGAATATTCATTTCCATTTAGTTCATTCCATTACTAATTCTACACGTACGTATTTCAAATTAATTGTATAGCCCTAATTTGTTCGCTTAAACCGCTCCGATATATAACTAACATAATACTTGAGATTTTATTTTCAGAATTTACAAAATTCATGCGCTTTCAGTTCATAAGGTTGTAATACCATTTTAAATTTGACGTTTTAATAGTTGATTATAGGTTTTTAAATAAATTCATAATCTTCGAACATTGTTTTATAACTTTGCGAAATTGTGTAGGAAAATTGATGACGTGTCGTATGTTACGATATCTACTCGTCGAAATTACGATATTCTATTTTTTTCTCGTAATTTTGGAGAACTATCGTCTGGGTATGATTTTCTTTTTCAAGTCGGTATGCAATTTTATTCCCACTGTTTTTCATCCGACAGAATCGAGATGGTGTTCCGGTTTATTCCAGAAATATCTGGCAGAGAGATTATTTCCATTCCTGGAATATGGATCATTGTCCTGTTCGAAGTTTGACCATAATGTTACGACGTTACTTATTTAATCAGGAAGTGAGTCACAAATGGATGCCCTTCCGTATTTTCGCTTTTGCGTTCTCGTTCCATCGTTCGAGGTTAAGATGTCAATGCCTTGCTGAAATTATAAACAATGACGATGATGTTCCTGTAAACACTAAACGAACCAATGACCTTGTTGCGAAGAACGACGTTGTCGCACCGTACAAGTAAAAGATAGCTCTGACATTTTCGAATGAGCCGCCATATGAAAAAAAAAAAAAAAAGGAGCAGAAAAAAATTGCTCCGAATGTTTTAATTTTATTTCCAATATATAACGCGGTAATGACAAATGCTGTTCTTTGTTGAAACTGTAATATTAATGCCAACATCCATTCGATATTAAAATAACATCCCGATTGTCCTCTTGTTAATTATTACATGGCTCGCTAAATAAGTACATCTGAAAATAAAAGTTGAGCATATGAGATGAGCATAGATGTCATTTATAATAATGAAAGAGGAGGCTATTAGCATATCTCAGGGATTATAAGTATCTTTTAAATCTAAGTACGTACATGTCTCTGATTTGCTCCATTTTTATTTTTACATCTTGCAACTTTTTTGGCGAGCGGTGCATTATTCATTTCGAGGACACTCAAAATTGCAGCGATTTTGTCGTTCAATTTCGCAAAAAAACACGTCCCGTCGATTTATTCAAAAGCTCTTGACAAGAAGTGCCGACGTAAATGGTTTCGATACGAGTTCTGGTAGAATCAATAGGGCGACAACGTTTTCAAAAAGTACATTTGCGTTTCATTCGTCGAGCCTACTGTATAAAGGAAAAAGGGGAAAAAGAGAAATGGCCACACATCGTTGCGGTTTTCGATGTTGAATTTCGGATGGGACAAGGTTGACTGAGAACAGAGGCGATTATCGAAAAAAAAAAGAACTAACTACCAGCCTCGAATAAAAATAATACTCCTTGCTACTCCTAAAATTAAGGGTAATACATTATAATGTCGCCTAGGATTAACGAAGCACTATTATTAAGTGAATTTTCCATAAGGCCCTGCACAGCTCAAAAGGAAACAACTTGTAAGTGTGGTTCCATAGGTGACGTGATTAATGCAAGAACACGAAGTCCTAGACTACGGGCTTAGTTACAGCAAGTACGAAAGATACCGGTAACACTTATCTCCTCGGGGTGATAAACAAAATAAACACCCTATTAGAAATATTTCTGTCAATTAATTTACTGAATGGTGCAGGCTATTTGGTAAGAAGTGAAAATAATGACGAGAAGCTCTGTTCAAGAAAAGAAAGTGCATAGATGAAAGTTAACCCTCCGAAAATATTTTTATATACAAGATTTTTTACCGTAAATGGAGCTTTAGATTTCATCTTGCAAGGATGAAACCCTCTAGGAATATTTTGTATAAAGGATATTTTAGTAAAGATTAAGATATAAATTTAACTCTAAAATAAAATATATGTTGCAGGTCTTGGAGATGAGTGGGGGGCGGTTCGACCACCAAACAATGCCCGAGAAACTGCAATCAGGGAATTAGGGTACCATCTATTGCAGGTAAGAATAAGCCTCGATTACACGTGTATCTCTGATGCAGGATAGCATAAATAGAGATTGAATAATTGGCAAATATGATTATTTTCCGATCGTCAATTTTCTGTTTATAGACTTTGGAAGGATTCATATTCGTGGTGGCTCCGAATGGGAAAATTATGTACATCAGCGAGACGGCCAGCGTACACTTGGGACTGTCCCAGGTCGGAGATATCCCCTCATTTATTGGATTATGCCTTCGCTTTATTTCGCTGTTGAATTTTAATCCTCGCTGTTTGTACGAAAGCGCGGGTCGATTAATTTCCCGCGATCGCGGGGCGTTGCGCGTTTTATACACAAAAATCCACGCCGGGTTACTCCTGGAACGAGGAATTCTTTTTTACGCAAACAGAACATCCATGGGTCATCTCCTCGACCTCGAATTTTTTTTGCGCTGACAATACTTCGGAAAGTAAGAATATTCAACGCGATAAGTGAGAAATTTGGAAAAGAAGTACAGTAACTTCATATGTATCATATGTTAACATCATTGTGCATGACAGCATTGTGAATTATACATTATGTATTATTCCCTGGACTCTTGCAATTTTTTTAGAATATCCTCGTTTTCGGACAATTACCGTTTATATGAATAATTTTGAGCGTATGGATCCACTGAACACTGCGACCTAGTTTTGATTTTGGATTTACCGACTTTAGACCTTCGGGAGTTCCGTCGATCTTTTGCAGCTCTTTCACTTAAAGAAGGCGCGGCGGGTTGACATGTTAATAAGTGAAATTTGGACGATTTCGATCTTTAGGTGGAAATGACGGGAAGCAGCATCTACGAATACCTTCATCCATGGGACAGAAACGAAATGTTGGCAGTTTTGAGTTTGGAACCACCCACGGATGGTTCCAGTGGAGGCACGAGCGTTCCTTTGCCTCCTCCGAACGCTCGAGGTGACATCGAATTAGAACGAGCTTTCTTCGTCAGAATGAAATGCAATCTCGCCAAAAGAAACGCTGGCCTGACTTCGGGAGGATTCAAGGTAAGGACATCATTTTTCACCCGGGATTAATTTCACATTCCGCCTACGTAAAAGAATTCCACATTAAAAAAAAACGTTACATGAAAGAATCATCGGGAATTATCATTGACCTTTTGACCTTTTCAACGAAGTAATTCTTTTATCAGTTGTGCATAATTTCTGCATTAACTATTTTAACTATATACATGTGATCTCAGACGCGGACATGTACTCATGCCCGGTTCCGCTAACCTCGGTCAAAAAGCTAATCCTCGATTACAACGAGTTGCACATTTCACCACATTTTAACGACGGGTTAATTTCCATTAACCGCCGTTTAGATTAACCAGCCAAATTCGATCGTTTATCTTCAGTTAATCGAACTTCAACCTAAAAGCTGCACAAACGTGAAAAAAACATGGATTAGATTAAGGATGTATTAACATTTTTTTATGACATTTTCTTCCTTGTCTTGACAAGGGCGCAACTATCTTGCTTTCTAGTCGATCGGAGTATCAGCCAATCACGCAAACGCGTTCAACTTACTTCGAATGGTGTATACGATTGGTTAATTGCGCTCTAAATAGATGTGGTGAAACATTTACGTTTTTAACCCATGATTAACTTAGACGTTAACTTTAACCTACAGTTAGGTAATGAATGATTTCACCGAGGTTGGAGGCGTGGTGGAACCGAATATACATTTTTTTTCTCTGCACAAAACTCTAATAAAAAGTGAGGTGGGCCGTTCTGGCGAGGGTAAAAACCGGAAAACCGATTATAGCTTTATGGGTTACATTGTGATGCAGCTTGTGCAGTATCGTGTCGGCACCATTAGAGGAGCAGAGTGAAAACTGGCAGAACTAGAGACACAAGCCGCTCGTGATTTAGCATAACAGAAGCCCTTGCCGGGGGAAATCGTAAAACGGATAAAAATCTCAATAATAAATAAAAGATAAGGCCAGCTAAGTAGAGGCGGCATTGTGCCGGTCACGCACGAATAGAGAAAAGAAAATGGCCATCAGGTAGAGACATGTTCCATCGGAATTCACGAGCCTATTGGGCAATAAAGAAAAGGTGCAGGTTGCAGTTTCGTTTGCAGCTTTCGCACGGAAACGTCACGTTTCTTCCTTTATTTCTCATACGTAGGAGGAGCCGTTTGTTTTCTGGAGTTTTTACAATGTAATAAATATATTACGACCTACGTCGATGAAAGAAGGGGAAACTCCAATTGGTTCATCAAGAGGCGTTTTTCCCTGAATTTACGTTTACGTTGAATTATATATTTTTTTTTTCTGTACTGTTAAAAATCTTCATAAGTTTCATACACTTTTAGTACACGAGGTTCTAGTAAATTTAGAAATTCAATATGGAATCGGTATACATATATTATAAATTTTAATATATAAATTTCCAGTCGTATAGCATAATTTTATAATTTTGTGAAATTCTGCAAGGAAGTTCACTTACTTAACTACTAAATTTATAACATACGTTGTGAATTTTATTTGAAAATTGTATAAAATTTCTATACCAGGTTTGACTAAAACTTCCAACAAAGTTGTTACAAAATTTCAATATTATCTTTTAAACGGGGCAAGTCATCGGAGTTGCTCGACGGATTTCGTCGTAACTGGCGTGAATTTCATACGTAAACATATCCCGCGTGCAATTACAGCGAACAAATGCATTAATCCCGTCGTTACCTTTGCGAGCAAGCTGTTCTATCCTTAATCGAGATATATTGCCCCGATTCGGGCATTTTCGGGGCACCCATGTTACCCCAAAATCGAGAAACCCTTCGGGCCTTGTGCCCGAATTATCGAGCATATGGTCACACACGCTGATTAGTACAATCGACCTGACTTGTGGTGAAAGAAGACACTCCCACACCGTTGTTTGTCAAACAAACTTGACGAGATCACGGTGACCAGAGCACCCTCTATGCACCGGTCGTCGTACGCATGCACCCCCAACAGCGTTAAGCAGTCTCCTGAATGCAACCCCTATAAGCTGTTAGCTGGCCAGGAGAGGGTAGTTTTTGCATGGCACTTGGGGTACAAAGCCGATCCAGTAGTTGGCTTTTCCTCGAGCCAGACGTAGGTGGGTGCACTTCGGAAATTATTATAGCTGCAAATCGTATGCACACCTTTATATGCACATGTAGCAGACATATCGGGTGAAGCATCCGAAATTACCACCTTGGCTCTTTAGTATTATCTGTGCCGTTAAAAATAGGTATTCATAAAATTCACATACCTATACTATACGAGGTTGTAGTAAAATGGTCGTTTTTACGACTTAAAAGTGAATTCATATACATTTATAATGTGTGGTATATTTCTAAGTAAGTTAAATTAAATTTATAATTTTAAGAAGTTGCGCGGGGAAATCGATACACTTGTGTTTACGAAACATGCTAATGAAACGTGAGTAAATTGGTACATCATGCTTGAATAGAACTTCCGATAAAGCGATATGAGATTATCATATATCTTTTTTTAACAGCGTGCAGGGAGACACGTACACTTAATGAAATCTTCATCGTTTCCGATGAAAACCTGCTGTCGTAAGTTTTGTACGGAACTTGATATTTTTCGGTATATATAAATTGTAATACAAGTCAGTATGAATCTAACTTGAGTATAATAATTACGTTTTGGACGATCCGTTCCAATATAAAAGAGTTGGGAAAGCAACGCTGATCAGGAGGCACGCCATCTTGTTAAATCCGACATCGTGGGTTGCGCTCCTGCTTTAAATCTCGATATCTCGTAAACCTTTCATTCAAAATACGTTTATTGTAGGTCGTTGGGCTCGCCTTCGGCTGCACTATAATTTTTGTGTGGGGGATGTTTGGATAAATATAATATTTCTGGTTAGAACGAAGGCGGCTCCTGTCGGCACTCCACCCGGTATACCGCGAGATGTGTCACTCGTGGAAGTCTCGATTGAAGTCGAGGCCGAGCGTACCCTTGGGACGCGAATTAATGTTTAATTTCTGACGAGCCTCCCTTAAAAGACACCGATGCAGCCGCGGGGTGCATACGTGTAGATTGTTACCGGCGAGGTGGATGCACACGCGATAGGTGGGTACCAACCAGGAGGCTATTTGCCTCGCAAATTCATCACTCGACGCACCTCCGCGGACTCGGCGGGTGCACTTTCTTTCATTGACTATTCAATTACACCGAGGAATTGTTAATTTGCTCGTTGTTTTACCCGCGTGCAAGGACCACCCTTGTGCCGGCTCGAGGGTTGCACTTGTGCGAATCAAGGGACGGATAGTTATGCACATGACACGGAACCTATATGAAGTCATTGGCAGTCGTGTCGTGTCAATCGACACACAATGGTAGCTTTGATGAATCTGCCGATAGCGAATTATTCACAGAATCCGCACGAACGAAATTGCTGGTGGCCCAGCAATTCTGGACAGCTCAAATATTATGCTTAACTCTCTTACACGGAGTGAAAGAAACACTTTCTAGAAAAAAAGACATTTTTTGGTTGGAACGGATCTTTATTGGGTACTATCGGTAAAATAAGATCGAATGAAATTGAAGCACTTTATATATGATACTCAATTATATTGAACTTAGCTTCACCAAATTTGTTTGAATCGTTATCGTTACATTTCTTGTGCGCGAACGTGTCAGAAAGGAAAGTTGGTTCGCTTCGAGAAGTGGAAGATTGTGCAGGAATTAATGATATTCTTGTAACAAATTAGAATTTAATATAATTAAATGGGTATTTCGTTCAGTGTATAACACGGGACTCTGAAAACACGGAGTGGATTTACGAGATTAAAAATCATAGTGTAATTTTATAACAACTTTTTGGAAGGTTAATTCGAATACGATAAAAAATTAATAATATTTTATCAACATATGTTATAATTTTAGTACGTAAGCGGATTGATTTTTCTGTTCAATCTCACAACATTATAACGTGTTGTTTTAAAATTATAAATCTATTGAGAAATGTATAATAAATACGTACTAATTCACATTTAAGACAGGATACTTATGACTTTACTATAACGTTATGTACTAAAAGTGCGTAAATTTAGTAAAGTAAGTAAATTTTACGGATATTTTTCACAAGAGATATTTTAATAGTTGACATTGGCCGGCATTTAATGATTGACCCTGAAATGGTTTGTCTGGAAATATTAAGATCAGCGTACTTTCGATTTTAAACGTGACAATTGATTTTTCGACCCATATGTACGTCGTGGGGCACGGTGACACGAATTCGAGGAGCCGAAATAAGTGACTTTGCCATAAACTATTCGTAAGATATCGCCATTCAAAGAATGGGTGGAATGCATATTGGAGAAGAAGAAATCCTAAGTCGCGGTAAGCGTTGCTCTTCTCTACTTTAAATCGTTGATACTTGCGAATAGTTCATAAAAGTTACTTATCCAAGGCCGTTGAATTCGTTTCAATTCGCTCTACAACTTTCCAATTAAACTTCTGTGAAACAAAGTGCGGTAATGCATAGAAGAGAAGATTGCTTAGCAATGCTGCTCATTACAACTCTATAAGTTTCGAATTTGTTCTATTTTCTGTTCTGTAGGTCATACATTGTTCGGGCTACCTCAAAGTGAAGCAGTACAATTTAGGTGGTGGTGTTGGTTCGGAATACGAAGAAGGAGGGGTTGGACTACAAAATGTTGGACTGGTGGCCGTTGGCCATTCTTTGCCATCGAGTGCCGTTACGGAGATCAAACTCCACAACAACATGTTCATGTTCCGAGCGTCGTTGGATTTGAAGCTCACGTATGCGGACCAGAGGTGAGGCATTTATGCGTTAACTATATTAATCGGGAATTTTTCGCGCCTGCGTGTGGCGGGTCCTGGATCGAGTAGTTGCGGGTGTGCCTAAGGGGTAGTTTTTGGACTCCAGAGAGCCGAGTCGGAATCAAAAAAACAGATTTCGAAAATTCTAATCGATGATCGATCTACCGATAAAAAGTTGATTGGGAATAAACGGCCGTGTAAGCGCTTCCTTGGCTCCCGTGCGAAGTCGAGTCAAAGTTTTACTAAAGTGAAAAGCCCCGAAACCGAAACTTTTTCTAAGCGAATCGAAGTTCTTCGAAGAACACCTATTCATTTGGAATTTTGAGGTGAAACTTTTTTAGCCGCGGTAAATACTGCTTGAGAGATTTAAATGAAACGAAAATGACGACTAGTATATTTCATATTCTCCTTTCGCTTATAGTTACTACTACAAGTGCATCCGAATTCATTTACTACACTGTTAAAAAAATTCATAAAATTCATGCTTCTTCAGTACATAAGGTTGCAGTAAAATTATGTGAAATTTTGTGAAATTGCGGAGAAAAATTATAAATTTGATATTCGAAAGTCAATTAGTACGCATTGTCTGCAAATTTTTTAGATGAATTTTTAATTCTATGATCGTTTATATAAGTTTATTTTTAAACAATTTTAATCGAAAGATGACAAGTATCGGTGGCACTGGCGGAGAAGCACCGCAGCGATATTCTTGAGTCCGAAAAATATTTAAATAATATTTAAAAAAATTCTTACGACCAATAGAAAACTCCGGGAGCGTCATGGACAACGTACCTGCTACTTTTCCGTGAGATCCGGGTTTAATACCTCGATAATTGCAAAAAGATTTTTTCGGCGTTTAAAGTAGGGCTGTCTCGAAAATCGTCCTCGAATGTGCCGAAACATATGTCAAATTTGTTTGTTTGCAGAATAAACGTTTAATGTCAAGTACCGATCACCACAAATTTATAAAAATNTTACACATATGTACTAAATTTATATGTTATACATTTTATTTGAAAATATGTTATAAAATTATAATATCTTTTATAACAGAGTAGGGTGTTGTATAAATTCGTTGCATTTTGCGAGTGAAATTATACAATCATGTCGTTTATCGTTACATGTAGCCACCCTTACAATTCCGGGCTAGGAGCGAACAATAGAGTTAACAATAGAATTAGAGAACAATAATCCATTACGGGTTCCATGTAGTGTACTTATTTTTAACGATAAATTTATCTTAACAATTAGTAACGATTCCACTGTATCGATTACAAAATTAGGAATGGCAATTGACATGTAAGATATTTAGCCAAACTATGGTCAAGAACATTTATATCATGTTCTAGTTATTATAAGCTTTTTATTTAATTTTTAGAACGCGATGAATTGCACGTGTTCGAAGAAAGGAATATTTTTGTTTGTCGATTTGTTGTAAAGTATCGTGCTTTGTCGAAATAATAATAGCCTTTTTATATTCCGACGCTAAAAAGTTTTACTCGAACGGTGCTTTTTCTGAGACTACGTCAACTCAGAGCTGCTGTGATTTTCGAGGTGGACGTATTTCGATATTGGGTTGCGGCGTTAATATTTCGTCGGGGGAATCGAAGTCAGGGGAGAAGACGATGGCCGGCCATTAAAATCAGTCTCGTGTTACAGGCGGCTAGGGTGTTCCGTTTCTTTTTTCCCCGTTTCTTTTTCGAGGCAAATAAATGTCGACTGTAAACGAACCCGCCGAAGCCTAACTGGGAACCATCAGGTGGCGCCGCGTCGTTTCAGTTCACAAAAGCAGCCAGGCATTGCCCTACTAAATGTTGGACACCGTTTCGTTTATTGTTTCAGAGCATCGGAATTGACCGGTTACGATGTTCAAGAACTGATCGAGAAAACGCTCTACCATTTCGTACACGGATGCGACGTCATGCACATGCGGTACGCTCATCAGATACGTAAGTATTAATTTAATCTTAATCCTTGGATAATTTTGGTTCCATGACAAAAGTTCTATCCTATTTGGAAAAAATAGTGCATTCGACCTTTCTACGGAGAAAATGCGATTTCAGTCATTTCTGCGATTAATTAAAGAAAGATAAATGTATTTGTCTACGTTTTCATACACCGAAAGGGTATTTTCAGGAATTAATCTAAATCCTTAGATAATTTTAATTCCCCTATTAATTTGTCTCATATAATGTGACACTATACATAGATATATACATCCACTTCGGAAAATGTACCACGAGGCAGAGTTTTTCTTTGACTCATGGTTCCGCTAACTAAGACAATCATTTCTTTATGCATATTCTGAAATTCTTTCCCCGTCAAGTTTCCTTAAAATAAGATGAATAATGAAAAGCGGAACGTACGTCCTCCCCTTCGCGTCCAGTCTCGTTGCTGCAGTCAGTATAGTACGTCTTCTAATTACTTCCCAAAGGGTACAGGTCCCTCGGAAATTGGGTCCCAGAGGTGCAAGTACCTCGTTATTAAGTCCGTCTCACAGCCGCCTCGCACTTGAGAAATGCTTGGCATAGGAAAACAGCTGACACTGCTTAACACCAGTACTTTGACATGAAGCCGCAAGCGGCCTTTGATCTTTCCTTTCAACGACAGCTCGGTGGATTAAGGAACGACATATTTTCCGATCTTTTCCACCTTCGTGCATCTACCTACAGTACCTAAGATACCCACACCGACTGCTTTATGTAGGTAAACTCGCGTACTTGTGCGCATACATGTACCTTCCGCAGTGGCGGGTCACGCGAGCAAGCGCGCTCGTTGAATGTTCGTGCATATATATACATATAACTCCTGTATGTACACCGGGTATGTATTATTGATTGAACAATGCCTGTACGACTTGGTGGATGCTCAGGGGAGGGATAGGACTCTGGTGAGGGAAATGACGAGACGCGGGGCGGGGAAAGGGGTGAAAGAGGAGGCTGTTACTGCTATCATTGTTTGAACAGACTCGCAGTTTCACGAGCGAAACGCAAAGGGAGGCTGACATAATCCCGCTAATGTTGTACCCCTGTGCCATGGCAGGATCCTTTCCACATTTTTCCCGGGCCTCTTCAGCGTGGAACTTTTCACCGAACTTAAAAATCCATCCAATCGAGATTATAAATATTTTTTCTTATTAAACTCTTTATGAGATTTAGATTTTTCCCGAGCGAACCCAAGGAATAAGTTAATTGAAAGTCATCGCGCTTAATTTGGAAAAAGAATACAAAGAGAATATGACCCTTTGAAAATGAACTTCCCGGGAGAAACTCAAAGGGAGGCTGACATCATCCCTCTAATGTTGTACCTCTGGGCAGAAACAGCATTCTTTTCACCTTTTTCCTGGGTTTCTTCGACGCAAAACTTCTGGCTAAACTTGAAAATCCATCCAATCGAGATCACGGACCCATCTTTATTAAATTCTCTGCGCGATTTAGATTTTTTTCGGAGCAAACCCAGAGAAGAAATTAATCGAAGATCATCCCACTTAATCTGGAAAAGGAAGACGAGGAGGGAAACGAGCTCTTGGACTATTTTCTAAGCACCATTAAGTAATTATTGGTTCCTTTTTGTTCCAGTGATATTCAAGGGTCAAGTGACGACAAGGTACTACAGGTTCTTGACCAAATCTGGGGGTTGGATCTGGATGCAATCGTATGCCACTATGGTTTACAATACCCGAAGTTCCAGGCGACACTGCATAGTTTCCGTGAACTATGTGCTCTCCGAACGAGAGGCAGCCGAATTGGTGCTCAACGAGGAGCAAACGTCGTCCTCGAGCTCGGGAAACCCACCTAGTGCACCTTTGTCCACTTGTACGCCCAGTAGCGTCAATAGCGACTTGGAGAACCACAGTCCGAGTTCACCGTATAAAAAGAGACAGATAATCGAGCCTCCGGATACGGAATACACAGATAGTTCAAGGTTCTCTAACTCGGACTACCTCTGCAGCAATGCCGATTATGCCCGATACATATGCTCTCCCTATACCAACCACAGCACCAACAGTGCTGCTCACGAAGATGGAACTTACTACCCTGCGGAAATGTTCTTCCAGTACGGAGGTAGGAATAGATTACAGCTATGAAATTTACAACACGATATAAATGTCTTGCTGGTAACAGTTGTGGTCATTCGAGGCGCAAAACGTAAACGAAGTAGCAGGACGCGAAATGAGATGGTTGTTTTAACATCTTCCAGGCATCCAACACGAGCCCTTGACCCCGTTGCAACAGCAGCAGCAACAACATCCCCATCTGGTTCATCATGCTAATTCGGTAGGCGCTGTGCAGCAACAACATAGTCCCCAGACTCAGCAAAAGAGGCCCTACTCTGCGTCCTCCAGTTCTGGCAGTTCGGATGCCTCGGAGTCCCATCTAGCCAGTCCACTAGGACTGCCTTCCCTTTCGGCAGGATACCATGCCCCACATCATCATCTTCTGGACACCAGCACTTCCCCGACCAACGTCAATGAGGCAAGTACTGTCATGTTTTCCAACTGCGGCTTCAACAACAACTCGTACAGTTCGCCCACCGTGAGTTTGGGGCACCATGAGACGTACTCGCCGCATTCTGGCCATCACGGAACGGGACATCTACAATCTCACCAGGTAGAACACCTGGAGACGCCAGGATATACGAGTGTAATCGTGGATTCCCAGCAGTATAGTCCTGGACACATCCAGCCGTTGCACGGCCATGCCCACGCGGCTGTCCCACCGACCGAGAAACCTCCTTTGGCTACTCATCAGCATCATCACGAGGCACATCACCAGTTCGTTCACTGACCCACGGCTGGGGTGATAACATAGCACAATGAAACCGTCGACGGTAGCGGTGCTTCATCAGCACTTGCTGCCACCAAAGAGACGAGTCGAATCGTTAGCTGGATAATCGGCCCGATTATCAATTGGACGATGAGTGGGATCGTCAGTCCAATCATCAGTTGGATGATCGGCTTTATCCTCAGAAAATAAGAGGTCGGATTCGGCTTGATGACGAGCGCAGATCTCAAAGGATCCGTCGGTGACGCATTACCACGAGGCTGGCCATCGGCGGATTCGAAATACGTAGGAGTGGTGATATCCGTGTGTTATGAAAATATGACGGATTAATTGGATTCCATAGTTCGGTCCAATCCTTTCCCTTTGAACGGTGTACCCATTCGGTGGCTCTGTCGTTTCGGGAGCTACAATATCCTGATAGCTAATATGGAAGTGACGTTACCATGACCCCAAACTGTAACTTCAACGCTGCTTGCGGTCTTGGACAATCACTAATCATGGACGTTAGGAGATGAATTAACCTGGTTGTATAAATGTTTCAGTAGACTCCTAACCCATACTCCAGGATCGATCTCATCGCTCTAATAGAAATGTAGTTGTTCGGTCAGATTCCAAGGAGATTAGGTGAACTCTTTTCGTTCTTGTCTGGTACCGAGTAGTTCCGTCATCATCATCGCCCCCGGACTTCTTAGCTAATTCTTCTTGCCTGGCACTAACTAAAGATAGCCATAGATAACTTAACTAAAGATGAACCTTTGTCGATACGTCGCTAAGTCGTTCGTTATCGGTATGTTGTTCTCCAATTGCACTCGATAATCATGTAGAAGAGACCGTTTCACCCTGGATTTGGTTGTTGTACGTCTTTCGGGTTATTACGGGTTAATTATTTCCAAACCAGGTTCGATTATTAGGTGATCAGTCCATGTCTCAGCTCCGTTGTGTGGCAAAGCATTAGCGACGTTTAAGTATCACGTGGAAATCGATCGTTGGTGCGTTAGCTGGTTAATTGACATACTGTCGATAGGTCATCCTAATTTCATCAAATGAAACGACCAGCTGAGCATTGATGATGGCGCTCTGTTCATCCATCACAAAAAACGAAGAGCAGGCAAAAATTCAATCAAATCCCAATAAACTCTTGAATTCCAGTGTTCGGATTCCTCTTTGAAGGATTTCCACTTCCATATGCAGCAATCAACGACATTTCCCAGTTGGACAGGACTTGCAGTCTCTGTCACGTTGCCAAAGCTCTTTACAAGCCCAAGTATAGTAACATCTGAGGCCGTCGCATCCCAGTTAAAGACCTTGTCATTATAATTTATTCCATGGCGTTATTATAAACGTGTACATACGTTTGTTTGATATACCGTAACGTGGCGATGGCGATACTTTGATTAAATCCGGAGTGCATTACTTTGCACTTTTTCGTCATTTTCCGGGTAACCGGGATCGATTTCTCAGGGAGGAAAAAATATGGGAAGTCGAACGTCGCGTTAAGTATTTTTCTACTAAGTATTACATATTTATCGAAATTCTAGGAGTCGTTGTAAGGTCGGAGGGGAATATCGATTACTACGGTGAATCGGGATTCTAACGAGAGCTGGTCCCATTTGTAGATATATTTATTCGTTCACCCTTTTTGCAATTGTATCGGAATCTATTAATTTCATAATTCTCAATTTCTCTAAGGAACACCATGTAATTTTAGACGGTACAATCGGTGTGGTCGAAGAGAACATTATTGTGTCAACACAGGTGTCCATGTATGTGCAGATTACGTTTTCATGACCAGGAAAGATCATGAGGATTCTATGTTTTTTTTTTGTTTTTCATTTTTCACTAAGGAACTTGTCATCAAAAAGTACATAATTCAGTTGTTTAAGGTGTTTTAAATATTACACGAAAAATCTGGCTCACGGTTGAAAAGTGATATTGGCAATTTACTGGATAGGACGGCAAAGATTGCGATTACTCTTAGAAGTACCGCTCCTCTTGACTTCCCAGTTACGCGTTAAGTATCAGCTTATTTAAGCATTTAGTTTAATTAACTGTCTTGTCAAGCGCGTTAAATGTCTCCGATAGCTGAAGGGAGATGCGAAGTATCGCGTTTTTTGTTTCCTAGCACTTGGGCATCACGGTCGATTGCGTAATTAGAGCCCGAACTCGACTTGCACCGAGGGTGTACGGAGCCTGTTCGTCCCACCCTCCGAGAACGCCTCGGGGTAACACAAATTGCTGTAAACGAGCAGGCTCGTAGTTGAATCGAATCGGCGAGAAGAAGAGACATCCGACCAATTTTTGTTCCTTGCGAAGAAGAAAACGTCTCACGAAATTCAGTTTTGTTCGCATTCAGAGACAGCGGAATTTCAAAGACGAAAAACCTTAATAAAAGTTCACCGGAAATTGAACGGTTGATCGAAGAAATTGTTGTTTCAAGTCGATCGTCGGTCGGAGAAAGTGCATGTTTCCTTTTCGCCCGAAGTTATGTACACCGGAGCCCAAAAAATTGTTGTTGATCTCGCGCTGGTCGCGGGACCAACTTGCATGTTGTTCATAATATTAATAAGAGTGCAAGCGACGCTGTTAAAAATGTTTACGCGAGGGTGCCACAGGAAGTGAGGAACTACTTGGATATTTTTTATGCAGTTGCACGTTGTACTCTTTTGCGACTTTTCCTTCCGTTCCTCGAGGTGTATAAAATTCATCAAATCGGCTGTCGCGAGTTTGACCGACTCGACGCGACAAAAGTTCGTTCACGTTGAATTTCCTAACCTTCGGCCAATAGAATATCCAAAATGTATTAAATTGCGAGACATTTTTAACAGTGCACGGTCGAATATACGAGGTACTCCGCGAAAGAGTACCCGTAAATTGCGAAATCGCGGACAGGTTCGCTGCAATTGTAAATAACGAGAATTCTCGGCACTCGCCCAAATGGCGAATTTCGCAGATATGTAAATAACGTAGTTCCATGAATTAATTAGTTTATTTAGGCAACGACGACACAACGTGTACATATTATATCCTTGAATAGATCCGAAGACTGACCGGTGCTTGTGCCAACCGACCAAAGATATGCCGTTTTAATAATAATGATAATAATAATAATATTGATAATAATAAAAAGAAGAAGATGAGGTAATTATTATATTTTTATCCGCGTTTATTTAATGAACAGTTAGTATACGGGAGAGGCGCTGAGGACGTGAGTAAATGACGTATCCAAATATTATACCAGACGACGACCATAGAATATTTTAATATAAAGTATCTAGTGATATCACATTCTTGTCACATCCTCTCTTGCCATCGCGGACGAATCATGCGCTAGTAATAATAGAAAAATGCCACGAATAACTTGAGAATGCGAATTCGCGCGAAAGGAACTCGCGTTTATGTATTGAAACTATTTATGTTAACGCAAAGTACGAGAGTATGACAATTCATTTAGTACGGAAAAATTATGATACGAGGACCTTATTACTTAAGTTGTGTACATATTGTAAAGTTGCGATGCACAGTAGATGCCTATATATATACATATATAGGCCATATATATATGTATATATATATAGTGAAAATATATCCTATTCTCCTCTGATGTTACGTTGATTCGTTCTCTCTGATCAGTGCATAATTATAAACAATCTTCGAATGTATCAGATAATTCATTTCTTTGGCTAGAATACCATATTCATTATTCTTGAAATCCTGATGGTGGAAGACATTTTCGAATATATTGAGCAATCATTTCTTTAACACTGGGGGTAAAACTGTAGACTTCGGATATATAGATTCCGAGCATTTAATCACTCCCTTGTTATTTTTGTGACTGTAGCGAGAATAAAAGAAAGCGAACAAGGGACGATCCTTTCCCTCCTTCTCTGTTGCTGTGAGATAGCCTGTCGCCATATTGCGTTGCGCTGTTTTCCACATCAGAGGAAAGGAGAGAGAAAGAGGGTGTCCCCTGTTCTCTGTCTTTCAAAGTTGCTGCCGTCGCAGTCGGATCAGCGACGACGATTTCCTTCTTTGATTTCATCAAGAAACTCGGTAGAGCTGCGCGCCAAATACATTTAACAGCATGCACGAACGGCATATGATAAACAGCAATGCGAATCGGTAACAACTAACGTTCGGCCTTAAAATTGTGACAATGTTTCGGGGATTTTCCACGACTTCCAGTGATTTCTGCTTGCGATTTCAAGCTGATTTCCACCTAATTTCGAGCATTAAAATCCATGATTTCCTAAGTGAATAACCCCTCGGTCGGATCGGCGTTCAAGGTCCACGGGTGAAACCATCTTGAAAGTCTTCACGTTTTTGAACCTAATTTTTTTAATTGCCATAAACTTAATGCAAATATTTTCACGGCCTATATTCCCCACCGATGGAGATTTTACAATTTGGTCCGTAATTTGAATAAGTCCGGTCGCATGCAAAAAAAAACAAATTAAAGTATCATTCTCCGTAAAGAGTTCGTTCGAATCACTTTCAAGTTTTGGTTAACACGTTCCGTGCCACGTGTACCACCGATAATACGCGTTAACCCGGGGTGGTACACGGCGTGGCACGGAACGTGTTAATAATTCCAAGTGTATCCGAATGCAGGTCCATCGGTGCTTCGAAAGGCATCAAGAGTAGCAAATGGGCGGTCACTTTGGACAGGCCATGAAAGCCCGGTTGCGCCAGTGTCCGGAACATCTGTACAAAATGTACTTATTGTTAGGACAATATACAACAGGTACTTGACCAATGGTCGGCTGGTGTTTGGGCCCCCGATGTCCCCCGATTCAAAGAAACCATTTAGCACCTAGCCCACCCGCGGCAACCTGTCAGGGTTTCCTTCCGCAGGGGATTCCCCGACAAGCTGGGGATAATTCCCCCTGCAGGTATCCCACAGAAGTGACAACCCTCTTAAAAGACCGACTTTACAATTTGTTGACGGGGAACATTTTCGGCGCGGGTTCCGCGCGTCATCAAATTCTAGGAAGATCGAGTCATATAACTCTCGAGCCCATTCTCTTGACATTTCCATATATCGCAGCGAAAGAGCACCGACGAAGGTCCATTTTTCACTTTAACCCCTTGCCCTCCCAATTATTGAGATGTCGATTGCCGATGTCGAGTCACACTCGACAAAGGAGTACAAAGGGTCAAAGACAGAAGGAGATGGTCTCTGCAGCCTCAATTGCGAAATTAAAAGCATTTCACGTCATTTACATCGGTAGGAAATGTTTCGGTCACGTAGTTTCTTCATTTTTCGCACGTAGCGCTCGCATCGTTGGATCACCGAAAATATGAGATCCTGGATCCCGATTCTGGGGTCACTTTCCGTGGAACCGATCATTGGCGCTACGTCTCCTTGTCCTACTTCGTGATCATGTCCACAAAGACAACGTCTCCGATTCACGCGATTTGCATCGCACGTGAAACTCGTGACGTAAAGTACCTCGGAATTGACTGTAATAAATACGGTAAATTACCTGAGATATTTCGCTTACCCAACCCTAGGCAAATCCGGGCGCCGGTTACTTTACCACAGGATCACTTCTCCACTCCACAGGATCGTTCGGCAGCTCCGGGGGACCGCTTCGGCCGCACGCGCTGATCCGGGGGAAGTCCCGCGAGAACAACAGGATCCGTCTCTCGCGGGGACTTATTTGTCGCTCAGCCGAACAATGCGTTAATTGTTCCCGGGCCGACTCGGAGACCTCGTGGCGTCGCGTGCTTCCCCGCATGGGGCTTTTCGCGGAGACACGTGTCTCCCTGGATTCGCACAGGAGGACAGAGGCCCGCCATTGTGCCGGGGAAAACGCAGCGACAATCGCAGGTCTGCCGCTGGGTGTAACGAGCGTACACGAGGCAAACGGAGCCCCATTAACGTGCCACGGATCGGATATGTCGACTCTATGCTCCTTCTATGCCGGTTGTGTGCTGGCTTCGTGTTCTGGGCACCTCGGGGTGGCTCCAGGGTGGCTCCAGGGTGGCTCCAGGGTGGTTGTAGGGCGGACCCGAGGCGGCCGCGTGCCCCTTGTTAAATTCTTCGGCCAGGGCAAATTGTGCCCGTGATTCTGCGAAATTGTGCGATCACTCATTAACTCGGGACAATCGTCAAAGGGTCGGATCATGGAGACGCGATGTTTGGATGCCCGCTGCGGCAACTTGCCCTCGAATTACGGACTCAAAGACGCGACAAGGACTATGAATTTTGTTAAGGGCTGCCTCCGAATTAAAACTGTCATTGGGCTCTTGGGGAGGGCATTACCACCTGGAATTTAATGCGATACGAGGTATTACTTGATGCGAAATCGAGAAACGTGACTCAGCGAGGAATTTTTCCGAAAATCTATCGTTCATTCGGGTGATATGAAAAGGTCATTCTAGATATATAAAACGTCAAAATATTTATAACTTTTCTCTAAACTGGGTGCGCGGAATCATTTGAAGCTTCAGCGCGTGATTATGTGGGCCCTGAGAAAGAACGCGATGGTCGTAAAATTTCATTTTTGAGAAAAAAAAATGTGATTTTGGTACCAGTCTGGGATAAATAAAAACGTGTGAAAAATGAAATTTCACGAGCATCGCCTTCTTTTTTAGGGTCCCTATAATTACGTTCTGACGTTTCAAATGATTCGGTGCACTCAGTTCGGAGAAAAGTTTCATAAATATTTTCACATTTTGATATATAGAATGTTCGTATCACCTTAAAGTCGCTTGAACAAGGTGTCGGGGGAAATGAGCCGAACGTGAACATTTTTTCCTGTGCATATCGCCTGGGCAAATCGACCGATCGTACTTTTCTGGATGTCAAGTTAAAAGTCTTCGAGCCTGAAGGGAGTGGTTTTTTTAAGCAAAGGGTAGAGTCCCTGTTATAGTGCGGACTGCAGGTGATTGCCATGGTCGCGGCGCGGGATTTTGTTTCTTTTCGCGCTGGCCGCTCGTAAAAATATGAGACCCTCGAAAGGCTTTAAGTTTTATATGTCCCCGGGCTGTGAGCCAACTACGCCGTCCCGTGTACGGGAGTATTGTGTAAGAGACTGACCGAGAAAATAATGAGACTGCGTACAGTCGTGGACAAATGCTGCGCCTAACGAACAGCCGTAGACGCTTTTACGAAGATATTTGAAATGAATTAAGCGCGTCGAATTTTTAAATTAATGCGAAGTCCACGAAACTGCTCCGGGATATCCGTTGCCTTCTTATGATTCTTGATTGGCATATAAACTACCAAGAAAATCTAATAATTACCTCTAACGTTTCTCGGATAGATTACAAATACCTAAAAGGTTGTGAAATTCTTGTATTAATCCTCGATACAGTGATATTGATGATAATAACGGTATCTCGAAATGTTATTAGTATAATACAGGCGGTACATTGATTACATTTGTCGGGGTATAATCGTGAAATGCAACAAGCGACATTTCTCTTGAGATGTATCGTGAAAGTTACAATTAAGGGGGCCGTTTCTTTCTTTGGTAAAGGGCAAAGCAAACATTCCCAATATATTCGGTGCATAAACATTCGCATAGTGCAGTGCTGTGTGTTAGTTAAGGCAGCTAACGAATTCCGCTGACAGTATATGCCCTCGTTCGTTTGCGAGCGAGAAACCTTGCAGATTATTTTATACAGCGTTCATAATTTTCCCCTCCGCAAAATTCGGACCGTAAAAGTTGATGCCAGCCGTTACTTGCGTGTTTTAACGTTTTCCACGTTCCACATAATATGGCGATTATTTTCGCAATTTGTTTATCTCCAGAGACCCGAAAAAGGGGCATTACGATAAAGTTCTGTTGATACTGTAAATTATTTTCCAATTTAATGACTACGTATAAAAAAGAACCTTATTGAACTTTAAGCACGCAATTAAAATAAAGCAAAATCAATAACGTATTTACTAACTTGCCATGGGATCTATTGATCTAATGCGTTCGTAAAAAATGCATGTACACTTATTTCACTTCTTAACCTGTATAACACAATTTTATACAGAATCAGGGGATATCGCTACTTTTACATGGTGCCTGATTTTTTCAAAGTGCCTTCAACAATAGATTTCACTTTAAGTCTACATATTGTATAACTTTTAATTAAAAACGCGATCAGCACAGGCAATATAATGCAGTGGCGATGATCGAGTGACGGTTTATATACATATATTTATTGGCAACATTTTTCTCCTGGATTATGTGATTTACGATGAGATCATCCAACCCCTGACAAAGACTCGGAGCATAATTTACACTGGAACTACGATGCACTTATGTGAGCAAACCCCTGTAGGAATTACGCGTAATGCTTGTGGTTCCCCGTAGAATGATACATATATGNATATTGCCCCTTTAATGGCGCCACGTATAGGCCATGAAACCGTTCGCTATTCGAGGCGATTGAGAAAACAATCGCGGATTTTAGGGGCTCCGGCTTAACTAAACACTCGACAGGTTGCGTGCCCTGTAGAAACACTTACTGTAAATTACGCAGTGTACACGCCTGATCGGCATACGCTTTTTCGTTTGCCCTGAATTCGATGGATTTGCTTGTGTAAATTTAATCAAACGTTCACTCGACCCTACGAGTGATGGAAAAATATCTGCGAATAAAGCCAGGCTCTTTGGCTCATTGTCGGTCGTTTTTTACGGGGGAACGAAAGATTACAAAACGATTACGTCGAGTTCATCGAGTCCGGAAAATTACAATTAAATTATGAACATAACAACGAAAATCTGTACATTTAAACGAAATACACATTCTCTATATCATATTTATACCGATGTCCAACTATTCCGGACACGAATGAAGAATTATTTATGAAAAAGAATATGCCAATGAAGTTTTGTTTTCTAATGCTCGAATACATCAGGTCGCAGAAAATAATCTGGATTGTTTAACAAATTTCCTTAAAGAATGCTGGCACTTGTTCATAACGACGAATATACATGTTTATATGGAACGTTATTTAAAAGATTTTTGAATCTTCTTACTAGCGAGAAGCCGAAAGGTGAATATGCCCTTAAAGAACCGCAACGTTTAAAAGCTCGTGCAATTATTCAGATACGGACCAAATTATTTATTTATTTTTATATGTATTTATTTATTTAGAAATGTTGCTTCCGAGAAGCTGAAAGTCCTCCGCACTCGGACATCAGGTCCATTATGCCAAGTTTAAAAATTCCTGCATTTATTCAGGTACGTACCGATTTATTTATTTATAAATTTAATTGGCGCACCATTATCCGCTCTTATCTCGCTTCTATCGGTGAGCTCTATCACTAAGCGCATTTTCGTGAAATTTAGTCAAAGTTTGGTCAGTTCGGTAAAGTCTATAGAAGGCGCTTAAGCCACCGAGAAAATGCACTTGTTTATAACGACGCGATAGAACCGTTTATGTGGAACCCTGTTTAAACAATTTTTGAACTCCTTTACCAGCAAGAAGTCAAAAGTCCCTGTGCACGCAGACGCCAGATCCATTATGCGACGTTTAAAAGCTTGTGTATTTACTCAGGTATGTATCGACTTATTTATTTATAAACGTTAATTGCCACGCCGTTATCCTTTCTTAAGGAGCCTCCGTCGGTAGGGTCTAACGCGAGGCGTGTTTCCCTGAAATTAGGCAAAGTCTCAGCAAAGTCTGGTCAAAGTCTCGATAAAGTCTAGGCACGGCAGGAGGCGCCTAAGCCACCGGGAAACCTGAAGAAGGTGGAGTTAGCTCGGCGGGGTCGATCGTGGGAGAATACGTGTGCGCCTCGTCGCGATATGTACCGCGGAAAAGGGGCGTGCTTATGTAGCCCGTATATCCGGTGTGCGTGTATCCGGTGTTCGCGGTATGGGTTGGTCGCGAGGTGGGGTCGTTGTGTGCGCAATCAAGGTGCAGCGCGGGGTGCTTTAGGAGAGTCGGCCGGTAACCAGGGATACGGCACGCAACGCCGCCCACAACCCTCCGGCTGTCTTGTCCGATGTGTTTGCTCGATGATTTTATACCAATTACGGCCTATCCCGGGCGCTACCACACTCTTCCGCGTCCTCGTGTATCGACGCGCTCCCGGTTGTCAGGTATATCTACGTATGCCCTCACACGGTCGCACAGACTGCTGCTTGCCTGGCGAGAGCGCCCTCCCGACTGTGGCGCCCCTGCCGGACACCGTTCGGACTATTAACCTACGGACGAGCGTCCCCACTTTCCCTGGCCGACCTAGAGAGACGCGTTTTCGGATCCAAGCCCCGCCCCGTCGACCAACGAGGGGGAGATTTGACCGCGATGAGGAGTACTATTAAATAAATCGAGATCGCGCGGATGAATTATGTAACCGTGTTGAGCGTAAAATTTGTACGATGCTTGGTAGGTTTCAGAATGTTCGGTGCGGACGATACATGGTCCGTAAGGGTAAAAATGAATGAACTCCGCCAAAAATGTTTGTCACATTTTTTAATTCCTCTTAGATGCTTTATGACTATGTTGCTACCTGTGGTGAAGCATTTAACCAAGATTTATGCCATTCAATTAGTTTCATCGTGTTTCGATAGACTAATTGATGATTTCTAAGTACAAATAGGAATTTCTTTATTTTTTCTGTAAAAATTTACAGACCTTATGTCATTACGAGGATACGTAATTTTATCTTGTAAATATGATTTCTTTTCCATTTACCAATCTAGTATTTGTTTTTAATAGTTTACTTCATAACTGTTTTATCTTCTACTCTTCACTATTGCTCTTTTGCGTATAAATGTTCTGAATTATGTAATTTTTACGTGTCTTTGATTAAAAAATGTGACCGGCTGCATTTTTGTATCAAGGTTTGGCATCAAAATTTTGTGTCTAAGACGCTAGTGTTGACGATCAAACGTCTAGTTACATACATGTTTGATATAACATTTTTACGATGTTCCACGACTAAGGCCTTAAAACGCGGAGAAAGACTTTGCTCTAGATGACCTGGTTAAAGTTTGCATTACTTCGATTAAGCAATTCAGGGAAAAACATTTTGTCTAATTTAACGCTGCAGATTAAATTTGCATGTAATGACTAGACATGACTAATAATTTCGCACCTACACTGCGCTTATAAGGCTTCCTTGTATGCAATTCTGTATGTATTTGGCGCGAAACTCTACTGAATTTCTTAATGAGGGGACTGATGCTAGAGATATTACGTCGATTAATAGTAGGTAGGCAAAAAAGAGGAAGGATACAAATGATGAATTAAAAAATGTACGATGTGATTTTGAAAATTATTTGGATAGAGTAAATTAAACGGAAAGGATTACTCGAGGAAAGGTGGATTTTCGCAAATGAACGTGCAATTCTGTTAAAAGATGGCATTTCCATGCTACTCGGAGAAAATGAATTTACTTCATTTAGATTTATATCACTTTATTATTACACGCTGCGACTATATTTTACGAGGTGACCTCATGATAACGTAGACATCTTTGGTTGATTGTGCACAAATACAGTTCTCGAGGAAACTTGATTAGAACGAGATAACAAGTGACAAATGACGCACTCTTAAGTAGTGTACAAACCCAACACGAAGTAATGATTTTTCTAGAGAGAAATACATATACATTGTCACAGTAATGTTACTTGTTATACTTTTAGTTGATGTAGACTGACATTTTTATGTATGAGCTTGACATGTTCTTATAACAATTACATTATTTTGTTATGGTTTGTTAATTTTGCGTCAGGTATGCTTAAACTGAGCGAAAAATTTGCTTTCTAGACAAAATTAATTACTTGTAGTAATCTCGATATTTCTTGCTGAAGAAATTTCTTTTCTGGCTCCAGTAAAGTTGATTTGTAAGAATTATGAGTGTTGCAACCCAAACGATGGTAAGTTAATATGAAGTGGAGATGATTTTGCGAAAAGAACTTCATGTACAAAATTGGTCTCAGATATTGAGAATATTAATGATTATATAACATATTGTATAGAATGTTGTGTTGGACTCAAATAATCTAGTGCTGGATACGAAAAAATTATCAATGGCAAATAATTGTTATTTGAAATTCATGCAAGAACCAGTTCACCAGTAACTGTCAGAGGTTTGAGAAGAAACATTAGACACGCTGATAATTCTAATAAATTCTAGTTTGTTATAAGATTAATTCAATGTCTTTCATCCTTTGAAATGAATATATTTCTTTCTAATACGATTGTGCACAAAAAATGTAACGATAATAAAACAAACTGAATTGATGAAGCTGATCTTAAGAAAACTGAGTATTGTTTGTAATTTGCTTTAAGTTCATTTGATCTTATTTTGTTGATAGTAGCCAATAAAGAATTATTCGGCGCAAGAATCTTTTTTTTTTTCTGAAAAATGATTTTTTTGCTCAGTGTACAGGCACGTCTATGAACTTATAACTATCCCCATATAACAGTCGTAAACTCTAGTAGTAATATTTAAAAATATTAGCAGTACATTTTACTCAAGTTTCACGTACAATAAGTATCGTTCATACATTACAATGTATAACAAAATTATTTTATATGTGATTATCGGTATATGTTACTGGGTTGATTCACTGAGGAATGGTTAATGTATTAACAAATGCAAAGGAAGTTTTCGTTCAATTCGTTCTCCTAATAATTTGACGTGTTCTCCGTATAGATCTACAAAAAATTGCTAAGCAGTCTCCAATGACAATTAAATTAAATAGCCATGACTAAAGAATTTCAAATATAATGCCAACAACTTAAATTTTAAATCTCCAAACCCGTTTACTCATTATCTATTGTCAATAAATTCGTGAAAATCTCTATTTTCCCTGTTCTTTGTTTTCGAAAATAACGTTAATTGTAACAGATTTGAATTCTCAGATTATGTCCTTAGCGACATCTTACAGTAGCGGCAGAAACTACGCTGTAGATTTCTCCTTACCACAACACGATAATGTCGCTTTCTACGATTGCATATTTTTTTTTTAAATATAATTATTATTTCCTGCCATCAGGCATGCTTTTAATGTTTTCATACGTTAATAGTTTCTTAGTTCGATAGTATACCAATTATAAATAACACTAGTAAGGTACACTATGTAGTATTTCTTAAACATAATATATACTTAAAATAAATTGCTAATTAACATCCATCAACGATATTGTACTGCGAGAAGAAACTTATATACAAACGCTTAAAGGTCGTTCCATGAATTATAGCGTTTAAGGTAGACGATCAAATACTACAAAATGATATATTGCTCCGTTGTGACTTTGAATCTCGTCGTTCTTACTCCACGTACCGAATTTGCGGAATTACTAGTGATTCCATATTGACTTGCGACGTCGTAAGTGAAGACACTTGCAGATCCTATTTAGTCATACTTCTAACTATTGGCTAGATTTCATTAAAATTTCGATCGGGCCTCTTGATACACTCCATACTCCTTTTTAGCTCCAGGATTATCTCCATTCATACGTTCCGAGCCACTGTACATCGAAAATCCACGCCTTGAAAGCTCTTCGCCAGGAACGATGGTGGGGTTCGTGTAGCAAAATTCCGCCATCATGTTCGTCTGCCTCCTCAGTTGGTTGGATCTACACATTTCAATAATTTTAATGTAACCCATGAAACGCTAATTCCTATCCTGGGTTTTTTCTTCAGATGCAACAGTGAACTAAATTCCTAGGTGTCTAGAGTTAACCCTGAAATAGTAATTAACTACTTACAAGTACAGATAAAGGGGAAGCTTTTACTTTAGAGACATTTCAACATTGCTCCGGCTGTATATAGAGGAGCTTAGTTGATAGGGTGCAATGAGCGAGCAAACATTGGAAGTACAGTGAGAAATAAGAAGAACTTAGGATAACTATTTAAGGAACTTAGGTAGTGTGTCGGTTAGTGAATGTATTCTGTTAAAAAAATATCGTAATTTTATAACATTTCTGTTAAAACTTTGATTCAAGCACGGTATACTAATTTTATGACCTGTTTTAAAATAAATGTATAAAACATGTTATACATTTCGTAAATAAGTATTAAATCTCCTGGATAATTTCACGGAATTATAACATGAACGTATTAATGTGATACATTTATTTAAAAATTTATAGTGATCGTATACTAATTAACGTTTAAAGCGTCAAATTTGTAAGTCTACCGCAACCTCATGTACTAAAAGTGTAGGAATTTTATGAATATTTTTAACAGCGTATAGTTAGTGTATAGAACCGACTCAGCTCAATTGTGGACTTAAATTTATTCAACCTTATATATTATTTTATATGATATTACCTCAGCAGGATATTTTACTAGTTACACGACTGACAAATTACTTCAATTAATCATGGCGTATTCATAACTGACGCGTAAATCCTCGAAAGGACTAATGCAGCTGAAAGATCTTCCGGGATACAGTGAAGATACGATATCTTCCGACGGCCGACATTACTAATGTGATGAGTCACGATATGACGACACGATCGAAGGTAAGTACCCTTATCTTTTATCTCGATCACGAAAAACAAGAGTAAGAGAAGAAATTAGTACTCAAAAGATACCATTACACTCGCTTAAAATGAAATGTAACGGTAAATCGTAACTGCTGAATTATTCATTCAATATAACCCTAGTAGCATGGAATAATTTCTAAATGTTTGTTTGTAATCTTTGCTAAATATCTCAAGCGACAGATTTTTTAAGATTTCTTGTAGATTTCATTCGAAGATATCCGAAATATTTGTTGAAAATCTCAATGACATATTTAGTATCGAAAATTTATAAACATATATAGAAATTATATTTTTTAATTTATGAACACGTAATAAAAAATACATTTTTTTTTTTCACGACTATTATCGGACACTTCATTTGGTATCAAAAAACAGGAGAAATTTTTGTAATATCTTCGTTCCGCTAATTCATTATGGGAGCAAAACGTGTGATTTTGATTTTAAATATTTTTAAAACCTTTATAATGTATTCGACTGATAATATTAAAAAAAAAATACTTGTATTAAAAGGAAACAAAATGTTTTGTGTATCTGGTAAAAAAATATTTTGAAAACACGTGGTCCTACACTATTCGTATACAAGAATAAACTATTTTTACGTGTATAGATATAAAAGTAAACACTGCATGTTAAATTCTTAATTAAGTAATATTACATTAATAAGCGCGGCAATATTGTTTCTGCATTTGGGCGGCCAACGACCCAGGAACTGCCCTGAAAAAGGACATGCATTAGAATGAACAGTACGTCCGATGATTTTTCGAAAATTACTGACAGTTACTGGTAAACTCATTCTTGGATCAACTTCTGCTAATATTTAATTGCCATTAATAATTTGTTATATTAAGTACTAAATTGTTTGAGTAGAGTAGAACATATTATCCAAAAAGTAACAGGTATAACTTTCATTAATATTATCATTACTTGAGACCAATTTTGTTACATGAAATCCTTTTTGCAGAATAATTTCCACTTAATAATAATTAATCGTTATTTGGGTTGCAACATTGATGGTTTTTACAAAATTACTTCTGCAGTAGTCTAGAAATTTTGCTTACAAGAAATATTTAGATTTTCGCAAGTAATTAATCTCGTCTAGAAAATAAATCAGTGCAAGCGCGCAATTGGTCTCGTTAGCTAAAAATAGTACTTATTGTTTGTTTCCATTTTCGGCCCGGTAAAATCAAACTTATAGAGCTCAGTGTTGACTATGCGCTAATTTTTCGAAGGACTGCCATTTTTCACATTTCTTTTTTTTTTTTCAGGTCTCTACTTACCCATCAGCGACAAGTCCATTAACCTTGACAAACAAAATGCCCACGAGGATGAAAAGCAGTAACAAGCTGGCAGCTGCAATTCCACAGGCGATGTAAAAGTACAGTGTCAAGTCATCGAGATTATCCTGTAAAGTACCGATCAAACAGGTTTTAAGGTTGTTTGGTATGTAATAGCTGTATTCAGGGAGAAATTAGAATCAAGCAAAGCCCCGGTATCGATGACCTTCCTTCGAGAAATAATTGGAGTGGCGGTAAGAGCGCTTTTAAAATCGGCCTTCTACTAGCTCTACGGGCTAATGTCAGAAGATATTTATATTGCTTCCGCGAGAATATCGAACGACCGTGTTCCTGGAGGAAATTCCGCTCCATAATGACGGATGTTACAAGACTAGGTAATATTTCTCCCGATCATACAATTATTTACGAGGCAAGCAACGATAGATACGCCTCGTCCTCGATCGAGTTGTGCAAAGATGATTAAATCAAGACCTTAACACGTTACTTTACGCTTTTACGGTCTTTACTATACTAAGTGCAACGGGATTTAACCGAGTTGTTATTAAAACTATTTCCTACCGGTAATTCCACCCTTATATCGTTAGAAAACATTTCAGAACATTTCTGTTGGATGTTTTGTGCCGACACGGTATTCTAATTTTGTAACATATTCTCAAATAATATGATATGAATTTATAGCATACGTTATAAATATAGCATATAGATGTGTTAATTTTTCTACACAATTTTACAAAATTACAACTGGATATTATAAAATTGTAGATTTATTTTAAACATTTTTTATCGTAAAAATTTTAACAGTTTTATACTAATTCACGTCTGAGACATCAAATTTGTAATTTTACTACAACTTTGTGTACCAAAAGTATATGAATTTTTTTTAACATTTGTAACAATGTATTATTAATCAGACACCTAATGAGTATTCCCGTTTTACTAGATTAGACTACCAAATTGAATCTCTTGCTCTGCACATCGAGTCAAGGCAATCATTTATTACCGGGACAAATTCCCGAGGGCCCTCCAAGCTATCATTAAAAGTGACTCTGAAGATGAAACTGTTCAAAGCATACAAGAAATCTACACCCAAATCTGTCGTAGAGGTAAGACAGCAATCGCAAATTGGATCCCTTGACATAAAAACATTGCAGGAAACGAAATGGCAGACAAACTCGCAAGATTTGCAACCCTCATTAAAAAATTTGGAAACAACCAACCATTATCTCTAAATGACGCGAAAAGCTACTTCCGGAAAGTAACATCTAAAAAGTGGAAAGACAAATGCAAATCACTGTGTATCATGGTAAGACCCATCCAATCCTCAAACAAAATATACACCATCCAACTTGGAATTACCTGCCTCGTCTTCATCAAGTTGCATTAACAAGAGCAATAATTGGTCATTAAAAGCTCACTCATAACCATCTAATTCTATAAACAAATCCAATGCATTGTGATGAATGTAACAGCCAAATAACGGTACAACACATTACCTCTGAATGTAAAAAATATTAACCAGCAAGAGAAAATTTCAGATTACAAAACTTAATTACCAAACCTTAATTATCCAATCCTCAAACAAAATATACACCATCCAACTTGGAATGACCTGCCTCGTCTTCATCAAGTTGCATTAACAAGAGCAATAATTGGTCATTCAAAGCTCACTCATAACCATCTAATTCTAAAAACAAATCCAATGCATTGTGTAACAGCCAAATAACGGTACAACACATTACCTCTGAATGTAAAAAATATTAACCAGCAAGAGAAAGCTTCAGATTACAAAACTTAATTACCAAGACTCTCGGTGACCCACAAGAAGTTAACAAAACATTAATGTTCCTAATAGCCATTAGCCTCTTACGCGAATTGTAAAACCTAACCATCACTATTTACTCACCTACACGATTTATTTAAGCCAACGGTGCGTCGCTAATAACCAGAGCGGTTAATGCGACGTTAAATAATAATAATAAAAAAAAAATTACCGAGGGATTTCTTTTACCGTCGCGTTCTGGTTATTCACTCACGTTGTCTCCGCTCTAACTCGCGCTACGTCTAGAAAGAGATTTTCACCTTAAATTTCAAAAGTCACTGATGTCATCCTACACGCTGAAAAACATTTGGTTGAGTCAATAAAAGAGTTACCTATTCAACCAAAGATTACGGTTATTATATGGCCAACCAAACATTTAGTTGATATGTAAAAATTCCTTGATCGGTAACTTATACTCGATTCATTAAATATCGTTGTAGATTTCGCCAAATATTCAAGTAATTCGATACACTTAGCCAAAACATTTGATTCGTTGGCTAAAACATTTCTTACAATTAACAAAACGATTTAACCGAAACTCTTTAATTATTCGAAGCGACTGAGTTTGGCCAAGTGAACTAAAATTCGGTTCGCTCAACCAGAACGTTTTCTGCAATCAACCAAATGCAATCGATCGAACGATTTAGTTCATTGAACAATTTTCTTTTTCTGCGTGTACGCTGAACAATAAGGGGTCTCTGCTCTGTAACGTTTACACGTAAAAGTACCTCCAGCAAATTCTTCCAACTTTATATCCCGAGAATGCAAGAATGTGGGAAGGATCTCCGGCTATTGCTACGCACGGCTGCTCTGCACTTCCTCAAATATTTCGCAAGGTGTATTTAACTTCGGTGTCCACACACCGTATGAAGGCTACTTCGTAGGTAGCACAGGTTTTTCCTCTAGAAAGAATCTCGTGTAGGAAGTGTGCGGTATGTTTGATATGATGTTTCATCGAGATGTTTCCTCGTATGTCCGATATGCCGTATAAGAGTGACGTGCGACATACGCACATAATTTATAGAAATGTACGTAATGTAAATTAAATAACGTCATTCAAGATGATCTTATCATTACTATTACTGTTATAACGATTGTCATCATCGTCAATGTATTAATATCGTTTACAATGATTTAGGTATCATCATTATTACCGTTATATTCATTACCATCATTATCATCCTTTCCTCAATTATGACAGTAAATTATGGTACATTATGTTCACACCGTTAAAAAAATATTGTACTTTTATAACCTTTTAATTATATATTTTATGCCCACAGGTTACACATTAATAACATGTATTATAAGCTTGATACTCAAAGGCATTGATTCTCCCATATAATTTCGCAAAAGTATAACACGATATTATAAAATGATTAATCCATTCAGAAATGTATAATAACTGTACTCTGATTTGCTTTTAACAAACTTGTGTACTAAAAGCGTATGAATTTTAGAAATATTTCTAACGGTACAAGTTATGTACTATTCCTCTCGTGGTAATAATTTTAAATTTTCGTTCTCTAATTTACAATGTCATACCGATACGTAGGGTCTATTTGACCAAATAGAAAAGTGGGGTTTATCGGTTAGTCCAGGCATTCTTTTTAATTCAATTTTGAACAACTTGGAAAGCCGATTCATTCCCCATTGTGCTAAGTAATATCTTTTAAATAACCGTAAGCGATATTTTTATTTTCATGGTTGTATTCTATAAAAGGTGTTGTTTGCTGGTGACGTTTTTCGAGGTAGTTACATACGACACGTACCGATAGCAGAATGTTTTTCTCTCTCAAGGCAGACTCGATCCGCAACGTGCAACGTCGCATAAACTTGGCTCGACAAATAAGCGGCGTGCTAATCGGGAGACGCGATTGGTACGATGCAGAATTGAACCATTCGATGAATCTGTCACACTTTGCGACTCTACCGGAACAAAAGTAATAAAAGGAGCAATTAAAATATTTACTGTTAACCTTTTGAAAATGGAGCTGGTAACTCAAACAAGCTGTTCGTAAAATATAATAACAATAGACCGCTTGCTTATACTGTTAATCGTTCGACCAAAACAAATCACTACTTTGTTATTTTAAAAGTGGTCGTTAGTATTTTTCTACCCGTTCAATTGCACAGATCGTGTTCTAAAAGTATTCAATTGCAATAACTTGCTTATCGTAGATATTTTACACGTCAAGGTATGGAGTCGATATCGTAGTACGTGGAAAGGTCTCCTGATTCATGAATATTTAATAAAATTGTACCGAAGAGTTTTGGTGATACGGCCCGAAATTAATTAACGGAATTGATTTTATTAACCCACCTAAAGTTTTGCGTCTTTGTATATGGTGGCTTTACATTTTTTTATACTCTTAGCGTCCTGTTGATTGTAATAAAAATTTGAGCGCAATAAATTGCGTATTTTTAAAATGTGTACCGTTTTACAGATGACTTACTAAATATTCTAAAAATAATCTTTTGACTTTAGACATCCTAATCATACTATTAAAGTCAGAAAAAAGACTAAAGCATCGTCTATTCATCCTGTTGTTATGAAATTGATATACCCTTTAAATATACAAATAGTATCTGAAGCATGCAGACCCAAGGAAATGAAAATGATCTTCCCAGGGATGAAACTAATAAATTTGATGATACTAATAATTGTTAGACTACTTAAATTCGTATAATTATATTTATTTGATATTTCAAGCCCTATTTCATAGTTACATAAATAAATGTTGTCCATAATTAAATTGTTTTATTCTTATACAAAAATTTGTCCCGCTAAGTTCCCAAAATATTAATATATGCGTCGATTTAATAGTTTAAAGAGCTTTACTTTAAAAATATAGAAATAATATCATCCGATTTGAAATAGTTTAGAAGGCAAAAGATATATTAGAAGGCGTGTTACACTTATTACTGGGGAATCATTAAGACGTGTACTTAGCACTCGTTATAATTTGATTATTGCAACGCGAATGCGTAATACCGAGGCCATTGTTGTGTCCGTGTCTATTATTCTTCAGACTTGCGACTAAATTCACGGCCTTACAGCGAAAGAATAACAGACACGGTTAAACAATGAAATGGGCTGATCACTGATATGGTATCAATATCCTCGTTATTGGCTAAGATTACTTGTCGCAGCGTGTACCTGTACAGGTGCACTTGGATATCTTTCGAAAGAACATCGGATATAGGTGTGCGCTTATTTCATATATATATTTGTTTTTAATACCCTGGCCTATTCTATTTTATTTTAATATTTTTCCATAGAATTACGTCTTCGTTCTTGCTCCGTATAAGGTGCCATTTCCGGTCAATTGGTAAAACGAAAAAGCGTCAGCTATAAACCCGTAGATCGTTGCTCATCTAAGTGAAGCAGAAAACTAATTGTCTTAATTTAAGAAGGAAGAGTACCCATTCGCGGCAAAAAACAATATCATACAAATTTGGTACAAGTTAATATTTTCGATCGAGTGAAAAGGACCCAATCCTTTCATATTTTTTCCCCATTAAGACATCTTTATCGGTACTTACCATAATAATGAATTACAAATATCCACTATACTTCATCGGCGTTGCATCAAGTCTTCAATTCGCTAAGTTCACGTCAAGATGGTGCCATTATAGATCTACCAACATATCCAAGTTGTATCCCGAAGTTCACAGAACTGACCGATTCTTTCTTATCCACCAAATCGGCGATTCAATCGTATCGAGTGCCAATCAAGTACAATCACGTATAAACCAGCGCAGTTTATCAGGACTTTACGTCCACAAGAACAGCTAATTCTATTGGGCTGATGCATAAGTAATGGCATTTTTAACACGTAACGTAACGTGTAAAAAAACGCCATTACTTATACATCAACCTAACAGATCCAGGAAATCCTTCAATTCCCAAAATAAGTTATCACAAGCCGTAATAACGTGACACTCTACCGCTTAATTTCTCTTCGTTAAACTTCTAATTACCCTTACAGGCTTCTCTCGATTAACAGCGCCGATTCCGGGGATGAGAGAGCGAGTCTCAAATTAACATAACAAAGAACACATGTCGTACGCACTTGTGCTCACGGTACGTTAACGCCGGTTGTCTAGTGTACGAAGAGTACGTCTTATTCAGCGGGGTTTTCACGAGATAATTTGCGTACAGGTACGCACATAACAGGTGGATGTCTAAGCGAGCACTAAACTCACCGAAGTCAGGTAAAGTGTGTTACAGTGCCAGCTAAGCAATGCTCAATGCTGATAAGCCCCTCCAGCGCGCAATGAGTATGTGCGCGTACACACCGTCGCGTCCTCGCCGAGGGTACCGAGTCGCGATTGTAAAAGTGCGAGGTACGCACCTATGTACACACTTAAGATGTTTATGTACCCTCGTCGGTACTTGGCGAGGGCCCATTAGTTGTGGATAAGCGAATTGTCTTGTCGCGTTAGGCAGTCTGGACACTACGCGAAGAGAAACTCACGTAAGTCGGAGGATGTATATAATTGTCCGGCTAGGTGTGTATTCGTACATATGTAAGGTAGGCGAGGTAAATAATCAGCAGCCGAGTTGGGACAATAGTAATTGCGATAGTGGCAATAATTGCATTTGTAGTGGAAAGGTCCTTTGGTGGATTTTTGTAAATGAATCGTATTTAGTTAATATATATATACACACATATATGTACGTATGCTTTAGTTTATTTATAAACTGTTATATTCGTACCGTAAAGGCAGTCTCAAGTTGAAATAATAACAATTGATAGTAATAGTAATTGCATTTCTGGAGGATAGGTTCATTAGTGGATTTTCGCAAATGAATCGTTTTTATTTATATGAATATTAGGATATAGATGTGTATATTCAGTCATTAATTCATTATAAACTGTATATACCCGTACAGAAATGTTAAACAGTCTGAAGTCCAGTTTTGCCAATATGGATTACTACCTTACAAATATACATGTTTTAAATTTCTATATTTATTTAGAGGTACTGTTGCCAATGTTTTTGTTTTTGCATTTGTAGAAGGAAGTTAAAATTAAAATACACAACAACAAGGTGTGATGCATGGACATACAAACAACAAAAATATGACTTCAGATGCTGCATCTTAGCTGTGTTAATAGCCAGTCCATTGGCATTGTTACTAGAAGATAATAACATACGAGTTGTAGTTACGACGGCAAGGGTAAGGATATTTTTAGTTCCTGATGCCATTCCTTACTATTTCCGCGAATGATTGGCATGAAAGAACGAGGAAATAGCATCCATTAGAGTGCATTGAATTTGAATTGAAATAAAAAGTGACACAATAGTACCATCAGTTCCTCTTAGATATTTCCAAATTCTTTTTAGTGTTTATCCATAAAGAACGATCATTAATGTAAGTATAGGTTTTATTATAAATTTATGTAAAATATACAACTGAGTAAATATATACAAATTACAGATTAAGCATCTCTTATTTCTTTGGAATTTATATGTAGTTATCCTACATGTTGTATAGAATAAATAATTCTAGATATCTTTTAGTACCAGTTATGAAATATAAGGTCCCTTGCTCATATAATATATATATATATATATAGAATATTTAAATTTTGGCTTTGAGTTATACCATGAAAGTCATTGTCGAGTACTCACCGGTCTTGCCAGGTACCATGTACATTAACCAAGCAAGAATGTAAGGAAAAGCCATGCTTGTGCACAAATAGATTGGGTAAGGAATTGGCTTAGTCGACCCTATAGGACAGAACCACATGCCTCTTCTAGTTGCATCTCGTATGTGGTGGCTTAAGAAGCCAGCTAAAATTATCCACGCATAATCATTTGTATTGGGTAAATTATACATTATAGAGATCGATAGAAGGAACAGCCAGATTATTATAGGTAGCGTCGAACAGTGAAGAAATGGCCTTCTTTCCAAGTGCGTTGCATCCTGCAAATATAAAAAGATCTCATTAATAAATTGGTCGAGTAAAATTTTGCCACTGAAAAGCCAAATACAATTATTATAACAAATACATTATTTAAAATTACTTGTAGTCTCAAAAAATTCTGAAAGTAGTGGGGCCCTGTTATTTCTACATCTTTCAATTGTTTAATCTTGTTATTTCAAGATATGACATGTCCACAAAATTACTTAAAGTTAAATAATTGTTCCATATTCTGCAAGATTTGAGTACAAGTCTTATGAAGTAACACAAATTCCTCTATTACAGAGTTAAGAGCTAATCGAAGTAAAGCTGATAGTAATATGGCCCGAGTAAGTATAAAATTAATTATGACAGTTAGACTTCTAGATATCATTTGAATCTCCTACTCAGAAATTACAACATATTTTGTTTTACATTTCCCCATTATGTATATTTCAATTTAAATATACCCGTTGCACTAGATTATAAAGATTAATAATTTTATTTTTATGTAATTAAACCTTACACAGGAACAAAGCTCCTTTAATTCAATGAATTTCTATATTATATTTTCTTACAATTTTACTATATGTTCTATGCAATAAATTACATTTGTACAGATGCAAATGAAACTTCCATTTATATCGCACTGACAAAACATTTGGCATTTCCCCTTCATTCGTGTACTTGTATAACACTTATAGAATATGCAGCAAAGAGAAACATTTCTCAACAATTGCTTTTTCTTCTAGACAATTTTACAAAGTTTAAAATGTTTAGATTGTTAATCAATTTTCTTACATGTAGTTTCCAACTTCTTGCCACAATAAAATGATCTAAGTCAACAAACGAAGACACAAGGAAGCAGGACAGAATCCTAAAAATATTTTGCGATAAAGATTTTTTTGACAAAATTACTATCAACGACCATGAAAGACCGCCAACAATCGCGTGTGTCAAGTTGTCAGAAATCGCGCGTAGCGCTTGATTCTTTCCATTTTTTAAAATCTGGTCACCAACATATGAGCAAATGCTTATCGAACTTGTCAACAATACACGCAAAATCACGTCCCTTCTGGAGAAAAACATTTTGAAAGTATGTTTATAGACACATGCCTACACCACGTCATGTTTTATTGTCACGTGTGATAGAATAGTCTTATATACAGGTTGGAAACTCCGCAAAATTTTGGGTGATGAGGAACGAGTCATTTCGTAGCTAGTAAGGAAACCTTGGTCGCCAGAGTCGCTGCGATCTAAGTATTGCAAATCTAACTTCAATGAAAATGTTTTCGGTATTCGTAACCAAATGAAGTTTAATTAAAAAATTCGTAATAGTTTAAAATAAATAAAAGATGAAGACTGTAAAGTGTCGAGCAGTAAAATCCCAAGTTGCCTGTTATATATCTTATTAGGTTATAAAACCGCAACTGGTGGCTAAGTTTCTTTACCGACTATGAAAACGCCTCGTCTTTCACGATATGAATTTTCAGATTTGTGTATAAAACCACGATCACATGATTACCTATTTCATCTCATCTCTGTTCATATAAATCATTAGACAAAAAAATTTCTGTCGACAAAGCCGGAATGACAATGTATACGGAATTAATATTACTAGTGATAATGTCTGATACCGAGAGAAGGAATGTATTGTATATCAAAGTTTCCTTTAAAAATTCATTTCTTGTGAACATTTATATTCATTTTGTAACAAAAAGTAGTTCTGATTATAAATGAAGTTGAAAATCTCAGTTTTACTTAGCTTTCTTTCTAGGATTCTGTCCAACCGTGTTTTACATTGAGCCAGTTTTGTGGTTGGTTACTTCTAATGAACGTTACATCATGATTGGTCGTTTCTTCTAGACGTTGCAACGTGATCCGTCGATTCGAGATGGATATCTATCGGGGTCAAGGCTCGATTCCCCAACTTAAGTTAATCGAAATTGGTTTACACTTAGTTTAAACCTGCTGTAAACCAATTAAACTCCTATTATGGCCCGATTCCACAACTCAAGTTAACAGAAGTGTAGAGAAGTTTAACTAGTTTACACATTGTTTAAACCTGCTATAAACCAGTTAAACTCCAATTATGGCCCGGTTCCATAACTCGAGTTAACTGAAGTTTATGTTATTTACACCCGAGGGGCTATTCTGTAATTTGTAATAACGGATATCGTTATCGTTAACTCGTGTTATCCCAATGGGCTAATGATAACGATGTCCGTCGTTGCGAGTTACAAAATAGGATCCCTGATTTCAACTTACTGTAAAGTAATTAAACTTTGGTTAACTCGAATTGTGGAACCGAGCCTGTGCTTATGTATATAGATAACGCATCCAATCATATGTATGTACATCAAAGGATGATTCTTCAATTGGAAATCGGGCATTAGTTCAGTAGTCAGACGAGTCGGTTAAAAATATTGTAAGGTGGTTGTGACTTTATACATTCCAATTAAATTAAGTACGGAACGGAAGCAGTTGGAGAGAACCGGTTCTTATTAAAAATGTCTATTTATAAGGTATGACGGTAGTGAATAATAGAAAATCGATAGTTATCAGCTAACCTAGCACTGTCTAACCTAACTTCCCGGTTGTTTACGTTTAATGCTTGATATAATGTTAAAATTAGAATTTTAAGGATTGGTTTTAAGTGTAGACGTTTTTCGTAAATCTCGAAATTCATTTTAATACATTTGTTTTCGCAATTTCAGCCAATTGACTCAAAACGTGAGGAATTTCGCAAATATTTGGAACGCGCGGGAGTAATGGACGCTCTTACAAAAGTTCTTGTATCTTTATATGAGGAGATCGAAAAACCAGAAGACGCACTCGAGTATCCTTTACTTGATAATTTGTAATATCAATTATTTCTTTGATTCATATTGTATTTGTTTCCTTAATATGAATGAAGATATGTTCGTAAAAATCTTGGTGGTATTACGGAAGGAACATCTGACATGGAACTACTAAAGAAAGAATTGGCAGAAGCAAAGGCGAGAATAGTGGAATTAGAGGCACGATTAGCTAGACATGAACCAGATGAAATTGCCAATTAACAAAGTGACAATTAACCATTAACAACATTGTGTAAAACTGGTTTTAATTCGCAGACTTTTCTTTTTGAAAAAACTGCGTCCTACCACGTGCCTTAAGATAATAGAATTGCAGGTTCTGCGATAACGTTGTGTGTACATGAGCTTTTTCCTTAAATATTCTATTATAAATAAGCTGGATACAATTTTGTATTATTTTCTCAAATATTGATTTCTTTATGTTCCCGAAATCAAAAGACCAAGTGGTACAAGCCGAGTATTATGAGTTATATTATAAAATGTACAATAAGCAATGCTAAGAGTTTGTGTTAAATGACACAAATAAATTTTTGTTTTATATGAGTTTAATGTACTTTGTACATCATTAAAATAGGTATAAAGTTCACAGGCATTTCTGGTCAATGGCAAAGCATTGAAACAATATATTTGGAGCTACTATATTTTGTAATCGTGATCAAGAATTTGCAGTGCTTAGCTTAAAACATAAATACAGAAGAATAATTTTTCATTACCAGTGTGAATTAATAGTATTTTATGCTTTATTCTTTAATGAATCGCCATTTTTCTATTAAGATAAATGCACAGTGCGGTCCATTAAAAGTGGCTTTATTTATAAACACGCTCGTGTTCTTTTATAATTAGGAGCAGGGAAATGTACTTCCATAAATCAGTCAGTTATGACATAGGTTCCCATTCTTGAATTTCATTACATCAAGACTGCTTGTCTTCGTTTCACACCCCAATTGTACACTCGGGCCATATTTACTTCAATCGTAGTAAACTGATCTCTTACAAAGTCTAAATCATGTTCGACGTATCCTAAGTTTCTCTTGGCGGCTTCGATATTCTTTATTAGGAATTCTTGTGCATCATCTAAGGAATATTCCAGCATCACATTGGCTCCAAGCCAGAGGCCAACCTTTTCAGTAGGAGGTACGATAGCTTTAACAAAAACTTGTTCCGATAAAAGAAATTGAGTCTCTAAATCATGACTATTATCCTTTTCTGTCTGCAGCTTTTCTATCATTTCCAAAGATCGTTCTAGTTCCAGAATTTGTGCTTTTAGTCTCTTCCGTTTGTTAACCAAGTTGTATTCCATAAGTTTATATTTGCTATGATTCTCATCGAACTTCTTAAGTGCTTTGTCAACTGATCCATCGTTTTCACGTTGAGCCATAAATGAATCAACATCTTCCTGCATTTAAATATAGTCCATTAAACATGGTTATTAGCAAAAGAGCCACATAGATATTAACAAGTCATTCAAAAGATAGTAAAAGCAAAAAGGATATATAACTTTTCATTAATTGTCAAAAAGTAAAAATAAAATCTATCACAACACAGCACTCTTGTATAGCCTTATATGGCTCTCTCAAAGAAATGTTCGAGATATTTTATCGCATGTTTATATGAACAAAATGTATAGTTTGCAGTACTATCACGCGCGCGAGCATGTATTTTGAAATGCAGAAACGAAATCAATATGCCATTTCGTATTTATGCCGGTTTTAAATGAAAATTGATACTCTATTCCAAAGATAGGTTATAGACTTAACCGAGGGTAAGGATGTCATTGTTCTACCGCATAAAATAGTGTAACTAATTAGAAAATATGTAGTCAATGCGTAATTACCACAAAATCCGCTTCTGGAATATCGATATATGACTTTTTATCTTTACTCAATTCGATATTAGCCTCATTGTCACCCTCCATTTTGATTTAATCTTGAAACTACGATCGTGTGTACAGGACTGGAACTTCTATAGGTAGGGGGCGATCGACCTTTATAGATGATTTTCATGAAATCTTCGGTCAAAGTTAATTTACACCGGTCTCTCATTTAGTACATTTACACGTTCTACCTTAAACCGGTTTTCTAAAGCCCTCTGCACACGATGTTGGTATTCTTGTTGGTTTACTTGCAGGATTGCTTTGCTGACAGCGTGGACCTAAGAATATATGGACAGAGATGAGTTGGGAGATTGCTCACGGGCAGGGTCGCGCGATCGCATCGTGTGCTGCCCTCTGGTTTCGTACGTTAGCTTTCACCGTTCTTTGCCCCCAAGGGCGGCGCAACGAATTTCTGGTAGGGGATCGCGCACTCGCGATGGCTGTGCCAACTACCAGTTGCCGTTGGCAGCTCACGTATTCGTGATGGTAATACCATGCGGCAGTTGACGGTGGTGGCTTACCATTATGGCAATCTCCCAACTCATCTCTGCCAAATCAGAGATGAGTTGAGAGATTCACGGGAAGGATCGAGCGACCGCGTCTTGTGCGACCTCCGGTGGAGGATGCAGACGGCTGATGCACTTGCCACCTGTTACAACTCTGGGCAGCCCGAGAACCAGCTGAAAAAGCGATGAACTCCTCGCAAAAACTCCAAAACCCTGTATCTCCTCCGAAAAAAATCACAGCCACTAGCTCAAGAGATCAATTTAAGCAGAACAACCTTCCCCATCAAGCTGAAAAAGTGATGAACTCCTCACAAAAACTCCAAACCCTGTGTCTCCTCCGAAAAAAATCGCAGCCACTAGCTCGGGAGATCTATTTAAACGGAACAACCTTCCCCATCAAGCTACCGTGGACGCAGTTCGCATGGCGAAAAAAATTCACAAACATCCTTTAACATATTTTAACATCTTCTACCAACAAGTGCAGAAAGCTCGACTTCGATTAACTGCCCATGATGATTTTACCAAAAATGACTGCTTCCAGGTGATCCACCTAAACCTACAAAGGGGCACAAAAGTACAGGTAAAACAGAACATTGAAGAAACACCAGTAAGTCGCCAGATTCTCCGAAGTGGCCCATCTAAAGCTGAAAGGGAACACGAAGGCACAAACGAAACCATTGGAAAGCGAGAAAGAGACGGTGATACAAGAGCTAATAACTTACTAAAGTTACTATTAAAGTTAAGAATATTTCGCACACATCCCGGACTTCGAGTACGATAGAAACGTAGCTGTATAAGACCGATATTCCATTAGCGCTACAGCAGAAAGGATCGAAGCGCGAATAAAAGGTTCTAATTAGCTGTAGAAAAATAGCAGGACGGGGGAACGTTCGTCTTACGTTTTCTACAGACTCATGTATGCTGTCAGTAAACATTACAATTCGGTGGAAAAAACCAAATCTTTACTTATCTGGCGAATATCTTTATCCGGATGATAGCTATTCGGGGACATGAAAAAATCAGGCATTAGTGCTGCTACTTTACACCAGTGTAGCTCAGTGTAGCTCAGCTGAAAACGCTGTAAAAAGAACGAACCTAAAGTGAAGCAAATTTCAGAACACATCAACTGCTAGTGTTAATACTTCAGATTATGTTCCGAATTGTTGACCGAAACAATACTGCGTAAGTTTATCTCTGTCTTTTGTTATGTATTAGAAAAAGATGCAATGAATTGATCAAAATATCGGAACAGGTCTACAGGTGACTCGACTTTGGGTGCGGAATGCATCACGAAATCGCACCTTAAAGTACACAGTCATGTTTTCTGCATTTGTTTCAACTGGCAACTGATCGAGAGTGCGTACTACTCATCTGCTAACCTCGTTCAGGCATCGCAAAAGGAAAAAGTAAACAGTATTCGCAGTACGCACGTTGTGTCTTGAGCTGCACGGCGTTCATGGATTGTACCGTTGTGCGTGTGATTCGAGAAGGTACACCAAAATAATAGAAGGAATCCTTTCGTACGACAATTTCTTCTCTGTTTGTGAACATCTACTGACATGGCTGGTAATCGGGAGGTGATTCTAGCCGATTTTCAGGTAAAATACAATACTGTCGTTATTATAACATTCATGAATAGTTGTAAGTTTGGAGGTTAGGTTTCTTTCATGCAATGACATTGACAATAATTGGCGTGCAAGAGAGAGACAAAGGCCTTTGTAGCCTTTATCTTGACTGGACAGATCTGAAAATAAAGGGGTTTTAGATACAGAAAACGTCATATTATTGGATTGCTCTTCATTAACAAATTAATAATTTGAAAAGTAATAGGTATGTTTTTTTCAGGCATGCACAGGAATCGATGACGTTGGTGAAGCCATTCTGCACTTGGAAGGCACAAATTGGGACTTGCTGGTAATTTGACATACTTAATATATGTATGCACATCCATGGTTAATTAAATGCAACTGGATTGTATCAAAGTAATATGTATTAAGGGAAAAATGAAATCAATAATGTTTTACATAAACTATGCATATCAAGAAGTCGTAACGAAAGAACTTCAAATGATGTATGAATGATCCTTTCGCAGATTGAAGTTGATCTTGTCAAATTAGATAATTTATATTTATTTAATATATTTTATTATTATATAACAATGTTTTTATATAAAGATTTTTATTTAAAATGTAGGCTGCAATTCATAGTGTCATGCCACAAGATTCCCAGCAGCTGCCATCAGAAATGAGTCCCGATATTGAAATGATAGAAGAAATTCGAGGGAATCAACCTCAACAACCGCAACAATCTTTCACATCAGAAGTATTCCTTCAAGCACCAACAAACTCAAATACTACTAAGGTAAATGTTACAGAGGTAGTAAAACCAGGAACCAGTAAACCAAAATGCCATAAAGTTCCAAGACTGCTAACATTTAATGTTAACTATGATAATCGTGTGGTCAAGATCGAAATCTCAGAAACTTCCACAGTAGGTGAGTTCAACATTATCATATTATAATTATTATTTACCTTAATAATTTAATTATGAATTATAGAAGAGTTATTAATTGAAACATAATATCAAGAATCATCAAATATAACAGAGTACATGTACTCAGAACCAAATGAAGATTTCAACTTGAAAATATTTCTGTTCTCGATTTAAAAAATAAGTTAATCCTTGTCTTTTATCCGTTGTTATCTCAGTACAAAATGTTTCGTATATCTTTTATTAATAACTGTCATTTCAGGGGATTTAAAACATTTAATATGGGAGCTAACAAACAAAGCAGTATGTCAGCAAGAATTACAGGGATGGAAAACGGAACCCCGTTCGAATCTTACCGTTTTACAAACGCTTGATCTACCTTCAGAAAATACACTCCATATTGTATCCAATCCAGCCATGGAAGTTGGAGATTCTGCTTCAGATAGGTAGGTTCATTAATGTAACAATTATAGTTACATTGTTATATATTTTACATATTGGTCTTTTACTGATTTGTTTCCATGGTTTCAGTGTGACATTGTCAGATCGACTAGCTCAAACGTACACATTAAATGTAAAAGATGAAGTACATAACAAAAAATACAGACTTCAATTTCGAGGGACACGAACTGTACTAGAAGTGAAGTCGGATATCTATTCATTGATAGATGTACCTGTGCGAAATCAACAATGGAAGGGTTGGCCTAGTACGCTAAAAGATGACAAAGTAACTTTGGCACAGAGTGGAATCAATTTTCCAGAGCATAATTTATCAGTAGGCAAAATACCCTCGAAAGATAAAAAAGTAAGTTCTTTTAATTTCAAATTATCGATATAAATTACATCTTATTAATGTATGCTTAAAATTACAGGACATAGTGGACTTAGTGGATAGTGATACATCTGAAGAAGAACAAGAAGATGGAGAAGAATTTGAAGATGCAACTGAATCTTTTAATGTTGAAGATGATATATTCATTGATCATATACCGTCTACCAAAATACAGCGGTTAAGTAAGTTGTGCACGTATTTTCGAGCACAGATTTACACAATTTCATTAAAAATGATTTAATAAGTTTCGGCAATAGTCTCCTACACCATCGATAACATACATTGGGCTAACAAAATAATTCATTTGTAAATGCAGTCCCAGATAATGTAGAGGATGAAATAGTGGGAACGCTGCATTTCGTAGAACAATTTGAAAAGAGATATGGACCTGCTTATCCTGACTTCTTTGTTGGCACTTTTGAAGATGCGATAAAAGAATCTTGCTTAAAACCCGTAAAGGAGGTAATTATGATTGAATCAAAATACACAAAATACCTCTAAAGATGTGCGAATAAAATAATATGAAATGTATATCTTCTATTTTAGAGAAAATTACTAGCTGTATATTTGCACCATGATAATAGCGTATTAGCAAATGTCTTTTGTACTCAGCTGTTGGGCTTTGAAACAGTTTTGCAGTTGCTCTCCACATCATTCGTCGTTTGGGGTTGGGATATCACTCATGAGTTTAACAAGAATATGTAAGTATATTCTTTGCATACAGAATCACCAAAATGCAGGAATAGTATTAATGGTTTGTATATTACAGGTTTTTGTATTCCGTAAATCTAACGTTAGGGTCAGCAGCAGCCTCGACAGTGAGAAATATCGACGTAGATACTCTACCCGTTCTTATAATTATAATGCGGTCCAGATCAAACACTGAAATATTTACTATAGTTCACGGAAACATAGGAGTCAATGAACTTATGACTAATTTAGTTCATGCTGTCGACGTTTTTCAGGTAAGAAGATAAGCAAAATTGCCTCCGAGCAGTTACTCGTGAACTCCATTTTTCCATTTCTCTCTAGGAACAAAGGCGAACAGAAATTGGCATTGAAGAAGAAAGACAAGCAAGAGAAAGAGTAAAGCAGGAGCAAGATAAAGCTTATCAAGAAAGTCTAGCAGCCGATAGGTATTTCCATCCGCTAATGTATTCAATACTTTAACAATAATTAGGCCCATATCTGGACTTTACGATAAATCTGTAAAAAAATTGTTTCTCAGTTATTGATATATCTTTAGGGCAAAAGAGGAAGCAAAACAGATACAAGAACTCATTGAGAAACAAAAAAAGGAGCAGGCTGAAAGCGCAAGATTAGCTGAAGAAGCGAGAAAAGAAGCCCACAGACAAGCGGTAGAATCTAGTTTACCACCTGAACCTCAACCTGGTGTTGGAGACGGTGTGCTGAAAATAAAAGTACGACTGCCGGCCGGGAAATTTTTGGAACGAAGGTTTCAGGCTGATACGCCTCTTCAGACTCTTCTGAATTTCCTCATTGTCGAAGGTTATCCTACAGAAGAGTACAAAGTTTTATCCAGCTGGCCACGAAGGGATGTAAGTAATACTTCAAGTTTCTTTACTTAATAATTTTCATTTAAATCATCAAAAAACAGTAGTCTCAAACAAATTTATTAGCGTCCACTGAGATACTACCTTTTTTTTTGTTTTTAAATTACGTTTTACAGACACGTTCCCTTTTCCTCCTTAATACTATGTATGAATGTAATTTATGTACATGTTTCAGCTAACGTCCATGGACTCTAAACTCACTCTTATGGAACTGAAATTCTGCCCGCAAGAAACCGTGATCCTAGAGGAACGATAAGTCACTTGTAATTAAATTCGAACGTAGAAATTAAGCGTCGCGATATTCTGAAAACGTATTTATTTAATAATTTTCGATATAGTCAACACAGTTAATACGAATTGTCTGTTCATTACGCAATTACATTTGTACGCTGTACTTTTTTCATGCGATTACACCACGAGACAGATGTAGTTCTATTTTATAAAGAAAAAAAAAAGATCCTTTTTATGCGCGTGTACTGTACGTTATAAATCTCAAAAAATAAATTAAACCGTGAAAACCGATTCGATTTAGCAGACTTCTCGCAATCGGTATCAGTCAATTCATTACATTTCGACGAACATACGAGGGCATCGAATGTAGTCCGAAATGAAGAAATGAAAATTTATTTCTTTTTACAGATACAACGAAGCTGCGAAGACTATATCTCTTTTAATTAGTTTTATAGCTTCGCTGAATTTATTTTCTAAATCGGTATTTCCAATATTTTTAGCTGCTTGGCATAATTGTCGAAGCACTTCCTCTAAACGGCGCATACACCTTATAATGGACCCTGCAAATAACACCATTTAAAATATCAATATATACGCATATTTCTTTTGCTTTCTAAATCGACAGTGGATAACAATTATGATTACCTTCAAATATATCAGTCATTTTGTTGATTTGTAGAAAGCTCGCCCCTTTACACCACGCATACAGAACGTCCATCAGGAAGGGCTTAAATTTCTCTACGTAGGAATCTTCGTCTAGCTCTAAATGAGCGTCCGTAGATACCTTTGCTATCCTGCGTGCCAAATCCTGCATTTGCCTAAGCGGACCGCTTAGCTCTTCTGTGCTCTTTGGCATTTCATTGGACTTCTCATCGCAAACGAAACAGCTGATTAAAGCGACCATTTGCGGTACACTCAACGTGTTGAACAGTCCATTGAAAATCATTTCGGTCATGAGCAATTCATCAGCTCCGTTTAATTCGCAAGCGACTCTTCCCTTCAATTCTATAACGTCTGCAGACGTGCAATACGCCATTCTCCTAAGTACGCGTTTTCGGCATTTAAGCTCGTCCATTTGTAACACCGACTTAGCCCTCTTCAACTCTAGTTTTGCCTGTTTCAACTTCGTTCCTATTTCTTCCTTGTGTACAAATTCTTCGTACAACTCGTTGACTCGAGGATCCTGCAAACAAAAGAGAAAACCTTTAAGGTGATATGAAAGGGTCAACCCATATATATATCTGAGAGGTCAAATCGTTGGTGAAAGTATTCTCCGAATTGGGTTTACCGATTCGTTTCAAACTTTGCCACGTGAATATGGAGGTCCTAAAGTACGTCCTGAAACTCATGAAATTTCATTTCTCATAAAAAATGTATTTATTTATCATGGACTAGAACCGACATGGCGTGGTCCGTGTACGTTTTCGATGTTTTACGCTTCTTGGAGACTTAGAATCGAAAATAAAAAGTTTCAGGACCTAGCTCGAACAATTTAGAATACCGTAGAAATGGAATATTATGGAGTCAGATGGAAAAATATGGAAAATCCTTTTACCAACGATTGCAAGAGAGTGTTGACTTGTCCTGTGGCTAACGTGTTTTTAGGGAAAAAATCTAGTTGCAGCTAAACATCACAGATGGCAACCTTGGTCCGTTAGAATCTTAGACCACAAATATGGTCTAAGGCTAGATATTTATCTAGACTTCACATAGCAGTGGAAAAGGCTGTACCACGTATGCCGACGGCACTCGGATCCAATCATATTTTAGATCATATATTTATATAGACCATGAATTCACGGGATTTCGACAGTTTTACATCGATCTCTTTATTGTTACTTTACTGAAATGACGTATGGACGCTTCGTTTCGTATAATTCTCAATGTAGAGTGTAACAGACTTCAACATAAATATAAATATCGGTAACAGGACGCGCTAGCTTGTGACCACTTGAGTATTCAAAATGGCGTTACTACCAAAAAGGGTATAGATAAATTTTAATTTATCGACCTCGATTAAATTTCTCACCCCCTTTCATATCTGAAGGTGAAGTGAAACACGTCGAGGAACTTGATCGACGTCGATAAAGAAGATTTTTCTAAATGCCTACGTTGCTGACGTTCGTTTTTATATTAACAGCTGTGTCGAATTATATTGGGTACTGTACCAAATGGCATACTCCACCTGTCGTTTTCGTATAATAATTGTAAAGAAATCGAAGTAAAACTCCAGAAATCCTCTGGATTCATGCTTTCTGGGGCCCTAATTGACTGCAGAGGGACCCCCTGCGCCATTTGTGATTTCCAGGTCAATTAAATTTTCACTCCGAGACCTCGTATTCCCATCGTTTTGGCATAGAAGCGCATACAACACTTTTTCTGCCGTTATCCCGTTCAAATGCGAGTTTATCGATTACCAGAGTGTTCTAAATTGTCGTAAAATTGTCCTGACCTTTTCGTTTCTCATAACAGAGCCTTCGATAATTGTATACTGTTCGAAATATGAGAAGTTAAAAAAACTTTTTCCAAAAATTCAAATTTTGAATGTGTCAGGACAATTCTTAGATGATCAGGAGAGTGATGTGTTAAAGTTTTGGACAGTTTGGTCCAATGCCCTTAAAAAAAAATGTCGTATTCGAATCGACTGATTTGAAGGGGGTTTCATTTCACCTTAATAACATCGACGATGTGTCTTATCAATATAATTTCCCAAAAACGTGAGTTTTGGATTGTTACGGATATTGTAAACGTTTGCGTTCCATCGACATTAATGGTAAAATAGCACCGTGTGAATGTTACTTACTTTGTGCAATGGATGGTTGAACAATCGTTCCTCCAGGATCTCGATTCGTTTGACGACGTCCTTAAACGCTTGATCCTCGATACGCATGTCCGTGATTGGATTCAACAATGGCGGATCACCGGAAAACCTCCTCTTTACTTCTTGAATAGTTTTCAGGACGCTTTTCCTATTGTCCGAGGGCCTTAAATCCTTTGGGTAGTACACCCTCAAGGAACTGATTTGATAAATTAACGTGTGCAATACTGGCACGACCTCGACGTCACCTTCTTCTCCTTCTCGGCAAGGTATAGGAGATCCTGCCGTAGAGTAGACCCTGCCTTTCTTGGCGGAAACGTGAAGCAAAGTGTCTACTATTATAACGGTTTTGTCCTTGGCTGGATTTTTCGGAGATTTCTTCTTAAAATTGACTATAATCCCCCAATCGAACGTATCTTGATCGTTCTTTACCTGATGCAATAAATTACATTAGATTTAAAGTAATTGAAATTTAAACCGTCACAGAATGAATCAATTGTATCGAAACGTACCTTCACCATTCTCCCAGGCTGCAAAAATGGCAGCAGGTACTCTGGCTTCGTCAAGAATGTCCTAAACTCTACACCTAATCGATCAAGTTGTTCCCGTATATCGTGATACGTGGAAATTTGGTTGTACTTCTCAATTTGTATCGCGTCATATGCAGATTGCAAATCTTTCACCTCTGAAACAGATAACATGGTGTACAAAATTAAGATGTGTACCTTCTTTAAGTAGAAAATAGTAGAGTCTTGTAATAAAGATAAATTAATATCGTCTCTGGACGGATAACTCACTGTTATACAGTTCTGGAATAGAAGCTTGATTTTGGAATTGGTAAAAACTTCTTTCCAGCATGTATTCTGGATTTATCTCTTCTACTCGTAAAAGATTAAGAACCATATTATAAGTTAAATGAAACGCAGAATTAATGGGGTCAGGTTTCCCTTGAACGATCGCCTTCCCAACAGTGGGACTGACTTGTTCATCGATCATTAGGATGACGATGCCTTTCTCATCCAATCCTCTTCGACCAGCACGACCGGCCATTTGAATGTATTCTCCTGACGTAATCCACCTGAAGTCTTTTCCATCAAACTTCCTAGGAGCTGTGAAAAGCACCGTTCTGGCTGGCATGTTCAAGCCCATTGCAAACGTCTCTGTTGCAAATAGTGCCTTAATCAAACCTTCCCCGAACATGATCTCTATGGTCTCTTTTAAAATCGGTAATAGTCCGCCATGATGAATTCCAATACCTCGCCTCAGTAAAGGTAAAACATTTTCAACTTGCGGTAACTTTCTGTCTTCTTCATTGAGAACATCCATAGCATTATTGAACACTTCGTCTACTAGTTTCTTCTCTTCTATTGTATTCAAATCCAGCTTCGCCATTTGCATTGCATAAACTTCGCAATCTTTCTTTGAAAAACTAAAAATAATTACTGGAGCAAAGTTCCTCTCCATAATCATCTTGACCATTTTGAAGATGTTGGTCTGACCTTTATTGGTCCCATGCATACCACCTCGGCGTCCTTTTGTGTCTCCTTTAGAAGCATCGCTATTCTGCAGACATGCCATTGCTCTGTTGAAATTTTCTTCTTTAAACTGGCCCATTTCATCAACCACCTATTTGATACATATATAAAAGTATAAAAATTACATTAAATTCCACTTGAGCAAAAAGACTGCATTGCATAAGTAAACTAACATACAGCAGGCCAGTCCATTATAATGAAACATTCTACAAACCAAATGTATACCGTCACCACCAACTGGAAATATGTAGTGCTGCAAGGGAGTTGGTCTATAATCGGTATAAACTACATGACATGGTTGTCGATGCAAATGTGCTACCCATTCTGCAAACTGTCGAGCATTTGGAATAGTTGCTGACAAAAACACATAATGTACATTATCTGGCAAAAGAATTAAGGTTTCTTCCCAAACAACACCTCTTTCTTTGTCGCGCATATAATGAATTTCGTCAAAAATGACCCAACCGACTTCTCGGATCACCTAAAGAAGAATAAAGAAAGAAATATTCATTATTCAATAATTTATATATTCATAAAGTGATTATATTTGATAATTCATAATTGATGACAAACCTCGGAGCCCCTGTATAACATATTTCTCAAAATCTCAGTTGTCATAATGAGGACACTAGCTGTTGGATTAATTGTGACATCTCCTGTTACTAACCCAACATCTTTAAACTCTTCATAAAACTCCCTGTATTTTTGATTGCTCAATGCTTTTATTGGTGTTGTATATATGACTCTTTGTTTTTCTTTTAAGGAACACGCTATTGCATATCTGTTATCAACAAGAAAAAATGTAACAATAATAATACAGATATATTTTTGTCACAAAAATACTTACTCGGCAACTACTGTTTTCCCAGCAGAGGTATGCGCAGAAACAAGAACAGACTGATTATTCTCAATACACAATATTGCTTCCTTTTGAAATGGATCTAATACAAATTTATACTCTCTTGCTGGCTTAGCTGATATGGTTTCTAAAGGAATATATTCATGATCAGGAGGCAACGCAACCTCATGTGTACATGACTCCATCGTCTCTATAGTATGTACTGTTATACGAGAACTGAGTCCTTCCAAACTGGAATGCAAGAATGAGATTAATTACAAAATAAAGACGAACTTGAAACTAACGTTTTAGCTATCAGGAATCTCGGTAGATTATCGCGTTACATACATACGTACTTGATGCATCTGTACACAGCAAAATAATGCTTAAGTTTGAGGTTATTTGAAAGAACTTACTTGATATCGTCCAATATAGATTCCGTCCGTTGTCTTTTGACAGCCGGATCATCTTCATTACCTTCTAAATCGCGCTTAACTCCACCGTCTGTGTCGACATTCCTAAAGTCAATTTATAACAAATATAAAGCACCACGTGTTGAGGTTAGGTTTTCGTAGAACCTAAATAATCCTTACTTAATCGCTGGTTTCTCCGTTACGTCCGATGGAATTGCTTCAACAGCATTTGCATCATTTTCATCAAACACATCAAATAAATCATCCGCAAAATCAGCCATTACAACCAATTATTTAAAAAAGTTCCTCTTTACCCGAGTAAACTTTCGCACGCTATCTCAAAGAGATATTAAATAAAGCGGAAGGTCCTATAAGACAAAGAATACAGAAATATCCATAGAAGCCCAGTTCCAGTGTTGACGCTTGATGCCCAATAAATAGTCACCAAGTGAAACGCTAGATGGCAGCACGGACGATCTGAAGCATTACAGAGCGAGGGGAAGAGCATAGACGGCGTGGGTTCGTACCCCCCACTTAAAGCATATGTGCCCACTCGACGGCAACTCAAGCCGTCCATGCTCTTCCCCTCGCTCTGTAATGCTTCAGGTCGTCCGTGCTGCCATCCAGCGTTCCACTTGGTGACTATTTATTGGGCATCAAGCGTCAACACGGGAACTGGGCTTCTATGGAGACTTCTGTATTCTTTGCTGGCGCCAACATAGGATTTGGACTTCTATAAAGCCTTCGAATATCTTTCTGCTTATATATAGGATGTCCTAAGTATAATTTTTGAATGAAATCAAATGAAATAACGTTTAAGTGTTTTCAAATATCTTTCTTCTCATTGGAAGTGAAAAAAAAGTTTATAACACAAACTTAATATATGCATTATGGATCATCCGTCCTGTATCAAAGTAAGTGATACTCTATAATCTGTAAAATAATCAATGTGAAAAGCTTTGGTTGTCTTATATTTTGTTTGTTTTAAATATGTGACTTAGCTGTATGCAATGACAAAATGTAAATAATGAATGAACGCTTAAACTTTGTCGGGACATCTTACGGTATGGTATTCTTAAAGAACAGTAGGGTTCTAGAATCAATCCATTATTTTATAGCCACCTGTACTACCTGTGAAACATGATGAGACAGGATACACATCAAATCACGATGTACGAGATTGGGCGTCTATTTACAACGATTTGATAACAATGGCTAATGAGGTGTTCGGGTACCGAAAATGGAGTCATTCGGTCACAAATCAGTCACTAGGTAACTACATAATTTTTTAGATAAGTTAAAGTACAAATTATATAATGTATTATATATAACAGATAGCAAAAGAAAAATAAAATTTAGATTTTACAGAATATATTATGGGCAAATATCACACTGGATGTATGGCTTTTGTTAGAGTACAGTTAGAAGATGGCACATTCCATGAAGATATGGGGTATAGTAATGCAGAAAATACTATAAAAGGCATGGCAATTTATTGCGCAAGATCGGTATATATTTTAATCTTGGCATTGAACCCTAAACTTGACTGAGGGAACTTCGTTTTCATATGCAATTCTTTCAGGCCTCAATCACCAATGCTTTCAAGAAAGTTCTTTTATGTTTTGGTGGAGAATTTGAGGAACGCTTGAAACACTTACAAATGGACAATTTAAAAGAAACTTCAAGCATTTCTAGCATTGGTCAACCTCCGCAATTAAAGAAGAAAATCAAACTACCACCTGTTGCTCAATCCACGCCACATAGACCCAACAGTCCTCAAGGAAAACAAATGGATGGTATATTTAAACTAATTATATTGCTTTAATTTAAGGTAGTTAAAAACTTAAATCTAATACGTGATGTATTATATACTGAAATGCTTTACAGACATTCCAGCATCCAACAATCCACCAAAAGTGCCATCAGTTTCTGTATCACCCATGAAAGAACCAGTAAAAGTACCAACAAAGGAGACAGTGCAACCACAACCTCCAACTCATAATGGTACGGATATTATTTTTTTGTAGTATAATCAAACTTCTTTTTTCCATAAACTGTTATGTTGTATTCACTTTATCTCCTTTCTATTCTTTTCTATACTACATTTTTAATGTTACATCCATTTTTTATATTTACATTCAAAATGTTACATAGTTCTATCATTTCAGATGTTTCACCACGGAATACTGCAATAAAAGTACAACCCGTATTTATAACAGCAAGTATGGAAACAGTGCAACAAACTTCCACTGGTAAATCATGTATTCTTATTCTAGATTCTTTATGAAATAATACTCATACTGTTATTAAGTGTAAATTGGTAATTGTAGCTAGGACCGAAGAAGAGTTGCGTTTGGAAAGGAAGCGTAGACAAAAGCAAAAGCAAGAAGAATACAAAAGACTGATGGAGGAAAAATTACACAACGCAGAGAAAATAAATAGGAAATTTTAAGATATCAATTATTTTTAAATATTTGAAAACAAGTGCCAAATTGTATACATTTTTATTACATCAAAATTATACAATTATGTACATAATAAACTATTTGCTTTCATTGTTGTTTGAGAATTGAATCAATGGATTTTAATGCATGTTGGAAAAAAATAATTTCAAATTTGTTAATTACACATATTACATGTTTCACATCTTGTATACTTTCCATTAGAAACAGACACTGATCAGAAAATAAAAACTCATGAATGAATGAAATGGAAACTCAAAATAATTTTAGCATGATTAGAACAGTTAAATCATGATAAAAAATATTTGTTTTGTAATGATTATGTAAATCTACTATATACGCATGGATAACTTTAAATTGACCTGTCTAAATTAACACAGTTTTCTGTTATTTTTACAAAACTTAAAATAGCCTTTTGTTCACTGTAATTTTTTATATCATAGGAGGTGCCACAAGGGACAAAGAAGTGACCACCAGCTGAAATAATTTTCCTGGCATGATAAATGTGTACTGTTACTGTTCCTTTTACCACACAAAACACCTAAAATGAGTAAATTCATTTAATCAAAGATGTAACTTTTCTAAGATTGGAACTAAAACATTAATAGTATACTTATTTACCAAATGGTGAAGTTTTGGTATCTGTGTTCCTTTAGATGAACAAGGATTCATCTCTATACAACCTGTGGTAATATCACCCATAGCTATATTCAATCCAGCAGCAAATACTACTTTGCCTTCTGCTCCTGTAATCCGCTTGAACTGTGAATGCATGGATGCATAATCTACAAGGCACTCTAAGAACATTGAACATTGGATTTAATATAAAATTGTATACTTGAATTTACATACTCATAACAGTTATTTCTTTCATACCCATAGGAACGCTTTTTCCATTATAAGGAATTATTATCATCATTTTCACTCCAATTGTAGAGATATCAGTGTTATGATTGTCAATCGAATATATATTTTCATTAGAAACTTTTTCCACTAGTGAAAAATCTTTAGCTTTCGAAGCTAGTTCTTCATCTTTTTTTGCTTCATTCTTCACATCTTTTTGTATTAGCGTATCACTGGTACTAGAAGCAGTCTTAATTGTATCTGGAATTTCAGGATTAAGAATAATATTGTCATGCTTATCGTTTAAATGTTTTCGTTTTCCCAAAGAACCATGTTCGTTCCAGGATTCCTGATTATGACGTTGGCGCTTTCCCAAGCTTCCGGGTATATAAGTTCCACTTCTTTCATCTGATTTTGACAAAATTGCATCCCATGTTTGAGCTGTTTTAAAAATCGTACGACTAGTGGATTCAGGATGTGAACTTACAGAACTGCGTGGTTTTACAATTCTGTCAGTTTCATCTACTTTTGTCATGTTCTCGTCTTTAGGGACAATTTCCTCCAGCAATGACTTTCTTTTTTTATACTTTGTACCATACTTTGGAGAGAAGTGTTTAGGTTTTAATGTTTTATTTCGTACACCTGTATCTGTTTTATTATTTGATACAAATTTTTTTTCTTTAACTTTGTTTGATTGCCTCAATCTCAGATCTCTATTTTGTCTTGAATCTTTTATCTCATTTGAAACTTCGACATCATCGCCAGCATTAAACCTTTTATTTTGAGCTTCCAGTAATGCTAACTCTCGTTCTAAGTTGTTTATCTTCTTCAACTTCTCTGGTTGTTGTAATGGGTTACTGAAAGTAACTTTCAGTTTTGTATCACTATCTACGTTTGTTGTTGATTTCGTTTTCTTCTTAAATGCCGCCATGGAGAATCTCGATAAGTGTCACAATTTCATATTTTCTTCGGTCAACTCGACGAAACGTGTTACCAAGTTTCCTGCATGTAAACATTAAATCACATTAAATACATTGATTACTCGATTGATTAAGTTTCCATTGTCGGTATTTAGTCAATACCGGATTGGATAAATCCGACTTTGGGCACATCTCCACTACCTGATTTTATTTAATACTGTTTAATACCAAACTAACTGGGTGGTGGAGACACATCCAAAGTCGAATTTATTCAATCCACTATTAAATAAATACCGACAATGAAAACTCAATTACTAAGGCCCGATTCCACAACTGGTGTTAATCGGAGTTTAAGTGGTTTACAGCAGGTTTAAACCACGTATACACCAGTTCAACTTCGGTTAAGGCGCTGTGAAAGTTATATTAGAAAGGTCTCGCTTATGAAACTTTTCTCGGAACTGGGTGTATTGAATCGTTTCAAACTTTACAACGTGAATATGAAGACTATAAGGGAGATCCTAATACCCATTAAATTTCAATTTTTCTTAAATTTGTTCATAGATATTTTAACAATTTTTTATAAGAAATGAAATTTTGTTGGGTGTCAGGACCTTTTTTGTAGCTTTCACATTCACGTTGTAAAGTTTGAAACGATTCGGTACACCCAGTTTGGAGAAAAGTTTCATGAGCCCCTCGGAGGTCACTTTCACATCCCCTTAACACTCTGTCGGCCGGCATCACGTTTATGTGACTTCAATTTCTGACAATTGTCGGCCTGAATCTTGTGGCTTCGCTTGATTAACGGTTATCAGTTCGCATTTATTTATTGTGATATTTGTTTTTATTGGTTATCTCGGAAATTAAATATTCGCATTGTCATTTGTTGGATCTAATTTCACTGTCTCGGGCTTTTTCTAAAATTTCTTAAACATTAAAAGGCTTCATTTAAAAGGATTAAGGTATTACTTCCTAAATGCACTTTTCTTACCATTTTTTTCAGACTTCTTCAGTGTATTGTTTAGATTTTTATCTACAAAACAAACCCATTCGGAACAAAATCGTCTATCTAGATCGGAAGATAGATAACTGGATTTGAACTTTTAAAATAATAATTATGTCTGTCTCATTAATTACTTTTAATAAAGCTTGTAAAAAGTACCGGAGACAAGCAGTAGTTTTCATCAATATATACCGGAGACAAGTGCAAAGCTTCTTATCAAAGATGCGGCCCGTCAAAGTGTTAACTAAAGTCGTGAAACCGGGCCGAAAGCGCCGGAGCAACAAAGTGCGAATAAGAGGTTCTGATTGGCTGAAGAGAAACAGCGGAATAGAAAAACGTCCTTCGTACATTCTCTGCAGCCAATCGAAAACTCATATTCGCGCTTCGTCTCTCAGTCGCTTGTCGCTGCAATGAAATATCGATCAAAAGGCAAACCATATATATCTAGACCTCGCATTGGACCTCCCACTCCCAGTTTTTAAGCAGAATGGCTGTGTAACTGTGTGGGTGAGTCGTCGGTACACGTGACCTCCCAAGCCCGCGTATTTTAACCTCAGTGACGAAGTTATACTATATTCTCAAAAGAATTTGAAACTAAGAAAAGTGATAATGAAAAAGGAATTGAAAAATCTAAATATACAAGTTTAATATTATTTATTGGTGTAGAAAATGCACATCTTTAGTAAGTTTATTTCGCACTCTTCGGTTTTGTAACTTAATACTATGTATTTTTGTTTCATGATGTAGTCGTAATGTAAAATAACTTTTGAACATATTTTGTATTTGATATTGAAGCAACGCTGAGTATTAAAGTATTATTAAATGTATTACAAGCAAAAAACTGTATAATTCATATTTATTCCTTTCTAATACGATATAATTACATCTGTTTAACATTTTCTGTATATCAACTAGCCAGAATTCTTAATTTTCGTCGAAATGCCATTTAACTACGAGTTCTAAGAGACAAATAATGTATAAATAAAAAACGATAGCGTTATCTCTATATACTAATTTTATTGCTAGTTAACATACTGATAAACATGTAGTGCGAAATCGAAGTTCTTGCTCGTTAAAACATTGACATTTTGAAGGTCGATCAGTTCAAAGCGCAACCGATTTGAAAAGTGAATCATTATCTACTTCATCAGGCCTATACTACCAACTTTAATAAACATTATTATTTAACGACGTCGATGCATATATTTAAGAGCCTGTCATTACATTTCGCAATTTACACGTATAATGACACTGAGACATTTTTTATTATTTTGAACAGACCACTCGCATTACAGAAGTAAATCAAAAGAGATGCATCAGCCAATGTCATATCATTACCCCACTGAACACCAAACCTAACAGTTACGTAACTTAAAACTAACAAATAACATAAAGTTTGTTACAATGTAATAACCTAACAGTTACGTAACATAGAGCTTACTAGTTACATAATATTTGTTAGCATCATATCTACATAAATGTAGCGTAACTTTGTTACTCTTATCTTACATTATGTTACTGTCCTAATATTACTGTGTATATGCAGCACATATTTTTAGCAAAACATAACTACATTGGTGCTAATTGTCATCTATTTTATTACATCATCGTCATCGTCATTGTCATAATTCATCGTCAAATGTCATAAGATTAATATATGTCATATTTTGTTTACTACTCATATGAAAAAATGTGACTAATTCGCACGCGCATATACATTATCAGTAATTGTTTGCTAGTCGAATGAAATCATAATAGTCTTTAAGTAAAATCAGTTTATCATTACATAATTTCATTGAAAGTCTAATCTGTCATTTAATATCTAACTATTGCCAAGTACCAAAAAATAATTAAAAATAAAAATTATATAATTTTTGATAAAATTGAGTGATTTTTTTAAATTAAATGTATGAAGAATTAACATTATTTTAAGGTAACTGAAATTATAACATTAATATAACATGTTACCTTACTGAGTGGGAAATAATAACTAACATCTAACTTCCATGTTACTTCTATGCTACATAACATGTTAGTTTCGAAAACGTAACATTTACCCAACAGTTATATAACAGTGTTCATTGGGACAGTCATGTTTTACTATTCGAAAGGGTCAATAGGAGTTGAAGTGATAATAATCGAACTGAATTTACTATTCTCCGAAGAATCGAGAGGGTGCAGATTAAAAAAGTATCGGTCTCATTGTCAAGGCAAGAAGGGGAAAACCTGAAAAGTTAGAGGTGGGGATCGGGAGATAAATCTTCGATTAGAGATCATTCCCTCGGTAATAATAGCTCACAGATACGGCTAGGCAGAGAACCATTAACGACGAGAATCCTTTGTAGTTCCTGGTAACAGGAAGTGATAACGGTGAAAACGAAGATGTCAATTTCGATTTAATAGTGTTATCGTTTTGAAGCAAGCCGGATAATATGTGATTTTTGTGCGGGTGATTTCCTCCAAACAGGTTCAGTGCGAAAGTAAAGAACGGGTTCAAAATTTTAAAAAGGTGAACTTAACATTAAAACTATGAAAAAGTGTGATAAAATAAAGGCGATAGACGGAATGATTTAAAATAGCTGTTTCAAATTCGCATAGATGTTAGGATAAATAATATTAGAGATTTCCAGAGATTTGGAAGAATCCTTTGTATTGTAAGAATTTACTTCAAAGTACAGAGTTTATTTTCGAAACCTTTTTTTTCGGAATTTTTCTTTCTATATTTTTTTGTTAAAGTAAAGTTTAAAATTATTTCAAATACTTTTAACGTGTATTTTTTGGTATAACATTAAAATTATTTTCGATCTTATTAGAAATAAGTAGAAATCTAAAAAAAACTTGAATCAATACTGTTTAGAAATCCAAAGATTAAATTGATTTGTTATTTTGGCCCGGTTTCGTTACTTGCGCATTAATGTAATTAAATTAAGGTAATCGCTTTACTTATATGTTTATTTCATTTTGCGACGTAACAATTATGCACATACAAACAAATAACCCGAAGATCAATTTGTGCAAATGTTAAAGTTCATCTTTATCCTTGTTGCTAATAATCAACGATAGAGCTGATAACAAAAAATTAAATGGGCTGATAACGTATCTTGACTTTTCTTTTAATCGAGATGTATTCAGTTCGTTGTAAAATTCTACATTTTTTTCACGCAGCCTTCAAACTCGGTTGGAAAATTATTTGCACTGCGATATGATAGGAGTTAATTGAAGGTAGCTAACTAGAATGATATTTATGAAAGCGCCAGTATACTCGTACCGGAATTTTGTGTTTGCACACTTGAGACATCATACCTGGATACATTAATTCATGCAGTATATACGCGGAGTACATGACATAAGGTAAAACGAACACATAAGCTAAAACAGTGCGCCCCATTTTTTAATATAAGTCGGTAAACAATTATCCATATATTATAAAATATTGGTTTAGCAATGTCATTTGAAATATGGAATACTATTCTATAAATACTACAAGTGTTAGAAAAGGTTTGTAATATAACGTTGAAATACTAGTTATCAATTATTTTATACATTTTCACATATACTCTTATTTAAAAAAAATCAAAATATGCTAAATATTTCGTACAATAATAATAATATATTATTACTTTATTTTGAATACACATACGTGCACCAATATTTTAAATTTATATTCCCTGGGTAAGCACTTTATTTTTTGTAAAAGTAGATGCTTATGTTTCAATGTTTCAATATTTTATCTCACCAAATGTTGACACTAATTTAAAAATAGAATACTGAAACATGAACCTTTTGTATTTTTATTTGCGTGCCAAAAAATATCATTTGCTACTTCTTATGTGTAAAAAATATCAATTCCATGTTCATACAATATTTCGTTAAATATATTTCGAATATAAAAAACTGACCAAAACTACATTCATCCTATGTTCAAAAAATGTACATAGCACACAAATCCATACCCTATTAATATTGAAATATTTTCAAAGAATATTCTATGAACCTCTGTGCTATGTATTTGTGCTGTCTGGGATGTACCTCAGGGCAATAAGGCCCACCATGACATAAAAGACTTGTAAAAGCTTAAATATACAGTATTTTAGAAATGGGAAATAAGCAGGGTGTTCGTGAACAATGTTTACATACTATACTGTTTTACTTCAGATACAAATTATAAAAATAAAATATAATTCTAAACAAAAACGTAATTTAAACAATTGTAGCATGATGCTACTGGGCTCTATTTCCTGTACAAGTGGTTAAGATGATGTGAAAGTGGCGTCAAAGAGTTCATGAAATTTGTTTCCAAATTGGGTACACTGAATCGATTGAAATTTTACCGACTCAGTTTAAATGGTATAAGGAAGGTCCTGAAATTCGTGAAATTTCGATTTTGTTCAATTTGTTCATACATATTTTTAAAATTTGTTATAAAAAATAAAATTTCATGAATGTCAGGACCGTCCTTATAGCCTTCACATTCACGTTATAATGTTTGATACGACTCAGCACACCCAGTTCGGAGAAGAGTTTCATGAATGATTAACTGTTCAGATGCCACTTTCACATCCCCTTGGTGATGTGAAAGTGGCGTGAAAAAGTTCTCGTTCATGAAACTTTTTTCCAAAGTGTGCCACTTTCACATCCCCTTAATAAGACCCACGGACTTCTGTGGTAAGATTCAACCGATTCTACACTAATTTGCATAATTACTAAATTGCGCAATAATTACTAATTTGCACACTAATTTGCACAATTAGGGCAAGTTATGCTATCAGGATCCTCAAATGCTATCCTCGGGCATTTATCGCGAAGCCATTTCTTGCACAGGGCACGTTGCAGCATATCGTAATTTTATATCATACATTTTCCAACGCCACGTTCATTTGAAATTTGAATTAAACAGACCTTGGTCCGAGGTTTGGTAAGGATATTATACTTAAGCTCTTCCATTATTATACTTCCATCTTTGGTAGCCAATATCGACCCGTACCTGTGCCGTTATTGTATTTCCATTCTTGGTAGCCAATATCAACCCATACCTGTGCTATCGGCTAAATTTTTGCGAAACCTCGACAACTATCTGCCTGGATTTCTAAGATTTTTGGGACACCTTGTCTAGATTTACCCTAAGCGTTCAAAAAATAATAAAAAAAATTATATTTGGACTTTTCTTTTCGCAGAAAAGAAGAAGATGTTGGCCGCAGTGGTGTTTTGGCTGGCGTATGTAACGACTGCACTTGGGGTACTCTTGGTAGCTCTTTATGGACATGCCAGCTACAAGTTGTCATACTGGAAGAGAAAAGGCATCCCGACGCCTCCAACGAATCTAATTTTCGGGAACTTTAAGGATACCCTGACTTTCCGCAAACCACCAGGTCAGGTCTTGCGGGATATCTACGAGAGCGCCAATCCGGATGCCCCTTACATCGGGTTTTACATATTCCACAAGCCCATGTTACTCCTGAGAAGCCCCGACCTGATAAAGCAGATCATGGTAAAGGACTTCCACATCTTCCCGAACCGCAGATTCGGCGGCGATGGAGAAAAGGACTCGGTCGGTCTGATCAATCTGTTGAGCATCAAGCACCCGAAGTGGAAATATTTGAGGACCAAATTGACACCCACTTTGACGGGGCAGAAATTGCGAAAGATGGTTCCGTTGATGCAGGACTGTGGGGTGCCCATGATTAATTATATCAGCAACAAATCCAACGAGGCGGGATGGAAGGAATTCGAATTGAAGGACCTCTGCTCGAGGTACTCCACGGATGTGATTTCTTCTCTCGCGTTTGGGATCACGACGAACTCTTTCGACGAAAAGGATACGGATTTTTGGAAAGCAGGTATTAGCGACGTGACATGTCGAAGATTTGAACTCGTTAAACTCCCCTAGTAGCACAAAATATTAGTCTTATATTTTCTATACATTTAACGAATATCGTACATTTTGTAAATATTTAAAAGAGACATCTTAAAAAATCTGTCGCTTGAGATATTTAGCAAAGATTAGAAAAAAAATATTTAGAACTCATTCCGTGCTACTAGGGAAGTGTCTTTGATTCGTCATTGTGTACTGCAGATGTGAATTTCAAATGAGGACTCATAAGCAACACCTTCGTAACTCATTTCATGATCTTGTACGAGGCAAATTTGATGCAAATTTTGCATCACTTAACTATCTGGATTCTCTATTCGAGTTGTCTTGTACGCCAATTCAAATCCTCGTTCTTCGAGCCGTTTTAGATGGCCAACTCGAGTGATCGTTATTTAGTGATGTGACGAGTTTAATAATATATCGATGAAGAAACGGACAAATTAAACTGAATCCAAATTAAAAAAAAAAACTAATGATATTTCTGGAATCCACGACTCCGAATTTGGGAGGAAGTTTCTTTGTACTGTTTTTTGATATCTATCCGTGATGAACATTTCGTTGCATAAGCACAAACAAACAAACAGATAAGCGCTATAGTAAAGTGTAATGATTATCACTCGATTTTTCTCACTTGCCAGAGAATATTATACCCGGTGGATTAAAACTGGAAATTGAGCAATTAGAAATGACTCATGAAATTGAATAAAACGGACGGTTAGTAAAAACTCGCCAAACAACAGTCTTTATCGAACTCCCCAATCAAAGTTTCTAATAGATCGATACCAACACTAATCAGATAATACTTAATCAGTTTCCTGTCCGAGTTGCAACATAGGGAAAACGGTTATCATTTAAAGAGGCTTATCACAAAAAATATCATCTCTGATGCAAAAAAGTGAAAAATGTCCGTTTGCGCTGCATAACTACAGCGTTACAATTACATCACTGTTACAGCTTGCAAATTGTGAAATCGCACGACCTGAATGAGTGGCAGTGAATGAAAGGTTCTTTGTGTATTTTATCATCTCATGCATCGTTTAATCATTTTTCAGGGCAGAGAGTATTGACGGGCCTGAAACGTGGGATTATTCTGCTGGTCCATTTCTTCATGCCTGAATTGTCGGGCTTCTTGGCACCAATGGCAAAGAAACCAGCTGAGTTCTTCCGTATGGTGTTTTGGGACTCTATGAACACAAGAGAGCGGGTCGGAAATAAGAGAGGAGACCTTATCGACTCCTTCCTCACGTTAAAAAATGGAGAACAGAATCCCGAATTCAGTATGTAACAAATAAAATTATGTTCGCAAAGAACGACCCCTTAAGAAACGTAATTTCGCAGGGTATATTTGCAACAATTAAACGATGCCCGGTAAGAAGACTTTTGAATAGAATAGGATTCAAATTATCATAGTTGTGTGTTTTTCAATTCTGCGAAAAAAAAATAGTTATGAAACAGCCGCCGGTGTCTACAAGGAATATGATATACAACTGTAAAAAAAAAGAATACAATTGTAAAATTATTCTTTGTTTCTGTCATGGTATATCATATCACTTGTATATTATTGATAATTTTTGGCGTTGGTTTTTTTTTTATTTTAAGGTGATGTGAAAGCAGCATCTAATAGTTCATGGAACTTTTCTTTGAACTAGGTGTACCGAATCATTTAAAAATTGACTACGGGGATGTAGAGGCCCTGTGGAAGGTCCTAACACCCATGAAATTCCATTTTTACAAATAAATACAAAAGTATTTATTAAAAAAGATTTTAAAAAATGAGATGTTATTAGTGTCGGACCTTCTTTAAGGCATCCACATTCGCGTGGTAAAGTTTCAAACAATTCGGTACACCCAGACCTTTCAGATGTCCTTTTCACATCACCTTAAAAGTCAACAGAATAAGAGACAAAGGAAAAACCAAGTCTTCACTGTAATTAAAATTTTGTATTCCATGCCATACCAGTCTTCGTACCGGATGATTACGTAATTCAACACCTATTTAATCGTTTTCCTCGTTGCCCAGAGAATGTTCAAAATAAAGCATCAACAAGATGATGTATATGGCAGGTACTGATTAAGAAACGTGTTTTGCAACTTACGCGATTCAATGATGACATACACAATAGGATATCAAAGTCATGTGGCGAGAAAATTCTCAGCATCATTGTTTAACCCTTTTAGTACAGGAGAACGAGATATCGTCGTTTCACAAGGGCTAACGACTTCGGCCGGCACTAAAAGGGTCAATGCTCTGAGGACTTTGAAACATCACGTTATTTTCCTTTTTGAATTTACAGTTAGGAATTAAAATGAAAACGACGTGTATTTCAGAATTCGAGGGAGACAATCTACTCGCTCAGGCTGTGGCATTTTACATTGCTGGATTTGAAGCGACATCGACTACGACTGCGTTTACACTTTTTGAATTGGCTCATTACCCTGAATACCAAACTCGAGTTTACGAGGAAATCAAACGAGTAATTGACTCGCAGGGGTTGACATTGGAATCAATAAATGATATGACTTATCTGGATCAGGTAGTGAACGAGTCGTTGAGGTTGCATCCTCCATTACCATTGATAGATCGAATTGCTGAACAGGAATACGAAGTAAGACGCTAAAAAAATCATAGTCTTATAATTCTACCGAAGATTTTTCCTTCTATTCCCTTTGCTTACAAATGTAATAACATCGTGTTTCTTTGCAAGATTCAAGATACGGGACTGGTCCTTGAGAAGAATATCCCAGTTTACGTGTCCATAAATGCTATAAATCATGATCCTAAGTATTTTAAGAATCCCGAAGAATTTATTCCAGGGAGAGAAAAAAGCAATGATATTTTAGGCGCATCTATGGCCTTTGGTGTTGGTCCTAGGTCTTGTGTGGGTAAGCAGTACAAATGAGATTATTAACGTAAAAATACTTAAATTGATCATTTAACTTTAAGTCGTATATTCGCCAAATATATTCATTTAAAATTTTTAGGTCAACGTATTGGGCAAATTATTACGAAAATGGCTGTTATCACAATTGTATTAAAATATCGACTTTCTTACAAACTGGGCAATGAAACATCACTGAATCCCTTGACTGTATTTACGACTGCCGCAAATGGAATATACGTACAATTGGAAGAAAGAAAATAACGTGTATATGCGTATACCTAATATTTGAATAAAAAGAACTATTGAAATTCGTGCAATGATCTTGTTTTCGATTCAAGGACTGAAAAGTGGGATAAATATATTTATAAGGAAAATGGATAAAAAGATTAGCATCATGTTTTAAACGACGTGAATGAAAGAATTTATTGCCAAACTCAAAGAGTTCACTATAAATAATGTAAGCCATAATTTCAATTTTAAACACGGATATCTGTGTTACATACGCACGATGCAATGCTCGGCGATCGATCCCCGATCGACATATATATTTAAATATATTATAACACAATATTACAAAACAACAAGCGCTTTGATTGCATTAGTCAATTGACTTGATCGTACATTAATTACACTATATATATATAATATAAATTAATATTACGTACATTTACTAGTGATTATGTTACATCGGCAGATACTCGATTACAAATACATCCTCTCGAAATTGGCTAGCGGGTGATTCAAGATATAGATCATTGTGCGTGAGCTATCGATTAATTCTCTGCGTTATTATCTTCGGCTTGAACGGATTGAGGTAGTTCTGCTTTTGTCGCCAGTTGCAGAGCATGTACCCACCTGTGAAACATTTACAAAACACTATACTTATGTTTCATTAAGGTGATGTGAAAGCGAAATCTGAGGGGTCAATTGTTTATGAAACTTTTCTCCAACCTGGATATACTGAATTGTTTGAAACGTTACTATGTGAATATGGAGGCCCTGTGGAAGGTCATGACACCCATAAAATTCCATTTTAAACATTTAAATTTCATGAGTATCAGAACCTCCCTTAGGGATTTCACACCTACGAGGTAAAATTTTAAACGATGAAATTTTAACACTCAGTTCGGAGAAAAGTTTTATAAACGAGATCCCTCAGATGTCTCTACTACATCACCTTAAATAGGTTCATTTTTGATTGAAAAATAAGGAAAAACTGATTGTGTGAAACTGAAAGTTATATAATACTGAATATTAATTCCTCTTCTTCTTCTTAATCTAATATTATATTTAATTTAACTTCCTTTTGTGACATTTTAAAAGTTTAGCTACCTACTTCTCTGTATCTTGTTCCGAACTTGCTTGCAAGTAATAGTACTTCCGAGAGTGATGGATTTTGAAAGCTCTTTCTCGATCTCTCATGCTTAAAGGATCCTCGTCGTGCAAATTTGTACCCTCGGTGACCGTGAAACCCGGCATTGGAGTTGCTGTCATTGCCAATTTATCTGTATCTGACTTGAACGAGTACAGAACGAAATCGGAATGAAGTGCGAACCATCTTCTGGTCCAAGGCTTGCTTGCCTGAGTTTTCAGCAACATATAACTAGACAATACTGACGGAGCATTAGCTGAAACTTGAAGCAGACTTGGAGCCGGTCCAGGCGGTGAAGACGGGGATTTATTAAAAGGCTGAGTTAGGGCAGCATGGCACAGCCTACATACTCTCATATTTCTATTGTCTTCGAATAATAGTTTTTGGTTTGAACACTTGCTGCAAACCACCTAGAAAGCAAAGCGAATAAACGTTAGAGAAACAATCTGAAATACGATGAATGAATAAACTCGCGAGCTTTTATATCCGAATGGGTTAAGTTACACATACTTACAATTCCACACGCTCGACAGTTGTGTTTTCTTTTCATAACTGAAAAAAATACTTCGCAGACCATACACTTTGTCACTTCATCGGTCTTAACTAATGACGTTTTAACTGTTCCAGTTTTCAGACTAGCTTTGCGCCTCGTTATTTCTCGCATTGTTTGGAAAAGAGCATCCAGCCAGGCTGCTTTTTCAGCAGCTTGATGTGTGTACAACTCTACGCTTTTGTGTTCGTCCCTGATGTAAAAGGTATTAGCCGTTTCTAAATTATCACCTTCGACTACTTGTAAATTTTCAACCATGAATTTAGCCCGTAAACGGTACATAGGTCCAGGTATCAGTCTCATTGAACACAGAAGCAGTAGATCACTCAGCTGAAAAATGATGAATTGAAATTAATTATTAATAATTTAAATTCAGCGCATGACTAAATGACCAAGAATATTATACATTTTATTTTTATGGTTGTACGTATTAATATCAAAAGTGTTTACAGTATACAATTAATGAGGTTTAAAAAGAAATGCAATACATTTTTTAAATAGAAGCTTACCAAAAACAAATGCCTTTCTTGATGATCGCCACTTCTTGCAGAAATTTTTACAATACGGCCTTCCTTAACGAGTTCACGTGTTGCACTGACTAGATCTATATCGTCATATATACTTTCTTGAATTTCTAAAAGCTTCTTAAACTTATCAATCATTTTCATTGCTTCATTAGTGTGGTTTGCTGCTATTGATACTAATTCTAAGGCTCCTAAAAATATAATCACTTTTCTTAAACGTTCGGAAATAACATTTTTAGAACAGTACATGTGCATTTAAAAATTGAACGAGTCTTACTTTTTGTATCCTCATAATCAGGATTGTCTTTAGTAAGGTTTTTTAAGTAGTCCTTCAAAAGAAGTTCGTATCTTGGTAACCTCTGAATGGGACTTAGCATATGATGAGCTAGAGAGAGTTTGGCGCACTCCTCCAATTTCTGAATGTCATTGATAATAGCTGCAAATCTTGGAACTTTATTTTGTAACGTGTTTATAAGGTTCATGGCATAATCGAAATTCTTCACATATTCGGTGTACATTTTCAGAAAAGGTGCAAAATTTTTCATGATATCACCGATTCTGGGATCAGTGTTCCAGTTGTGCATTCTTTCTTCTAGCTGCGGCAGGAGAAAATCATTATGGAACTTGTAAATTGACTTTATATTCGAGAACATGTGTTGTACTGTCTCCTGTGAGAACATTGGGTGTGCTCTATTCTCTTGGTCTACTCTAAATTGGAATACTTGGTCGATTAGGTGAAGGACATTAACATAATTGCGTTCAGTTGCTAGTAACTCTTCAGCTACTCGCTGCACCCTTTTTCTTTTTGCTTCCGAAATTTCTTTTGAATGTGATTTTATCTCTGATTCTGGTTTATCCGTCTCATTTAAGGCTGTTAATGAATTCGTCTTTGAAGACTTAGTTTCCTCGGTTTCCTCTTCACTTTCAGACTCACTAACAGTATATGAATTTAATTTGAATTGGTGTGAATTTCTCTCTGTGGCTGCATACCTGTTTGATTTAATGACATGATATTGGAATTAATTAATAATGTTTAGAAAATATAAAATATCATCGTACATTGCCTTACAATGCTGTAACTTACCTACTATTTCTATATTCTAAAACACTACGGGACATTTTAATGAATGATGCTTCACTTGAAATTTCTTCTTGCTTGTCAACATTTTCACATTCAGTGGTATCTGAAGCTGACACAATAAAAGGTTGCAATTGGGAAAAACCACCAAAGCTGGTGATTCTGTGAAAGGAATGTCGTGCATACTGATGCTCCTCTGGTCCTATTGAATCGGAATCTTGCGAGTTTCCATCTTCGCTCGTTCCACTCTGTTGCTCCAAAAATCGAGATTCACGTATTATCGGTGGTTCATCGAGTTTTTGATCAGTAGACTCCTCGTCGTCGGTAACAATCAAATCTGTATAAAATGTACTAGTGGACGAGTGAGATTTTGAGCTGAACATTCTAAATGTATCCATCAGATTGCTTCCGTCGGATGGCTCTGGGAGCAAACGAGCCATCCAGGACGAAATGTCCCTCAGCTGGCCTCTCTGCATTCTGGATTTGCACATAATATATGATCACAGAGTAGTTGGAAATAATTACATTAATACATATAAGAAGTATTTATACCTTTTTCAGCAATGTCATTCCAGTGACAAGGTAACATCAAGAATACAAATACTATTACTGACATAGTTGATCCGGGCAGGGAAACCCGATCTTGACGCATTGAATACTTTATTAGTAAGCTCTGCAATGAAATCAATTACGTGAGGAATACTGAGGATTACAGAGGAAACGGTGACATTTACTCTTCATTATATTTCAATTGACACCCTTATGTCGTCTATATAGCAAAACGTGCAGACATTGCCGAGACGACAGCTCGTCGCATTCAATGACAGGTTTGACGTTTGACGTTTACGACACATGTTATGTTACTTTTTACATGAAAACTAGTGCATGGGATAAAATGCGTGTCAAATTTGCTTATGCCGTGCGTCGACTTCTGGAGAAGTTTCATTAGTGCCTTCAATTTATCGCCAAATGTCCAAAGGCGCACTCATGGATCACCAGGAAGTATAGTGGGGAGATAACAGTATAGACGTGAATAAAGTAGAAGCTGAGAGCTGCTATTTTGTGTATGTATATACCTGAAAGAGATTTGGATTACATCTCCATCGTATCCTAAATCCGGGATTTGTAACCAGGGCGTTTATTACGTATTTTTTACGAGCGCGCTCACTTCTCGCACTTTCATCTCATGTGGGTTTATTCGCCGAATTACGTATTCGCTATATGAAAGAATGAGATCAGCAGCACTTCCGGCCTAGTAATATTTCAAATAAAAGTATATAATAACTTGTAAATCGACAATCGGTGCATTCGGAGGAGAAAAGCGGTTACCGATGAGTTGGGAACATTTTGCGATTTTCTGCTGAAAATGGCGATTAGAATGGTCTGATCAGTAAACATGTTTACTGATCGTACCCATTCAGCAGATAAGCGCTATCCGATCACTAAACAGCTGTCTCCTCTGAATGCACCCATTGTTGACAGGTAGTGGGTTATAGGCAGGAAAGGCGGGAAGATGGAAAGCCTTTAAAAGTAAAGAAGAGGAATCGAGTCTATCTATATTTTTTAAATGTGTATTACATTTCTATTTACATGTACGTATTATAATTAGAAGTTTAACGATATAATTCTCTTATCGTGTCATGTAAGCATGAATTATTTAACAGTTTTCAATGTTTAATAATGTAATATAACCTCGCAATAACAAAAACTAACCTGTACATCCTAGTAAATTCTTTTTTTTCTAACGAAAATGGGTTTGAGGCATCACGTAATTCCCCTCCTCTTCTAATAAGGTTATTATTACGTCTCCGAATACGATTATTGCCAAAAATCAAAACACCCAGGAGGTTTCTCATTTGAATTTCGGTGTCACAATCCGCGGAAGATGGCGTTCACGACTCTTATTTTTTTATCTTTTCTTGTATGCTTCACCATTTTGCTTAAAAATTTGTGCCTAGGCACTTCATATGAATGGTCTCGCATTTTCACCACAAAAAACGTTCCGTAATACCGTAAGCTCCTCATTTTGCACATTTTCGCTCAATTTGCTTTACGTAATAGACCCCCTTGATCGATTCCTGAGTAATTATTAATGCGATAAAGAGATGCAATTTACTGGATCCGGACTCGATAAATCCCGGATTAAGGAGAACGATGAAAACGTAGTCATTGGGAACCATTACCCACAGAGCAATTTGAAAATGATTGTTCAGTTGGTAATATCTCAAGTACTTGTTGGTTGTCAATTTGTCTCTAGCATTAGGCTCGAAGTTAAAACTCCGAGCCGGAATCCAGCGCAGATGCAGTTACAAAGTTCGAAGTGGTGTTATCGATGGCTGTCGAAGCCGGATTTGTGATAATAATCTGCAGTCTCTGTTATCTGCAATAATCGAGAATTTATGCAGTTGTAAAAATATTTAAGCTTTTTTCTTATGTTTAATAGATTTTCACTAATCAAAGAATATTTTAACATTGATTAACTTTAAGTTGTCCATAAGCCATCAACTGTTTAATTTCAGTTGACACCAAAGAGACATTGTTTATCACTGATAGTGTTCTCCAAACTTCTAATAATGTGCCAAAAAGAATAATAGCAGATGGTAATAAAGTCTTATTCAGTAGTATACTAATCATATAACTTGTATAGTTTTTAGCATTAATTGAGAAAGAAGGAATTTAACAAATTTTTTCAGAAACCGTTGAATCAATTGTAATCAAGGACATAATCTAGTACCAAAAAAAATGCTAGTCTTAAGCGTACTCCGCCAAATCACTTTAAGGTGGTTCAATGTGAAACAAAAAACCTCCCAAGGAGTTCAATCGGCTCGAGATGCCATCTTTCAAGGAGGAATGATTGTCGTCTGTTCCATTCTAATTATCTGGGTCTCCATATTCCTTTATACAGCTTTTTACTATGCTTACATGCCTAGTATGACTTATGTAAAACCAGTGCATTTAACATTTGAGTGAGTTTCATTTTTCTTTAATTTTCAATGCATTTCTGCTTGTGTGTAAATGTTTATTAAACTTGTTTTACGTACCTCAGTTCATGCAAAGCAGTAAAAGGTATATGTAGTTTTCCAACTGCATATGTGTATTTAACGAAGAAACAGCAACTTTTTATGGTTGGCCAGCCATATAAGGTCAATTTACTTCTGGAGATGCCAGAATCTCCAGCTAATAAAGAAGTTGGTATGTTAATTGACAGAATTATCCAGAAAATTTAAGTGACTTTCTTATCTTTTGCGTTATACAATAAAAATGTCTTTATTAATATCTTTTCTTTATTTTATAGGTATGTTTATGGTATGTGCAAAATTGCAGAGTAGAGATGGAGTTCTTGTTAAGCACTCATGCCGTTCTACGATGTTACATTATCGTAGTACTCTTTTGCACACGTTGACTACTTTAACTTTTTCACCAATGATGATTTTTGGAGTCACAGAAGAAAAACAGAATATTGTTCTTGAGTTGTTTGCAAACTTCGTAGAGGATCAAGTAGGCAGTATATTATTTGTCACATATTAATAGGAGCTTAAAATGTCTTTATACATTTATGTATTTACTATTTTCCTTTTTAGAGTCATCCTGTAACATTGGTGCATGTTGAGATTCAATCGCATCACGTGGAATTTTATTCTGCGACTATAATAATAAATGCTCACTTATCAGGCCTTCGATATCTAATGTTTCATTGGCCAATATTATCTGCCATTGTAGGGATTAGTACAAACTTGTTTTTCATAGCACTCGTGTGTATTTTGTCATACTTGCACTTTACCTCTGAAGAAGATAATGCAGATGAAAATTTTCCTTATGAGAAGGGAGAGGTGGATGATAAAGATGCGAAGTTAGATAGTGAATGTATGTATTTGTTTCAATGTAAATTGTTATAACTCGTGATGAAAAATGGATTCATCATATTTAAATGTTACAATTATTTTTAAAGTGTCAAGGGATGCATCGTCTACAGAAGATGTTTCAATGTTTGAGGAATTTCCCACATTGCTTGAAAAAGACCCACCAAGTCTAGCAGATCCATCACTAGAGAAACAAAGTTACATTCAAGAAATACCTTCGTGATTTGCTAAACCATTGACAAAACTGATGAAATGAGTGATGTGTTTCAGGTATAGTACAGGTACCAATAAATGTTGAAAAGACATTCCAACTAAAATCAACTAGAATTGTTTGACAAGATTTATACAACTCAGGCTTTAATATAATTGTTGTAGTAGATTGTATGTTTCAATTGATAGAGTTTAAATGTGGCATAATGATAAAAACCTCATGTTAACTTTTTAAAAATATTTTTAAAGAAGGAAAGCTGTTGTCATTTTGGAGGGAATTGTATCCATTTAAGAATCTTTAATATACACAAGTCAATAATTGTATTGACAAAATCGACATAATAATGTGCACCATTATGTAAATAAAATGAAAAAATTGTACAATAAATTCAATCTTCAATGGCATTCACAAGAAACCCAGGAGTATACGATTACAAATTTTACTCATTTAAATTAATTTTAGTACCATATTTTTTATTGCGTATTGTTGTGCAAGATGAAAATATTTATAAACAAATTTAATTAGATGTGTTACTTATCCTGTTTGTACTTTTTCCTAATCTTAACAATATTCATGTAAAAGACAACATACTCAATATTAATGCACAGAAGTAAGTTTATAAAATGAAAATAATCCAAAGAAGAATCACTGCCTCATAATTCTTGAGCCATATCTACAGATTTGTATAATTTTTGAGATCCTACTTAATTTGTCAATAACATGGTTATCCTATTTCATTATATAGGGTGTCCCATGGGAAGTTGTTGAAACTAATCGGCAATTATTTTGAAATGCATGCAGGTATCAAGATGTCTCAAATTGCTTTCAAAAGAAGGCATTTGGAGGTTTTTTCATGCATAAATTTAATGATAAATATTTTCAAAGTGTTCACCATCACCACTCGAGCAACAATCAATTCTTTTTCGAAAACTATACAAAACTTTGCTTAATATTTCATCTGATACACTATTTACAGTTTTTCTAATAGCTTTTGTCAATTCTTCTGTTGTTCGATTTTCAAAATAACAGTGATCTTTAATGTAACCCCATAAGAAAAAGTCACAGGGGTTTAAATCTGGGGAGTATGGTGGCCACTCAATTCCTCCTTGAGTAAATTTAGGGTATCTTGAACCAATCACTCGATTTTCATATACCTTGTAAACAGCGTCAACACTTCTTTGGTGCACTTTGATGCTGCTCCATCATGGTATGTACCTTTATTTGAAATATTACTAGTCCGGAAGTGCTAGTGATCTCGTTCTTTTATATAGCGAATAGGTAATTCGGCGATTAAACTCACGTGAGATGAGAGTGCGAGAAGTGAGCGCTCTCGTCAAAAATACGTAATAAACGCCCTGGTATGTATCCTAATAAGATTTCGGAACGCAGCTTTGGTGCATGTTGCTTCAAGGTAGAAGTCACCCCCACCATTTGAGTGTTTTCTCCTATATAGAAGCCGTGCTGTGGTCGAATGGCTGCCCTTTTGAAGTTGGCCGTGCTTTAAAGGAGGTAGGTACGAAGAAATTTTCTCCACGTTTTGATTTTTGACAGGTAATTTATTTCGATTTTTCACACCTACCGTATGTAAGAAAAGGCTGCATCATTTATTTTATGAAAGACTGTAATTGTCGTTAATTACAAAATATATTACGATAAACTTAACATATGTTATCAAGGGTCAGATTTAGGAGACAATAGGTTAGAATCGGAAGAGCAAATATGTATTACCCGAATATGATATATATAATTCCAAAATTAGATCCCGATACATTAGTTGTGTTAACTATTGTTTCAACATATTAATAATTGTTGATAATTAACAGTTTGTTGACGTAATAATTAATTTTAAATAAAAAATTTTAAGTCATCAATGACACGTATTATACAGTCGATGAATACATTTCTGTTTACTTTCTTTATGTTTCAGTAACGTGGTATTTTAATTCAGCTTCAAAATGCCGCCTAAGAAGTCTATGGAAGAAACCGATCGGTTAACTCGAATAGCTATTGTGAACTCTGATAAGTGTAAGCCTAAGCGATGTAGGCAAGAATGTAAACGTTCTTGTCCTGTTGTGCGAATGGGAAAACTTTGTATAGAGGTTACTCCAAATAGTAAAATAGCCTCAATTTCTGAAGAATTGTGTATTGGATGCGGTATCTGTGTTAAGGTAATTAATATTCGTAATGGTATGACAGTGATTAAAGAGTGTATTTACTAGTTATTATTTGGTCAAAATAATTTGCTACTTCTGTTTACAGAAATGCCCATTTGAAGCGATATCTATTATTAATCTTCCAAGTAACTTGGAAAAAGAAACAACTCATCGATATTCAAAAAATTCATTTAAACTACATAGACTTCCAATTCCAAGACCAGGTGAGGTTCTTGGACTAGTTGGAACCAATGGAATTGGAAAATCAAGTGCGCTCAAAATATTAGCAGGCAAACAAAAGCCTAATTTAGGTCGTTTTACGGTTTGTATAGTTTTTTATATTGAACATGGAACTTTGTTTTCAATGGTATATAAATTATGTTTTCTTATTTCTTTATTTAGGATCCCCCAGATTGGACAGAGATTCTCAGTCACTTTAGAGGTAGTGAACTGCAGAATTATTTTACCAAAATTTTAGAAGATGATTTGAAAGCACTTATTAAGCCGCAATATGTCGATCAGATCCCAAAAGCTGTAAAAGGCACTGTCCAGCAACTGCTTGATAAGAAAGATGAGTGCAAAAATCAAATTGAAATTTGCAAAATGCTAGGTATAATTCTGATGTCTTTTACGTTACTGCATTTCATGATGTAGATTTTATAGATTTATATATTTAAATTGTTTTTAGATTTAACGCACATACGTGATCGAGGAATTGAAGCTCTCTCAGGAGGAGAATTGCAAAGGTTTGCATGTGCTATGGTCTGCATTCAAGATGGTGATATTTTCATGTTTGATGAACCATCTTCTTATTTAGATGTAAAGCAACGTCTGAACGCTGCTGTTACAATTAGGTCTCTTATACATCCTGATAAGTAAGTGTTTAGTACAAATTTTGCAATTCATTAGGATTACTGAAAAAGTGTACTTTGTTTTTATATATCTTTTTGTTTATACCAGATTCATAATAGTAGTAGAACACGATTTGTCCGTTTTGGACTACTTGTCTGACTTTATATGCTGTCTGTATGGTGTTCCCGGTGCTTATGGTGTTGTCACTATGCCATTTTCGGTTCGAGAAGGTATTAATATTTTCCTTGATGGATTTGTGCCGACTGAGAACCTGCGTTTTCGCGAAGAGTCTCTTGTTTTCAAAGTGGCAGAAAGTGCAACCGAAGAAGAAGTAAAGCGTATGAATCACTATGAATATCCAGCTATGGTTAAAACTATGGGTTCGTTTGAATTAACAGTGGAAAGAGGACAGTTTACAGATTCCGAGATTCTGGTACTATTAGGTGAAAATGGAACTGGAAAAACTACATTCATAAGAATGTTAGCTGGTAATTTACCACCAGATGACGGTTCAGGTAAGCTGTTCATAAATATTAAAAAAAAAAACATTTAATATACAGGGTGTTACAAAAGTGATGGACATGGTTTGCACAACAATATTCTTCTCTAAAATGGAGTCAAAAAGTTCTGAACTATTTTTTACTGCAGTGAATTGTTTACCTGTAATAATTAATTGAATAATAACCAACCAGGCATGTCAATTAGTGGAACTCGAATCAAAGGGTTCACCGTAAATTGTCTTGCCCACTCTGCACACAGCAGAATGTGGATGATATGTGTTCGGCTTAATCGATATGTCTGGTTGGATCTTTTTAATTCATTAATACAAATAAACCATGAACTGTAGAAAAAAATAGTACAGAACTTTTCGACTTCATTTTCGATAAGGATTGCGCCATGTAAATCGTGTTCACCATGTTTGTAATACCTTGTATATCAAATTACATTTAATGCATTGAGTGCTGAAACAATTAATGAATATAGTATCTGAATGGAGTTGCAGGCCATTTGTGACCCATGCAGTATTCAATATTATTAAAGTACTCATAATTATAAAAATGAATATAGCTTACATTGCTGCATATTTTTCTTATTCTTGTAGGAAATATCCCACAGTTACACATTAGTTACAAGCCGCAAAAAATTAGTCCCAAGTCACAGGGCATCGTCAGGCAATTATTACATGAAAAAATTAGAGATGCATACGTTCATCCACAATTTGTTACTGATGTTATGAAGCCTCTAAAGATTGACGATATTATGGATCAAGAGGTACAAAATCTGTCTGGAGGAGAGTTGCAACGGGTTGCATTGGCACTATGTCTTGGAAAACCTGCAGATGTCTACCTAATTGACGAACCTTCTGCATACTTAGATTCCGAACAGCGTCTAGTGGCTGCGAAAGTCATAAAAAGGTTTCCTATCTTCCTATTCTTTGGTTTTTCTAGTTTTAATATTAATTGCATTTCCATAAGCGGGTAAAACATTTAGAAAAGAACGAACATGTATTATTTCATGAAATATTTTCAGGTTTATATTGCATGCGAAGAAGACTGGATTTGTTGTGGAGCATGACTTCATAATGGCTACATATTTAGCTGATCGTGTTATCGTATTCTCTGGAGTACCTTCCCTTAAAACTGTTGCACATAGCCCACAGTCGTTGTTGAATGGTATGAATAGGTTCTTGGAGTTATTAGGAATAACGTTTAGACGAGATCCCAATAACTTCCGACCGAGAATCAACAAAAATCAATCCGTTAAGGTAATTTATAAACTGTAAATATAGGACTGCTGCTTTGATTTAAAAAGTATTAAAAATATTGTTTGCTGCTACTTTTATCATGTTTTTTTTTTTTTAGGATCTGGAACAGAAGAAGGCCGGCCAATATTTCTTCCTTGAAGAATAATGTGCATATGTTTGCCGATAACTTAGGTAATCTTCACTGCATGGAAACAATCCGACTTTTCAACATTTGCGAACACGTGATGATTATCTCGAAATAAATTTACTGGAAATGTCGATTTGGATTTTTGTTACTAACACTCATCTCATTGTTTTACATTTCATCACGAATATTTAATCCGTTTCCTTACGAATTTTCAGTTCCTGAAAAGTTGATTTCAATCAATGCAATTTGATCTACTTTGCTAAACTTGTCATTTAGTCAAAGGAATCAGAATGAAAAATTATTCACGTATTTACCATTGATTTTATATGAAAGGAAAGATAAGAACCCAATGAGAACATAAATTTGAACATTGTATAGATATAATTGAATGAATTTTTATATTTAATTTATACATAAGCATGATCAAGATATTAAGTCAGCCATTAATTAGCACTATAAAGTATTTGGTGTTGTATATGAATTGTTTGATATTTTTCTTTGCTTTTGAAGTACTTATACAAGACTCGGTGAAAGATGTTATATTTTTACGGTGTAATTTATTGCATTACATAAATACGCGTGCAAACATTTCATATGCTTTTATATACGAAATCCCAAAAGACAGGAAATTGTTTTTTTTATTATTTTTTTTTATTGAGAATACTCTGAACTTGCCTAACACGCATCAGAAACCAATAATCATATTCTATGGTAAATGTTTTACAGTAACTATAATACGATGTAACAGTTTATATTGTCACAAATCGAAACAGTTTGTACGGAATCATGATTCAATTTTTGATTATAGTCATTGACTTTTATATTGGCAGGGTACAGTGGGATAAGTTTATAGTCAAATTTTGAGACATCGATTTAGCATATAAATGTTCACTTTGTATATTTCGTCGTCATATTTCTTTAACAAGAATTACAATGATCACGGTAAAGGTAACGTCAATATAACATTTAACATATATCTAGTTACTTATTAATTGTAACAGTCATAATCACGACATATAATTAAATATGTACAGTAACTTTTTCAATATATCTAAATCGTGTATTATCTATACATATATGTATATCTTTTTATTGTTTATTGTACGAAACAATTCCACGTATTTGTCAACGTTAATGGGTACACACTGTAATAAAAATGTTATTACACGAGTATCCCGTATTAAATCTGCATCCTTGCTAAGCACAATGCAATTACGCCGCACGAATAGTAACTACGAAACGGTCTAAAAAATATTGCTTTATATTTATTTAGGCGAAAGCAGTGATATAATATCAACAATCACGTCCCCTCCCGAAGCTTTACTATTGTAGCGAATTTTCGTATATCTTCGCCGATCAGCGTAAATACCGCATCATTTACTACCTTAGAATTTAAACACGTTATAACAATTTCCCACGCCTTAATTCTATGACATAACGCTTCCGATCAAGTTTACGCATAACAAACTCTCATAATACTGCATCGGTAAAATCCCTTCGACAGGATGAACTTTGAAATCAAACCAGGATAGAATGCTTTACCCCAAATGCTCACCCATAACTCGTTACAAAATTTCAATTTAACCACTTGAGTCTCTTCAAAATTCGCGTTCCCTCTTCTCGTAAGAAACGCAAATTCTAATGAGATAAGACTTTTTACTCGAACGTTTTATACAAAATTACTTGGGATAAAAACCAGACTTTTGTTCCTTCTTTACGCGTTTATTAGTACGAGTTGGACGATGGAGTGAGGGGTAAAGAATTCTCTCCGTGTCGCCTTGTCGCGACTGCATACGTAACCGAGAAATATTATTTATAAAATATCTACTATCTAGACTATGAGATGGGAGACGTCTGCGGTGTAGGCCGCAGGTGACAGTCGTATGTCCTCCGAACGTGACAGTGGTCGTTGACGGATGTCACTGTCACCTGGCCAGGCTCTTCCCGGACTACGGGGTGTCAGACTAGACCTAGGAACCGAATCTACTGCCAAACTTACGGTCGCTGGGTCATTTAAACCATTACTTTGAAGTCTTCGCTGTGCCGCTATCGAGGCACGCAAGGTTTTGCGTTTCTGTAAAAGACAGATAGCATAACTACTCTATACTTGACATTGGAGACCGAAAACGCTTTTTCGAGTAATGGCTGCTTATTTGGTTCTGTTACTAATGATGACTTCACTTAAATTTAATCAACCTTGGAGGAGGAAAATAGTCTTCTTTTGGACAAGCGCGATCTTAGGATTATTTATAATTATGGAATTGACGAATATAATGATTGTCCTGATATCGCCTTTTTTATTTGTAAATTAGAGCTGAACGTTCTACCAGAATTCACTCGCGTTTGAAACTTGTCCGCCGAGAAATTACTTTATTGCGTAATTTGTACGCTTTGTATCTCAATAGTAATCTTGTCGATTTCATTCGCAGAAACGCTTTCGCGGATCATGCAATGGAATATTTGATATTTCCTAATTTATTGGCTCGGCTAACAAGCAAGATTAAGCATACGGTGAGACGAAGTGCTTTGGCTAAATGAATTTTTGAGCATTTGGTGCAGAGTGCACGGAGAAACTAGGAAACTTGTTCTCTACTACTATTCAGATTGCACAGAAGTGAGTCGTGTTTAGCGTTAAGAAAAATAACGATAAAGAAGAGGAGAATATTTTAGATGAGTAACGATATCGCAGTAGAATTAGACAGGCGAGGATTTACGTAATTACTGTTGACCCTTTGCCGTTGTAACGACTGTCCGTCGGAACAATTAGCTTATCTCCCCTGTTGATCTACACGAAACTACAAAGTGAGCTTGTGAAACAAAGGAACATCGATACCTCGTCACCCTGGTTGCCAGGAAACAAACATAACTTACAGAAAACACAGACAAAAACAAGTACATTGACATATCGATACGTATGACGTGGAATTTCGCTCAATCGCGACTCACCTCGATCGCACCTCGCCATTTGTCGGCCGCATGCCTCGCCAGCTCCAATTTCTTCTGTTTTCGAATTTGGTGTTTTTTGTACGCCATTTCGATTATGATCAACCCTATTCCGCCGACTATGCCGGCTCCGACGAGAATAAAGACCCCAGCCATGTTTTTCAAGCCAAGAGTGTTTGGAGTCTTTTCGAATTGCTCGCACTGTTGAATGTTCCCCTGAAGGATCCACTCGTTGTCGAGGCTTTCCATGAAACCGCCTGGAAAAGCGCGATCATTAAGAAAAATCATACAAATAAAAAACAAGAAGTAGGAATCGGCACACGGCCGCTCTGCTCGTTGGAAGTAAAACTTATAATTTGAAGAGAATTATTATTAATTATTCTTTCAGAAAATGTTCTTACGGGTTCTCTATTGCTTGTTAAGGCATAACAATGACAACACACGGGTGATTATAAATAGTAGTTTACTATAAAAAAAAAAAGGAATTTCGATGAGATATCGGTGACAATGAATGGCGATTTTAAGGTGATATGAAATTGATGAAACTTTTCTCTTAAATGGGCGTACCGAATCGTTTAAAATTTTTCTGTGTGAATATGGAGGCTCTAAGGAAGGTCCGGATATTTATGAAATTTCTTTTGTTATATAAAATGTTGTCATACGGCAGGAAGTGTTCATGTCAACTAAGCCATGCCAAAAGCACAGCCAGTGATTGACTTTTTAGACAACAATAAAAAGTTGACGCAAATTGTTAACCAAAAAAACTCAATACTAAAATACAAAGATGAAAGTTAATAGAAATCAGTTGTAAAAAAATTAAGTATTCCGCTATTCGATACGCTTATCTTTTGATGTGAACTTATTCTACTTATTGCGTCATGAAAAAATTAAGTATTCCGCTATTCGATACGCTTATCTTTTGATGTGAACTTATTCTACTTATTGCGTCATGAAAAAATTCATGTAAAATAATGTTCACACTTCTTACTTTCATGGAAGTCCAATATGGCCAAAGTTACGGCGTCGGCCCAAGGAGATGCTTTTTGCAATCCGATTCCGTATCCGGAACGACCGAATAATTCGCCAGCTGTGACCAACTCGCAATCCTGAGCAGCTTCGAACTCCAAACGTGAACTATCCCAAATAAATGCCATCAGCTTTCTGGAAATGAACGAAAATCGATTCATCGAATCACCTTGAACACTGTTATATAACTGTTGGGTAAATGTTACGTTTTCGAAACTAACACGTTATGCAGCATAAAAGTAACATTTCAGTTAGATGTTAGTTATTATTTCCCACTTAGTAAGGTAACATGTTATGTAACATGTTATATTAATGTTATAATTTCAGTTACTTTAAAGTAATGTTAATTTTTCATACATTTATTTAAAAAAATCACGCAATTTTATAAAAAATTATAAGATTTTTTATTTTTTATTATTTTTTGATACTTGACAATAGATATTAAATGACACGTCAGACTTTCAATGAAATTATGTAATGATAAACTATCTGATTTTACTTAAAGACAATTAGGATTTCATTTCACTAGCAAACAATGACTGGTAATGTATATGCGCGTATGAATTAAAGTCACATGTTTTCATACGAGTAGTAAACAAAATATGACATATATTAATCTTATGGCATTTGACGAAGAATTATGACAATGACGATGACGATGATGTAATATAATAGATTACAGTTAGCATCAATGTACTTCTATTTTGTTACAAATATGTGCTGCATATACACACTAATATTAGGACAGTAACATAATGTAAGAGAAGAGTAACAAAGTTACGCTACATTTATGTAGATATGATAGTAACAAATGTTATGTAACCTGTTAGCTCCATGTTACATACCTGTTAAGCTACTGCATTGTAACAAATGGCATGTAACTATGTTATGTATGTATGTAACTAGCTCTATGTTACGTAACTGTTAGGTTATTATATTGTAACAAACGTTATGTTATTTGTTAGTTTTAAGTTACGTAAATGTTTGGTTTTTACATTGTAACAAACGTTATGTTATTTGTTAGTTTTAAGTTACGTAACTGTTAGGTTTGGTGTTCAGTGGGTATATTGTGGAGTTAGTGAAAAGAGATAAATTGTTCGAATTTGTTAAACACGTTAAACGGTACAATGGTCAACGTTGGCCATTTCTGAATTTTCAATTAACAGTATTTGCACCGGTGACTGACACGCGATTAGTACTTTGTGTACTATATGTTACACGTTATATCTTTGTGCAATTCCACCCTACAATTCAATTTAGTGTTCTATTATTCATTTTAACAGAATATAATCTAAGTGGCCTAAACTGATAGTCTGTTAAAATACGCGTGGCGATAAATGCGATAAAGAGTGATGAATTTACCCAATTTTGACGTCATGTATGGCGTCTTCGGCAGTGTCGTAATTATTAGCTTCCATTGTGCGATACATGTTGGACAGTTCCACCTGTCTTCGGAAGTACATGTCAACGGCAGATCCCTTCACCGTTGCGCAGGTCAGGTTTTCCATGGTGTTCCTAAGCTTTCGTACATGCATTGGTTGCGTTAATTTAGGGGTGCATTTTACCAAGTTATTGCATTTCAATAAGAGGATATTCTACTGTGAAATTTGCAGAAAAGAGGAAAAATTGTTTCTCTCGTGAAAAAATAAATGAAACTTTTTTTAGTTAATGCGTGAAAAGTCTCGTGTCAAAATTCATATTTTCAGATTTACAGCGTTTACAATCGAGGAATACTTGTGCAAGTGTACGCACTGATCTGGCGGAGCAGCGTCATATCCTGCATCCTTTTTTTTTATTGTACTTCTCGTACAATGAACGTTAAATTTGTTGTTATTTTAACGACACAAGTTCAGAAAAATTGGCTGCCATGATCGGGTATGTACGATTAAAAACGTAAAGATCGGCTGTTTGATACGTTCTCAATGATACGAATTTAAATGTCTTTTTCTCGAAACAATCTTTTTTAGAACGATGTACATATCTCAGATTATAATTAATAACTTGCCTTGAAATTTGGAGAACACATTCCGAGAAATAGAAGTTCGATTTGTAACGTGGTAAAATTTTAATTCATTCGGTTGATTACGTTCGGAGAAAAGTTTTATAAACAAGAAACACGTCACTTCCATTTCGCTTTAAGATACTACCAACAGAAATCGTACTGAACGGAATCGTATTTATAATGTTTCCGTAATTAAATTCTTAAAAATATACACATTTTCGGCTAGTCACAGTAGGATACCCCGTTAAAAGGTTACTTATGTAGATCTTCATTTCTGGTCTCACCAAAGAAGGTCATTTTCTCGCGAATCCTTTTATTTTTCATTGCAAGAACGGTACGAACCGCCATTGATTCGGTGAGACCAGAAAATATCTTTAAGTGGATTCATTTTTTATCGTGAGAAAAAGTATGTTAAATTCTGAGTCAATTCTATCTTTCAACTTACTCGCGCATCATTTATTCCCGTCAATTTTGTCTTGGGTCGTTCCAACACGAGGAAAGCAGCAAGATTGGCAGTGTACGAAGCCACGATGATCATTGCAAAGCCAGCCCATACCATTCCCAGGACCCGTGCAGAAAAACTTCGAGGTGTGCCTTTGATTCGAGTAACACGTTAACATTTCCAAATTCTATCTAATAATCGATTCTCCCCTTCCCTTCGATTCAAATTCATATAATTTTCTGTTACAGCTTCATTCCAAGTCATTCCGGCACCTACACCTTACTTCTAAATGATATATCTTTCTAGCTCTCGAAGACTGCAATACACTCTAGAAACACTATTCTAAGTAACTAGGATTACCATCTCAGCGTTAATAATGGTTTTATAGAGATTAGTAAAGAATTTCATTTTTGGGTATTAATTGTTTGAAATATTAAGCATGAATGGTTGTCATTTAGACATAGAATACGTCTTTGTAGAAGGTTTACAAGGTCCTGTTCCACGCTCAACGGTGTGACGAAAACATGTCACGTACATATTCATTGATTATTACTTGTATAATTACTGGAAAACGAAGTAGAAAATGTACGAAATGAAATAGCAAAAATGTCTGTCCATGCTGAGATAAAATAAAATTTAAATAGTTTCAAAAACTAACAAAATGACGCCCTTTTGAAGTTTAACAGGATTTTCCATGTAGTCACTTTTGAAGCAATTTATATCTAATGATTATCCGACAATTAAAAATGAATGGCCTTTCTAAAGCGATCACATAAAAACTTTCTATAAAGTCTACAACCGCTATAAAAATACAAACGGTATTCAATCCATAAACGGAAACGGGGTTATTTTAATCCAATATCATATCATAAATCTGCACTTTGCATATGTAATCTGGAGCTTTATCATGTTCTCACGTAAGTAGCTGTGATGAATAACAATCGGAAAGAAAAAAAAAGTGAGTTTATTAGTTGAAGGACGACGTTTATATTTTTTGTGTAGGTACATTTGTGCCCATAATTATGAAAGTGGTCTAAGTCATATATTTTTTGTTTCGAAATGACATTGAATTAATTTCGTTTGAAATAATATGGCGTGAAATAACTGATAAACTCATTTTTTTTTTTTAATTTTGACTTAGACCACTTTCATAATTATGGGCACATTTATGATATGGTGACGTTACAAATGGATAATGACCAGATTTCCGTTTAAAGGTAGATATTCAAGGGTTTCAACGACGTATTCTACGTAAATCTTTGGTTGAAAATTCAACGCTGCCAATTGTTTTTGCTCGTGGCATTCTAATCGAACTATTTATCGTTTTACCTTCTCCGATCCCACTGTTGAGCAGAACTCCCCAGGCGAACCAAATCGCGCTGGATAAGTTGAGAGCATCCTCCTCGGTGCCGTCAGTGTTGGCTAGCTTGAACCTCCCGAAAGGCGAGAACCGGTCGAGGAGGTACAGAACTAGTGCCACTACGTGCACCGACACCATCACCAGGATCCAGAGAGTGTTGCTGAACGGTTGTAAAAATGACACCAATGTCGACGATCTTGAAGGCTGAAAATCATTCAACAAAATGGAATTATATCTTAACGTCTCACCAAGCAAACTGTAACAGTTACACAACACAGGAATAATATGATATATAACGAATGTTTTCAAAAGATACATTAATATCATATAACGCCGAATTATTACCGTTCGGTAACAGTGGTACAAACTTGTTAGCACTGCAGTTATATGATATTAACATAACATGTTACATGTTACACGTTACCGATATATTATGTATACGTTCCGTTATTCGTTTTATATTAGTGTTATATAGCTGCGTATGAAATTGTAATATGGATCTTACTTATATATTAGATGTATGTCATATTGCATGTTACAATCGTTATGTAACGGTTGTATTATTGTTATGTAACCGTGTTTCGTGGGATAATATGGTACCGATATGTCATGTGTACGTTGTATTATTCGTTATATAATAGTGTCATATAACTGCGTAGGAAATGATAATATAAATTTTACGTACAGGGGTTATATATGCGACATTGCATTTTACAAAAACGCGTGTAATGGTTATATTGTTGTTATGTCACGGTGTTCGATGGGATAGCCTTTATGCATTGAGCAAAAAAATAACTTTCTGGAAAGAAGAAAATTCTTGTATCCAATACAATTTTAGTTGCTCCTGTGAATAAAGTAGGCTGTAGGGTTGATTGCAATATCGATAATTTCTAAAGAGTCACTTTTGCTGGAGCCAAGAAATTTCTTCAGCAAAACCTTGTCCTAAGTAATTACTTTCGCCTGGAAAGTACATTTTTCGCTCGGTGTGGAACTTATTTCCTGTTTTATGCAGTAATTTATAACACATGATTTACTTTTTTTTCAAGGATGGTGATGCCCTGGTACTTGAATGGTTTGCTGAACTCGATGAATTCTGCACGTTCTGGGTTTATAGTGAGAGGAGCCACTATCATATCTGCTCGTTCGTTCACTAGCTCGCCTACAAGGCCGCTCCATTCTTTTTTTCCTCCTAGGGAAAATTTAAAAGATTTCTATGAAATGTTAATTTCCAGGATCAAACGAATTCTGCTCGGTTAAGTTCACGTTCAATTGTACCTGAGCTGTTTTTTATCGTGTAGCTCCCAAACTGACCGTCCGGTGATAGAGCCAGGTTGTAAGTAAAGTTGATTACCGTTGATAATTCTTTGAGTAAATCGACACAGTAACCCTTACAACAGTATGTTTCCGTATCTGAAATGAAAAGTAGTTTACCCTGAGCGAGAAATCACTTTCTAGAAAAAAGAAATTCTTGTGACAAATAGAAATTCATTGGTCCTTATCAACAAAATACGATGGAATGCAATTAAGGCACATTATGAACAATACTCGATTTTCTTAAACTCAGCTTCATGAAATCTGTTTCACTCATTATCATTACAGGTTCTTTGCATAAACATATTATAATGAAAAATGTATTCACTTGAAAGACTTTGCAGGAATTAATATTTTTGTCAATCTACAAACAATATAGAATTTAATAGAATAATCAGTACGTCTGTTTTTCGCAAACCTTTGACAATTACCGGTGAACTCTTTCTTGCACCGACTTCAAATAATACTTACTCGTCATTCATAATTTTATATATCAAGTATCGGTACCAAGTTGTTTGAATTCAATGCGACATATTATCTAATACGTGATATAGTTTTCACTGTTTTCAATGCTTGAGATGAATTTTTTACATGAAATATTGTTCGCAAAATCGTTTTCATTCGATATTAACTTGCCATCACTTGGGTTGCAACATCGATAATTCATGCGAAATCAATTTTAACGGAGCCAAGAAATTACTTTAGTAAGAGATATTTAAATTGCCGCAAGTAATTAATTTCGCCTAGAAAATTAACTTTTCGCTCAGTGTGAAGGAGTTTTTTTCGAATTTTTTATCGATGATTTTTAATGATTGATACTTACTATTAGTTTCTGTGGTATTAAAATGAGGGCAAGGAACTTCTTCTGGTAGGCAGTCGTCGATGCTGGCAGCTTCGCGTACATATACAAACGGTTTCTCCTCAATTGTTAGGACCATTAAATGCGTGGGGATCATAAAACCCTCCGGCTTATTCTGTAAGTGTCCTGGCCAAGTTATGTTCGCCTCGTCCAACTTTAACTTCATTTTGCTCGCGTTCTACGAGAGATCAAATAACGTGCTATTTCATTCGGCTTTTTCGGTCGTAGCTCTCTACTCTAGATTTGTATATCACTTACAGCGGAGTAAAAATATTGGCCAACCGACACTGGCTCTCTATCCTTAATATTAACAACATCGTATTCTGCAAAAATCCTGTCGCCATTGTCGTCAAAAGCGACTCGACCTGTGGCACCGGTTTCTAGAACTTGGCGTCGTATGTAACTGAAAACAGTGAATATGTAAATACGTCGTTATTTCCAAGCATATATCAAAGGATTCTTTAAACTTTTGACCTTTTAATTCTACGAGTACTTACTCGAAAAGTATTTTTCCGGTTTCCCAAATGGACCCGGAGTCATTGCAATCCGTTGGAGCTTCGGAAATGTCTTCCGTTGCATTCATAACTCGCAATGCTGACACGAGTATGTACCTGAAGACAATCGAGAACACGGAGTTTTATTTTACTCTCTGAGTTTCTATTATTTCTTGTATTCATGACGATTACCTATAGCTGAAATTAACTCTTTACTTACAGACTGTCCTTTATATGAGCTTTTTCATCTACAGCGTTTATTAGCTTCAAACCTAGCAGACCTTCCGGTGCATTTGGAGCTTGGAGAGCTTGTTCGGTTACAATCCATACATATCCAGCACCAGTCATGTTTAAGGCCGCAGCGTCTCTAAAGATTACCTCTGCATCTGATTTTCTGGACAGAAAAAGAAGTAGACTATGAATTCACAATTTGAAATGCTGAATAGGGAAAGAGTTTTAGGTAGAGAAATATTTATTATCAATTTTTAAATGAAACTTTTATGTCATGATAATACGTGTACATAAATTCGCATGTTTAAAAAGGGGAGCAAATCGAAAAGCGAAATATTTATTTTTTTTCTCATAGTTACTTACTATTTACATTTATCTTTGCATGCCTCTGTTTGATCCGATTTACGTATACGGTCTCGTTAGTGTTGGTGGTTTTCTCAGATAATTTTACAATTAATAACTATTGATATTCATCTATGCGCGTTATTATCGTGTATCGTATATCCAAAACAAAGTACCAAACGCGTCAAGACATTTCGTGAGTTAATGTTTTAAGAATAATCAAACCGTTGACTGTGAAACGCGTATATACATATATGCTCAACATTTCGTTCACTGTTGCTTGCACGCGTTTATAAATTTCGCTCACGATTTGACGGTTACGCATCAATACTAATCAATCGTCTAAGTTTCGTAATTAGGAATCGAAGGAAATACTTACATGGCGTACATAAGACAAACTCTGGCTTGAGCACTCTTCATCTCCATTAATTGTTCGGTAAAACTCGTAAGACCTGGTTCAAATTCAATCACAGACTCAACCTGTATTTAAAAAAATCCATATTAGTATAACACCAAAACTGCTTTGCCTGAAGCAAGAGAAGCATTATTACTGTCAATTAAATTAAAGAAAAAGTAATATATATTTAAATAATTAACCGATTTCTAATTATTCCTCTGTTTGGGACAAATGATTTTTACTGCTATAAAATATGTCAGTCAGTGGCATATTTCAAGTATTTACATGATCTAGTCTGTGCCATGTCAGTCACTAAAATGGCTGAAAACTCTTATGTACAATGAAATGAATAATTTAGTGCTGACAGTTTGTACAAGGGATCAATAAACAAAGTGCAGTTCGGGAAGACTTGCGTGGATTGAAGTTGAACAAATAGACACATACTACTTACAAATCTCAGACACAAGGACTTTGGGAATAATTAATTCATATTGCAAAGATTAAGTATATTACCGCAGAGTTACGACGTCATAAATCACGTTTTCTTTTATAACAAATATAAAATAATATAACAGACATTTTCAATAAAATGTCTTTTAAAGAATTATTTTTTAGAAAGACTACGATCGTCTCTTAGCAGTAACTTAATCTTTGAACAGTTATAGAATTATTTAAAGTATAGTATTTAGATTGAGGTCTACTTACCCGGGCTATTACGATGTTAAGTTACTTGATTAGATTTAGAAGTTATTAAGTGACATGTTATTACATGACCGGGGGACAAGACGAAAGCTCATTGACAAGTTGTGCGACATTTTCGATGAAGTAATATAGGGGAATAGAAATCTCTTAACTCAAGATTTTTCAAGAGGTCGAATCGATGCATGCAGAAGATCAATTGCTGTACTTGATGCAAGTAGGGATCGTGGATAAAAGTGTAACTTTTAGATTTAATTCGACGACGAGGATATTCAGCTTTAAAGGATTTACGGGGCACCTTCTACCTCTATGTCATCCATTTGTAATTGCAAGCAAGCCGCAAAATATCCGTCTCGAGTAATCACCGAATACACACTTATCCATGATCGTGCGACAAACACAACTAACGTCAGGGTATCTCCCAGGCGATTTTTTTATCAAAGAGAAATGATGAAAATAAATAATTAAATTTCCTTTTGTAATCGTTTTGAGAGAACAGGAAGTCAGATGTCTTGAGAGGCAGAGACGAATCCAGGTTTCCGGAAGTATACATTTGGAATGAAAGACATACACTGTTAAAAATATTCGTAAAATTCATACACCTTTGGTACACAAGGTTGTTGCAAAATTATAAATTTGCTGTATTAGCTTTTAAAGTGTGGAGCGGGGAACTGGAGGTCTGCCAAATTCTTTTTCTTCTAATAAATTCAAAAACAATTTAGTTTTAATACCAGAGAATATGCTTTTGCCTTAACACAAGACAATTAAAATTATTTAAAATTACTTTCAAGTTCCGAAATTAAAAAAATAGTTTTAAAAGAAAAATTTCGAAAAAAAATGGAAAAGAAAAATTTCGGAAATAGTCGTTGTAATATAAATGTTAAAAGTGAATCAGTACATGGTTATTGTAATTTTTAAATAAATTCAAAATTTCATAACAGTATGTTATAATTTTGTAAAATTATATAGGAAAAGGGCTACACTTGTCTACTAAATTGATAACATGTGTTTATGAAACATGTAAATAAAATAATATAAAATTAGCATATCATGTCTGAATAGATGTTCCAAAAATGTGTAAAGTTACAACTTTCTTTTTAACAGTGTAGGGCTTTAAAAAGAATTCCCACGAGATAAGGGAAGAAAATGGCAAGTATCACTGATACTCTTTTTAAATTAATCTCTTCATGTGTTACTATTATATTTATATATCATCCGGCACTCTAACAATTTGAAGTCTGAAACTCTCGAAAAGGTCAGAATACAAACTTTGGGAGGGATAGAAGTTTTGAAAGATTGAAAGTTTTAAAAGGGTGCCGATTTTGTACTTAAAAATCCTGAATCTGTCTCCGTTGGAAGGCGAAATCAAGTATAGATTTCAAGAGGGGAAGTACCTGAATAGCACTTGGTATACCGTGCAAACAAGCTATAACATTATTTCGTTCAAGGCGTGCTTAGGAGAGTGCGTAACCCACATGTACTTTAATCTCCACGTCGTCTTCTAGACTTTGAGACGTAGTCTGGAATCGGCCAAGCAGAGCTCGCCCATCGGTGTCCGAGCTGTGTATGAAAATGACTTTCATGTAGTTGAAATGCTTAAGCAACTCAATCCACACATCGGCTTGATGAGAGTATGGAGGTACCGTTCGCAGAAACGACACGTGGATGTTCTGAAATGATAGTAAATATATTTGTTAAATTCTCCTCCTCGATAAAAATCTAAACTTAAATAAAAAATTTCCATCGTTTCATAAAGCGAACCAGGTTATGTTCTGTCTCCAATCCCAAATTTTTTATGTCCGGTTTTCTTCAGCTTGATTTATGTTTCCGCTAATGCGCTAACTTAAGGTGATATGAAAGTGGCATCGAAGAGATTTTGTTTATAAAACTTTTCTCCCAACTCGATTTACCGAATAATTTGAAACTTTACAACGTGAATAGGGAGCATATAAAGAAGGTCCCGAAACTCATGAAATTTCAATTCTTTTCAAATTTGTTTATAGGTATTTTAAAAATAGTATATAAAAAATGAAATTTTGCGAGTTTCAGGACCTAACTTAGGGTCTCCATATCCACGTTTTAAATTATGAAACGATTTGAGATACCCAGTTCGTAGAATAGCGTAGAATAGTTCGTAGAAAAGTTTTATGAACGATTGAGCTTTCGGATGCCACTTTCACATCCCCTTAAGCCGAACGGAAAGTGGTATCTGAGGGATCAATCGTTTATCAAACTTATCCGGTCCGGTAAGAAAAAGGAAGCAGAATTGAATGTCTTTTATATAAAGAAAAATGTATTTAACTCACTTTGTCGGAAAATGCAGAGTCCCTGGAGGAGATACCAATGACTGGTATGTGGTAAAATCCACTCGTGTATGAAACAGCGGCCGGTGATAAGTCTCCCGTAAGAGGATGAGACACAACCACCGCGTAAACTCCCTCGGCGATTAAAAATCTGCAGACGTTTAACGCAGTGCGAATTGGATTGGAATCCATCTCGATGACGACGTGATAAAACGTGACTCCCTTGTTCACGAATTGATCGTTGAAATTAAGGTGCTATCGCAGATAAAACATTCGCTGAGATTTCATTAAAATTGAATTAACTGACCAGTAGAGTTTGGTGTTATAACTTTGCTTTATAGATTTTATAAATTTTGGAAACGAAACTTCTTATGTCACGGTAGTGTACGCTCGCATATTAAGAAAGACGTAATTAATAATAATTCCTTTCAACGTAGAAGTTCCGCTTCCAATGCGTGCGGTCACGCACGAATTTTTTGAAACTTTAGAAAAAATAATCACAAGAGAAATATGAAAACCAAGACCAGTGGATGTCTTACATCGATGGTGTCGTTGAAATAGGCCTCGCTTTGATTATTAGAGAGAACCCCGCCGATTTTAAAAGTACGAGGATTATTATGCCCGGGGGTCCGTGCAGCAATTGCAGGCCTGACTCCCTCTTGCAAAAGCAAAAGGGAGTAAATTAAAATACTTTTTCTGTTCAATCCCTCCATCCTGGATGCCTTGGACCTGAATATATGCAAATATAAATTCAAGCCTCAAGTCAATATGCAAATATAAATTCAAGACTCAATACAATATGCAAATATAAATTTAATAAAGAATTCTCCCCTTAAAGTAACATGGAAGTGGCATGAGTGATCTTGTTAGACATTTTTTTTTTCAAATCGTTTGAAATTTTATCACGTGAAGGAGGAGGCCCCAAAGTCTTCTTCAACCCATAACATTTAATTTTTCAAATTTGTTTATAAACATTTCTAACAGTTTTCATTAAAAATTGTTATTTCATGAGGGTCAGGACTTTTCTTACCGCCTACATATTTTTTATGATAAAATTTCAAACGATTCGGTAGAGTAAGTTCGACAAAAATTTTCATATACGAGACCGCTCATGCCACATTCATATTACCTTAAGGTGATCATTTTTTAATGTCCTCTTTCATAATATGAAAGTGGTGTAAGGGGGCTCGTTTATGAAACTTTTCTCCGAACTGGGTATACTGAATCGTTAAAAATTTCTCCACATGAATATGAAGGCCCTAAAGAAGGTCTTGACACCGATGAAATTTCATTTTTTTCAAACTTGTTAATAAGCATTTTGAAGATTTTAATAAAAAATGAAATTTCATGGGTGCCAGGACCTTCCTTAGGGTCTCCACACTCACGTGGTAAAATTTCAAACAATTCGTAAATCCAGTTTGTAGGAAAATTTCATAAACGACCAACCTCTCGGATTTAATTTCCGTGTCGCCGTAAAATGAGTTTAGGTAAATGTACCTCTGATTGATGGGACGAGTGCCGGTGGAGCGCATGTCTACCTTGGTTGATGAACGTTGATAAAGGTGAAGAACACGCCCAGGAATTCGCTCGTGTGCTCCCCAAGGGAGTGCCGGGTTTACTTAACCGCGTTTATTCCCGCCCCTATTATTCGCGAAAGCGAGTATCTCCCCGGTGAGCAAGACCTCGGTGTTGCACTATTCATTATTGAATTTTTTCAGGTAAATGGAGCAACAGGGGGTGCAATTTACCTGCAGGAGCCGAATGGAGGGCGGCTTGGATCTGGCCTCGTACCACGGGCCAAGCCCGACGAAGTCTCCGCGAGATGCGCCCTGAGAACTCATTGATCCGGTCGGATGCTGCGCGCTCGAGCCTCCGCCTTTCTCGCCCCCAAAACTTCTCGACGTACTGCTGGGGACTCGAAATATTTTATAAACGGGAAAAGAAAGAGAAAAATCGAAATGCGACAGATTATGAATTCATTCACTCTCGGGATTCACGCCCTGTACATCAACGTATCGTTTTATGCATTCACATTAAGGGGTTACATCACGATGGAAGTCTGAAAAATCGAATTTTTTTCTTTTAGTTTAACTGATATAGTTTTTAGTTCGCACATGCCATTGGTTTCAATAGAAATATTTTATTGCTCGATGAGTCCAGAATGTAATGATGAATTTCAATTTTTCTTTTATTTTATGAACCAAATCAGAAAAATGAACATTTAACACTAGAACTACCGACGGATTTTTTTGTATAGGATGGGCCATTTGAAACCAGTCATTTTTACTGGTCTTGGTAGTTCTAGTGTTAAAACCGCTTCTTTTAAAGCAATATTTTTAATGTCGCTGGCGTCGATAGCGCCTACAAGTTTTATCTGATTTACTTCAAACTCTCATATCATTTTTCTTTTTACATTATCTAGGTCGGTATGTAGAAGTTTTGCGATATGCTTACAACCGCGAGTGCTAAATATTTTTATGTAAGATTTTTTTAGCAAAAATCGAAATCCTTTCAATTACGTCTCGTTTCCGTAAAAATGAATATTTTTAAAATATCTTACGTAGCGTCCTAGCAAATATAATATTATATAAAAATGAGACATTTTTGGTTTTCTGCCCTGTATCAAAAAGTGTACCCGTAATTAACGCTATAGCAACGAGAGTAATCTGAAAAGGCGTTGCAGCAATACAACTCCATACTCGTTACTTTATGTTAAACTATGCATACTAAATATGCACGTTCTTTTATACCTGTATACTAAAGTTTCATCGTTAAAACTTCCACTTAGCTTCTCCTTTTTTTTCGAAAAAGGATTACAAAATATCGAAATAGTTTTCAAACACACGTCGTGATGTAACCCATTAAATCATTTACGAAAGTTATACGGTCGGAATAGCAATAAATAGGTAGCCCAACAACTAAGTCTTGTTTAGAAAAAATTCGCGGGTGTTTGAAAACATAAAAAGTAATAATGTAAGTAACAGGATGTAGCTAAAAGTTGAGTTAAGATTTCGGATTGTTCACAATTTTTATTAGCACCCGTGCAATATGTTTGATCACAGTAATGCATGTTGTTAGGACGGCCACGTGGACTAATAATATCGGCGAAACCGCTCAATGATTGATCCCTTCAATCAACCTCCTCTGTTGTACGGTATGGGGAATGTCTCGTTTTCCGGTAATCCCAATAAATCGATATATAGCGTTGCGGAATTACCGGAGGATGGATAAGAGCATAGTTTCGTAGCAATTGACGTTCTAGAAAAAATTACGAATATTGAAAGAAAAAAAATGAAAAAAAAAAGAAAAGAATAAAATAAAAAGTAAAAATCAGGTCAATGATTAGAAACTGAAGTGAGATTTTAGGCTCTCCACCGATTTTATTTTTATCGATGTGATGAATTACATTAATGTATGTATGTATGTACGTTATTAGGACATTCTTGTGGACCAATGAAATCGATGGAACAGTTTTCTCACGACAGAAGTCGATCCTCTTGGAGTATATGCTCTTCTCAGCTGGCTCAGTAATTCGTCGTTTGGACCAATTCCCACGCGTGGTTTGATTACATTCAAAATTTTACCTGCAGAGAATAAAAGATCATTGTGACAGGAAAATGTTTCCCTCTACTGAAGAACAGGCGATTGTTTTACCTTCTTCGCGAAACATATAGATGTTGTACAAAGCTACTGCTGGGACGGGCATGAGTGCGAGGATCGACAATATCGTGGACACTTGCACCCCGTTTGTCGGAGTCCAATCTTCGCCGAGATAGACCCAATTCGCAATGTATATTATCTGTTGGAAATATTGTACGTACAATTACAGTTCATAGGTTATTATATTAATTTAGAGGATATAAAAGTTATTACAGTGCCTATTATTGGCCCCACAACCCATGAAATTTGGGTCAACAATGTAGGTCTGTAACCCAACATGAATTCGATATCGATGCAAATGTGGTGTAAGCCATAGATATACACAAATCCGAAGAGCATCATGGTCAACGTAATCGTAATTCCCGGCGCAAATAGGTGGTCCATATTCAACAGAAATGTGTACCCTTTCTAAATGAAATTCGAACAGAAGATCAATTGGATGAATATAATAAATATAATTAACTACGAGAAGGTTTCTCACCTTAGTAAGGAAAGGCACACTTAATGCCCAGCATGTTGAACATGCAAGAAAGTTGCGAATTGTCCGATATTTTTTCAACATTGGAATCAGTGGCACGCAAATATCCAAAATCGTTTGCAAATTTACACTCTGAAACATTTATTTTGAATTAGTACATAAGGTAGAGAAGAAATTTCTCCTTTCTTCTTCATATTAATTATACGTATATCAAGCAATATATCACATACGGTTACACCTAAGAATGTATCAATTAATTGTGGATTTTTCACACGTTACATTTTTAATTATTTAGTGTATTAATTACAGCTGTACTTACAATAGCATATATGGATATGACCACCACCGTGAAAAAGTAGCCGAATGTAAATAATCGAGAAGCATGCAATTTGGAAATGGCATCTGGGACGAGAATGAACAGCATAGAGTCCGCTGATTCGAAACGAAAAACTTTTTAGTTGCACGTGGTAAAGACTGCTAAAATATAAGTGGTAGATATTTTACGAGATACATGTTTCGTTCTTTTAAGATGACATGAAAGTTGCATCGGAAAGGTTTATCGTTTATGAAACTTTTCTTTAAAATGGGTGAACTGAATCGTTTGAAGTTTTACCATTTGAATAGGGAGGTCTTAAGGAAGGTGCTGAAAGTCACATTTCATTTTTATTAAAAAAAATTAAAAACGCGCTGGTAAACGAATTAAAAAGAAATAAAATTTTATGGGCTTTCATATCGCCTTAAGGTTTTAACTGAATTTTGACGTCGTAATAAATAGAAGATGTAAGGGAGAAACATACCTACCACGGTATCGGTGTTGTAGACGAATTTGTGGTGAGTTTGTTGCGAATAATCGCGGTCTCTCATCCTCATTCTTAAAAAAACCACAGTGCCAGTAAAGAGCGACGTAAGGGTAGTTATTGCGCAGATACGTAATGCAGTAATGTCTATCCTTGATCGGAATACGCTTTGTGAGCCGTATAATAGTATTATGCCATAAGTGGCACCTTGTATGTACAGAGAGTGAATTACTGCCGCGACAACTGCCTGTTAAGGAAAAAAAATAATCATGAAAGAATTGAGAATTCCTTAGCAAAGTGTTCGTACATCAACAACGACATCATTATTGTTCTAATAATTTAATTATTGATTTCTGTAAGTATAGAGATAGTTTCTATTCTCCTATATTGACTTGAATTGTATTCAATTTCCAAAAAACTTCGGCTTACAAGTCACTTTGTTTGTATTGGAAATTTTACGTTACGTTTCAACCCCCGATGTGGATCAACTTCAAAAACTGTTAAAACGTTTGCTGTTTTTACGCCCATAATTACGTAAGGCAATCAGTGAAACTAATTACCATAATTTTAAAGCTACCCTATGTATTTAGTATATAAAAAATTATTTAAAAATGTCTCCCGTAGTTAATCTATAACTATTGTACTACTTAGCGGTTGTCGAAACAGACTTAGTACTTTGAAACTAATTTTGTTGGGGATGAAATAGAAACTCAGTCCTGTCGAGGCTTCCTCCGCAGCTCTCAACATGTTAGCCACAAAGATAATTATCATAATTATGTAGGCGATAGGTATCAGTGCATACATTGTCTGTAAAAGTAATACATAATTAATTTAGATTCTCCATTCTCCTTTTCACTCAAACAAATATTTGTGACTGGAAAAGAAAATTTAATAAATTCGTTGCCCAATTGATGACTTAATGCATTGCAACTACAGTTCAATAATCATTTTTGTAATATCTGTACAATGTTTCTGCAAATTTTATTGAAGTATTTTAATAATCATACGTACGTAATATAATTTCAGTTTTCTAAACGTGAACAGGTACACCAGAAACCAGATTATCGTGAGGATGTAGATAAGTTTCGACAATTGGGAGTTGGGTTTGTTGTTGTCAATGAGGTTCGCCTGATCAAGAAACGTTGTCATCCAAAACACCGCAGCAGGAGTTTCCACGGAAAAATTGGCCATTTCCGAACATGTCAGGTTAAAAGTGACCTCAGGACAATAAGTCCATGGCATTGGCTCGGGTATGAGTGTCATGTAAATGTACACAGCCGCGTACGTGGTCAAAGCCGCATAGTGAATGATAAATGCGAAACTGAAGATGATCATAGACACTCCAACGCCTACGATGAACATTGGAATGACTAAAATGTTCTTTACATTTTGCGATTACATGGATAACGTTAACGTTACTTACCCTCAATTAAGGGACACAGCTGGAATACATATGGTGGTCCCTTACTTATGTACTGACCAAGATTTACTTGGAGAACGAATATCGGGTATGATACAACAATTGTTGCTATTACGTAGGAAAGCACAAAAAACCCTGTAAAGAAATTACTGTCTGTACTATTTTCAGAGGAAAATTATTATTTCATTCAGGTAGATGATCCATTTTAATAAGTAATTGCGGTATAATGGCACTCACCACCATTGTACACGTACACTTTTCTTGGGTACCTCCATAGCGATCCAAGACTGAGAGAGGCGGAAATCATCATTATGTAAAACTTTATTCTCCTATCCTAAAATGAATTTCAAAACGTATTAAAATGTCGATCACGTTGAAACGATAGAGAACAACGTTGTTAATAAATATTAGTTGGCAACGAAAAACCATACCGCGCACGGTATTCCTTCTACAGGGACTTGAATGTGATGGGAAGTATTCTGAAAAACAAGATTCATTTTTAGGATAAATTTGCGAAATGTCATCCTTAGTGATAGACAATGACGTACGTCTGCGTGATCCCTCGGTAGATGTATATCGACCACATCTGTAAATTCATTGCATAAATAGGTTTGGAAGTAATAGTATAAAATGTGTATAAGTGGATTTAATGCAATTAACATAAATTTGAAACCTTTTCTGCCTCCGTCGTCGATGCTTCCATATTCGTCCACGTCGTCGGACTGGCTGTCCATTGTGTAATCCAATTTCATCTTCGAAATTTCTTTTCATTCTCTTTTAGTGGATTTATTGGGCAGTTGCGGATATTTCCTACTAATATATGTACAAATGCCGCTGTCCAATTTTTTATAGTCATCAGATTTACATAATCAAAAATACTATAATAGGTTTTTACGAAGTCGTGGTCGGCTCCTTTTCTTTGTTTTCAGCCCGTTTCATTGCCTTCGTCTACTTTTTCCGGTTTCATTTTAAAGTATCTTGCACAACTTTACGATGCTACCGATATCTGTGAAGCCTTTTGCAATAGAAACATGACAGGACTCGCAGTTTGTTTGATGGGAATAATATTTATTAATGAAATCACTTCCAAAAATGTCTATCATTAATATCCATGCTGCTCTGAATGAAAGATAATGAATTTACAAATTGTATGGAACTTTAATGAAAGATAATGAATTTACAAATTGTGCGGAAGAGGTTCTTATAAATAATAAAGTATTATGCTGATTGCGGAACAACATCTCCAGGCGGGAATACTCGTGTATATTTGGACAAAGTATCTTTGGCAACAATATTTACGGTCTCGTCAAGTCAGTTTCTTTCTTCCTTTGATTATCGGTTACATAATTATTTTACCATTTTTATTTTCACATAAACATCACATTCGCGTCTGTGGCGAAACTTACACAAAATTATTATTTTGAATTTTCGCCTTGTTTATTTCTATTTGATCTCTTTCCTTTATCAACTAAATGTTAAGCTAATATAATCATTTAAATTTTCAGTGTATTGCTCTACAGATACACTCAGTCGCCCCTATCGAGTTGGAAAATCCTGATGAAAATGAGTACGAAAGGAAACGTACGATGACAATCTATTTCGAGGGGATAAAATCTCTCAAAGAAGGCACCGACATTACTCTGACTACGGTACTTTTACAACATAAAGTTTTCTTAAGGGGATGTGAAAGTGTCATCCGAGAGGTCGATCGTTCATGCAACTTTCTACGAACTGGGTGTACTGAATCGTTTCAAACTTTACGACATAAATATAGAGACTATAAGGAAGGTCCTGACACTCGTGAAGTTTTATTGTTTATAAACAATTTTGAAAATATCTATAAATAAATAGTTTAAAAATTGGGATTTCGTGGATGTCAGGATCTTCCTTATAGCCTCCATATTCACATACTCAAGTTTGAAACGATTCGGTAAACCCAGTTCGGAGAAAAGTTTCATAAATGCGACCTCTGTGATGCCACTTTTATATCACCTTAAAACTAAGTGAAACTACAAATATCCTTCTAAATAACAATTAACAAATAACAATGACATAAGTGTCTCTATATTCCGTGAAAATAAGCCATTCTATCCTTCAATTAGCTTCCCTTAACGTTTCAGACTTTGATCCTCTTCCAAGGTCTCCGAAAACTATGGGACGTCTCTCACGAAATCGTAGCATATTTTGGGTTCACGGATTCGTCCGGCATTTTCGAAAACGCCGTCTTTCTGACAATGATGAACAGCTTCCATTTCCTCAAAACTTTACCCTTTATCACGTACGAAATCATAATGGCTGACTCGCAACAAGAAATGCAACGCATCACGTTGACGGACATCTTTCTAGAGCATACGCTCATTCAGACTCTTTTGTTCCCGATCATATGTCTTATATTTTTCCTCTTTAAATTGCGTGGTAACAGTACGCTGTTATGCATTTTCTTCGTAACCGAGCTGGAAATCCTTTGGACATTTTTCGTTTCCGATCCATCCGCGTCGTTATATCGCGGCGAGCTTCGAACGAGCTTGAGCGCTTTTTTGCAAGATCAGGGATTCCCCCTACATGATATTCACGTATCAAATGGCTACGTGTGTTCAAATCACCATAGCAGAATGTATTTTCGTGGAAAAACGGGACAGAAAATGCTCGTCCTGAGCGAGGACATTGCTGGTCCAAATTATCTATCAACCCTCGATGAAACGTTAACCACAGAAGAGGTCGTCGCAATAGCGGCGCACGAATTGGGGCACTGGAAGTACTGTCATTATTGCATCAATCTCGTCGTGAATCAAGTGAGAGCTTTATATTAAAATTGTACTTTACAAAGTGTTGTTTACCCACCATGCACACTATGTTACAGTAACATAACATGGAAATAACATGACATGTAACGAATGTTATTGAAAAGATATATTAATATTATATAACGTCGAATTATTACCGCTCGGTAACATTGCTACAAACTTGAAGCATTGCAGTTATATTACATAACATAACATATAACATGTTACCGATATGTTACGTATACGTTACATTATTCGGTTTATAACAGTGTTATAAAGCTGCGTAGGGAATAGTAATACAGATTTTACTTATATATTTATGTAAGTTACTTTACATGTTACAAACGCTATGTAATGGTTATATTATTGTTACGTAACCGTGTTGGTGGGTACTACTACTTTGCAAAAGTGTTTTACGTTTTATTATTTGCAGCTGTGCTTGGGTTTAGAGATGTTCTCCATGTTCTGGTTACTGAAATATCAACCATTATATACGGCTTTTGGTTTTGACGATACACCTACTTCCATTGGTCTCACTCTATTACGATATAGTTGTGTGACGGATGTAAGTTGTTTGAAATGAATACGCAAAGATTGTTAATTATTGGAAATTGTTGTTATTAGTTAGATATATTTATTGGTGCACATGTCCTTTCTACTCCGCAGATGTGCAGGTTCTTCGTAAGAGTAGTGAATAGAAGCACGGAATTTAGTGCGGACAGGCACGTGAAGGTACTAAGGAAACATCGACATTTAAAAAGTGCAATGATTAAAATAGAAAAGAACGACGGTTTGTTTCCAGTGCAGGATTGGCTCTACTCCTTGTGCTGTAATTTTCAGCCAACTTGTTATGAGCGTATAAAAGCTATTAATAATTACATTCCATGAGGTAACGTGCAACCATAAAAAATAACCCTGCAAATCATAAATATTGCATAAAATATCGCAACTTTTACAATTACCACGTGCCAGTTCATAATCACTTTAAATTGTTGTGATATATGCAAATATTTATTACGTATAAATATGTTTAGTGAAGTGTATTTTAAATAATGTAATGTAAATAATAAATACACAAATCCTAGCGAAAACTGGGAATTTATGTTACATGAAATGTTTTCAAAAGTATGACGAGTACAGAGATTCCAATTTCAAATTTTCCCGCCAAAAATGTCGAGCGTAGTTTGTAGATAGTGGCGCTATTTTCGTAGACTTATCTGAGGCTCTCATTCTAAAATGGTCCTCAAGTTCCAGTTTTAATGGTCAGGGCGTCTATTACGTAAAGCAAATTGAGCGAAAATGTGAAAAATGAGTAGCTGACGGTATTACGGAACGTTTTTAGGAGTGAAAATGCGAAACCATTCATATGAATTGGTTCGACACAAATTTTTAGGTGAAATGGAGAAGCATACATACATATATAATAACAGGTGACGCAGAGGTTGGAACCAGATATTCCGATATTACATTTCTACAAAATCAATCTAGAAGTTTTGTCAACTATCTGTATACATTTAATTTGTGCAATTTTTTCTATTCGAAATGGTCCTGCCAGCACAGAAGCGGTGTATATTAATACAAGCCCTCCTCATAATATATGTATATATCTCATGGCTAACCTCAAAGATGGCAGCACACGATTGCGTTCCCGTTAAATAGCCTGTAAGTAACCTTCTACTCAATCTTTCATCCCAACCACCGGCAAATTAACGCAGGTGCAAGTGATTCGTGATCGCGTCGGTGCGAATAATTCGGAGCGGTGTTTTGTGAAGCGATTGTTGTAATTTAATTTTGCACGTTTACCCGTGAACATGCAGGGTACAATTATCGAAAATTTGAGCGGGAAAAAGCTCTCCGTACTAGTGACATTGCTAGTTATCGCGCAAGTGGTGTGCTTTTTAATAGGCGGCTTAATAGGTAAGCGACGGTGCGTCGGTCCTTTGTTTACTATTGATGCTTTCTTAGGCCACCCACGTTTTTAGTTCCAACACTCGTTATTCAATTATTAATGATTTTAATATTCTATCTTGTGATATAATATTATTATTTTAAGGCAAAATGGTGCAACAGTAAATGTATAGTTTTATAAGATTTTTTGTGTGATAACAGAGGACATGCTATTGAACAAAGCCCTTGGAAAATGTATTCACGAACCCTTATTACAATGTCTCAATGATAAGGTTATTCATATTTGCCTAATTAGCACCAACTCCTGCCAGCAGTCAAAGTATTCTTGGAACTCCCTGTAAGGACATTCGGATTAATGGAACTGAACCAGGGGGTGGAAAGTGGTTTTATTCTCGAGGAAAAGGTGCCTGTACAGCGGTTCATTCTAATCATTTTATTTACGATAGTTACCATCAAGCTTATGAAGTCGTATATACATTCCAGGTATTGCTTTATTGTGGAAACATTTGATTAGGTTTTAATGAAAAGTATGTGTAAGTTTTCTATTTTCTGTAGATGCCAGTGCCAAAGAATAGTTTGCAACTGGATTATTCACGTTGGCAACAGAATCTTATTGGTGTATTGCAGATAGACATTGTGTATGACAGTCAAATAGAAATTGGTAGGCGGTTCTGCTACACTTATCATGGAATGCATGTTATAAATTAATTAAATTATTTATTTAATTTTATACATGTTCAGCTCCAAGGACCAAAATAACACTGGATGCAAGATTGGCATATAGGAATAAGGATGATTCAGAAGATGCTTGGAAACCATATGCAGCATCAGTTGTTGAAAGGATTTTAGATTGCAGTATTCAAAATGTAAATATACATACCTTGACCTTCTGCTATTTTTTACTTTCTATACGATTGGTGTACTTTCTAACTTCAAATTTGATTAAATTATCTGATATGTAAATTAACAGTTGCTTTTTTCTTTTAGGAAAAAGAACAATACAATTACAATTGTAATATACTTCCATTATTTGAATTAGGATCCTTGCATCATGATTACTATCTATTAAATATACGCATTCCTGCCGATACTGACAGAAACATTAATCAAGGTTTGGGTCATATTACTGATTTGTGGCTCACTGTAAGTATTACGAAACATATAGCATGTAATCATTTAATGATGATTAATGTGGTTATTTTTACAAGTATTATATAGCCCTTTTTATATATGTGATTTTATTTTATATTATAGGTTATAAATCAAAATGGAGGATTTACAAAAGTATGGGTGAGCTTGAAGACAATCTATTTCCCAATAATTGCGTGTGTTCTTGCTTGGTATTGGAGGAGAGTAAATATGCTTTCTCGGGCTCCTGCTCTTTTGGAATACATGCTTTTGGCATTAGGTTGTGCCCTTACATTTTTGAATTGTAAGTTAAATATTAACTAGTATATTAACAAAAAAATTATAATTCTACTAGAGTATAAAAAATGTAATATTTTACGTTTGCTATTTAGTACCCTTGGAGTACTTGACACTTGCATATGATATGCCATTTATGTTGCTTCTGGGAGATATTAGACAAGGTGTGTTTTATGCAACACTTTTATCATTTTGGCTTGTTTTTGCGGGCGAGCATCTTATGGTGAGTTGATTCATTACAAAAATTTACTATCCAATTTTAAACATGACACTAATTTGTTCTCATTCTCATGTTACATCGAATGTTCATTGGACCAGATTCAAGTGAGTACTTTATCTTTTTGCTTTGATTTGATAACTTGCAAACTACTAACTTACATTGATTATATTTTATTTAGGAAGGAGACCAAAGAAACACTCTTAAGTGCTACTGGCGTCATCTATCTGCTGTTGGTGTAGGATGTCTTTCCCTCTTTGTATTTGATATGTGTGAACGTGGAGTTCAGTTAAGAAATCCCTTCTACTCTATTTGGGTCACAGATCTTGGAACAAAGTTAGCTGTATCCTTAAACACTACTTAGAACATTCTTGAACACGAACATATCCATAATTAATGGTACACCACTTGAAATTCGTTCATTGATCGATTTTTCCTTAAGTGATAAAATAGTTATCATTTATTATTCTGGCTGGAATTTCGGCTGGCATTTATTTATTATTTTTAACATATATGATATGGAAAGTTTTTACAAACATGAGTGAGAAAAGAGCTGCACTGCCCAGCATGAGCTCAGCACGTCGTTTACACTATGAAGGAGTAATTTACCGTTTTAAGTTCCTGATGATGACTACATTATTATGTGCTTCATTAACTGTGGTTGGATTTATTCTTGGACAGGTAACTGACAAGGTTTCATTTTTTACTCATTGTTTTTTTATCATTTATATGTGTATTTACGTGATCATCCAGGTGGCAGAAGGGCAGTGGAAATGGGATGAGGAATTGGAGTTGGAAATGACTTCGGCATTTTTCACTGGTGTTTATGGAATGTGGAACGTATATATTTTAGCTTTGCTCTGCCTTTATGCACCTTCTCATAAGCAGTGGCCCATTGAACCTTCTGGTAATTACTCGGCAACAAATATATAAGAAGATGAAATCAATCAGGTTTTAATTTAATTTTTATTTACGAATGAGTTGATATAATAGTAATTGTATAATATATCATTTTCAGAAAACAGTCTGAGTGAAGAAATAGAATTTTCTCGATTACCGACCGATCCTCATGAGATGTTGTCTTTGACAGCTTTCGCACGAAAAACGGCAATGGAGTAATTTTAATCTGAAAAGTTTTATACTTTTCCATTTACTAATAATTGCATGGTAGGCCTAGATCAATAAGGCACAAAGCTGTTGTGCAGTATTTTAAAGGTAAATTGACTGAGTGATGATGAATATTTTGTGGTTCCGTTTTATATGCATCATTCATTTTACTGTAACATCATCACTTAAATTTTTTATCCGTTACGTTTATTGCAAAAATCAGAGCAGAATTTTTTTGTGACAGAACATGTTCACTTGGCACAAGTACTTATATTTGTAGAGTTTTAATGTGCAGGGTAAGTACGAAGTCAGTAAATTTGGATAAATAGATTATTTATCACATTAATAAGTAATAACTATTTTGTTCAATGACTCCTACGGAAATAAACATTTTTTGGGACGGTAAACTTTGACAATCAATAGTTTGCAAACAGCAAAACTGTTGGATATTCATAAGTGATATAAAAAGTTTTATGTCCCAAAATATGAGTCGACTGATTTTTCTATGTACAGCAGGTTTTTATACGTAGCGTCATGATACATAGTTGATTAATATTATATTAGTGTTTATGAAAAATAGTGAGAATCTCAACAATATCAGTGCACAGAAGACGAAAAGTTATTTCAGACTGACAATTTTTAAAGAAAATTAAAGCAATAGCATTGTGCAAACAGGATATAACGTCTTAAATTACGATCATGTAATTATTTAATTGTCCAGTTTATGTCGGAGCCTTCCAGGGGTTTTTAATGTTTACAATTTTTATTATAAACACGCTCCTTCAGTTTAAGCAACATATCGATGTTGGGCATTTACTTGTGATTAACCTTTGAAGGTATTTGTGCATCCAGCTGCAGAATTAGTATTAGAGGATCAGTATTCAGTACTTATTTTTAGAACTCAATGTGCAAGTTAAGAAATTATCATTGTCATTTCTGTCATTTCATATTGACAGTATTCTCGTGGTGTACACGAGCAGTGATAGGCCAATTATATTCTTAGTATTCAATATCATACATTCGCATATAATTAGGTATTTAAATACTTCTTATAGTTATAATCGAAAACGCGTAAAAAATGTGATAGTGCAATAATATTATTCAAACTAATTGTGTTTGGCATATAGTTGAACGATTCTATTCTGACGTCATATAGTATAATGGTAATTAATAAAAATACAGCGAATAAACGTAGGAAAATGTGCAGGAAATCAAAATAACAAGCCTACGGAGAGCTTAAGACTCCACAAAATATTAGTTCGTAAGAAAGTTGGTATTAGGCATGCCTGAAAAAAATGTTTCTCAATGCTTAATCTAGACTAAACGTAGCTCCATCCACGGGGTATCATTTTGTCATGTCTACCATTTAAATATGTAAGGATAAATGTACCATTGTTTTTACAATATTGACTACCTTTTCGTAATTTTTTAAAACTTTTGTACTGCATTCTTCAAAATAAATGGATTCGCTGGAAAAGATTTTATCGATTCTTCGATTAACCCAGTTGATGCTTCACAACATCGATGCATTTATTTTTAATAATTGTTCATGTTCATGTATAATTGTTTACATTATATACTATTATGTCTACTTGACATTGAATCACAGTGTTTTTATGAATCTACTACTTTCTGAATATAATTTAAGACTTACATTTCCTTGGCAAGATGTATAAAAAATGTAAGTAAACATACAATGTGATATGTAGACGATATACGCATTTTAATTTTTTTTGGAATTAACTTCAACATTGGGATTTCCTAATTTGAACTATTTATAGTGGTCCGTTCCATGTTTACACATTTCGCTGTTTATCACTGTTGACTTTTGCTCATCTTGGGATCATTCCAGAGCTTTTCATCTCCTTCTTGATTAGGGGTAATTTGCATCATAAGGAAGTTTAATCCGATTTGTACGAAACGAGAGAGATTAAAAATATTTAAATAAATTCTGTACATTATTACTCTGTACGCTCAGCAAATCGATTAATACATACTGACCAAGCACATTAACGATAATTTGATCTTTCATTTCTTCTACGTATTTCAGTCTTTGAATAAGAAGTATGCGTGTATTTTGTCCGTGCATAAATAATGTTACGCCGGGCTATTTCTTAATTACCTTGTAAAATAACATTCCGCACTGATCCTATACGTACATATAAGTGAATACATGTATGAGTATACGGTATAGTTTAAAAGAACGACATACATCCGTGTTTTGTTTCGCCTGTGACAAATCTTCTCTCGCGGTCGTAGATCGCACGAAACGTCACGTTCGCGTGGAATGCATATTTTACACGAGCCGAGTTAGAAAGATTTCGCGTGTCCATAAAAAAGAGTGTTTATATTGTGCGCAAAACTTTCAATCCGCATTTCCATTGAGATTCATTCCCATCGAGATAGGAGTCTTCATCGAAAACTGAACTTCCCGGAAGGTTCTAGGTTACCCTCCTATCTCCAAGTTCCCCAAGCTTCCAGACGATTCCAGCCATCGACGCATCTTCGTCGAAGGTACATTCCATTTATTTAGCCAGCATTAATCGATTAAATTCAAATTCAAATTGTTCTTTCCGCCACGTGGTATTTACGTACGGCCCGCTATGAAGGCGCCATCATGTCAACTATTCCGAAGTCGCGGATACGGCAGGTGCCCGAGGACGCACCAATCGCGAGCCGCGGACGGAGCTGCGCCGCTCGCGATTGGCTCGCTTCCCCGCAGGGCCGTTATCGAAGCGACTCTACGTTTCGTACATTCTCGAAAGGGGCTTCAATCGCCAGCGGGGGGCACGAGGAAGAGAAGTCTCCGCGAGACCGTTCCTCCTCCTCTCGCTCGCGCGGCGCTTCTCTCTTCGTCCTACTCGCCCGACGCAACGAGAGCGACGGAGACGGAGCGAGTCTCCTCGGGTCCGGAGTGGGGGAAGCGAAGAAGGCAAGATTTTCCACGGGGGTTCCGCGTCGCGGGACAGGTGTCGCGGCACTCGACGGTGCGTTAGGAAAGAATCGTAGCGTGGGCGCATTCCTGGGACGAGCCGAGCAGGAGAGGCCAGTCGCGTAGCGGAGTCAGATGTATCTCGGTCCGTGGAAGTGACAGGCTGCGCGGGGGTGCGAGCGAGAGAGACCGAGTCGAGGAAGGGTCGTCGGGTCGTCGGGTCGTCGGGGGTCTCGGCGAGGGTCGCGCGCTCGGTGGTCGTCCGTTGCGAACGGGCCCGCCGCGCGACGGTGGAGAGTCGTCGGTCGACGGGAGCGAGATGACCCGCTAGCCCTTCGGGTCCTCGCTGGGTGCGCGCGGACAACGGGGAGAGGAGCGGCGACGTCGGAGCGAGGGAGAGAGAGCGAGCGGCGCCACGCGGGTAAGAGAGGGACGGAGCTAGAGCGCGAGCGAGAGCGGTGGCGGACATCCTCGACGAGAGGACGCGCGCGAGGGAGCGAGAGAGACGGCGCCACTCGCGGAGCGAGCGAGACAGAGGGTGACCGTCGCGGTCTTTTGTCCGGACGGAAGGCCGAGCTCGAGGCCGATCGCCTCCTGGAGTCGTCCCGCGACTCCGCGACTCGGGTAAGTGTCGACGGGCCTTGGAACGAGCCCGGTGCCCGGAGGGGGACGACGAGCCAACTCCGGGGACACCCCGGGGCGGCCGCTCGGCCGACTCGCCGAGAGGAGCCTCGAGAGCAGCCGAGAAGGACGCGAGTTCCTTCGCAGGCGGGAGGCGAGAAATATGTCGTCACCCAGTGCTGGCAAGCGACGCATGGACACCGACGTTATCAAGCTGTATCCTTGAGTATGGGAGAGTCGGGAGAGGACCGTGCGTGAGCGTAATCGCGGGCCACGGGAGAGAACGAGGAAGCGGGACGGCGATACCCCGCGGGAACGGGAGGGACGGAGAGAGGGAGACCGCGGCCGAGCCACGCCGGACCTGGCCCTTCGGCCTTCCCTTTTGCCGCTCCGTCGTCGGGGCGCTGCACGTGGGTGGGGTTCGAGGAAGTGCGGGCTTTCGCCGAAAAAGGGATCCGTATCGACGGGTCGACGGTGCGCGAGCCCTTCGGTCGATAGGCCTCGTCCGCTGGCATAGAAGCGGCCACTTAACTTCGCGCTGTGCCGATGACGGGACAGCTGTTTTTAAACCAGCTGATTGCGCGGCGCGCGGCGCCCTGCCTTACCGACCGAGGGGAAACTGCGCACGCTGCCGTTGAAAGTCGAGGCGAAGGAGCGTGGCTTCCCCCGTTGGCAGGATTGTTTTTTTTTTTTCGTTCCACGGTCCTCGTCCCGTAGACGTTGTTCGCTCTCGTGGCACGCGGTGGTACGCCGTCGTTTTGGCCGAGTTATGCCAACGTCTTTGCTCTGGCCGAGGAAAAGTGCTGCTCGTTATCGTGCGAGGGCTCCACGCTCGGAGGGCCGAGCGAGGAACGAACCGTTGTTTATCCTTTTTGCGTTGTAAACAATTATGGACTGGTCTCGATGATGCTTTTTTTTTTGGAGGATCACGAGGAACGACGTGAAGTGATGGAAAAGATGCAGAGAATTGGTTAACGGATTTCCTTCTTGTCTTCGAGAGTTCGCGCAAATTGGCCTTCTCGCGGCTGGTTTTTTTTTTCCTTTGTTACCGTGACACGTCGAATGTTGAAAATGACGGGGCAGAGGAGGGCTTAACGTTTTAGGGTTTCGCTGGAAGTTGGGAACGGCGGGGAATATTTGACAGTTAACGTTTTGGTCAAATTTCTATCTTTGACCGTCGAGGTAATGTCTAGAAAATCGATGTTTCGAATTAGGTTGAAATTCGTGAAAAAAGGGAACTGGATTTTGTTTGAGTATAAAGTTACTCGGGTATACCTTTGCGTAAATATGATCTTTATGTTTTAAACGGTCTGGTACCGTGCGTGACATGTACGTGTTAAAATCGATTCGAGTCAATAAAAGAGACGATTTTCTGCTTCCGCAGAAGTTCGGAGTGGTCAAGGATTCATTCGGAAATAGCCGTGTATACTTTATTTATCGAATATCTTAGGTTGGGTAAAAATCCGCGCTGTCCAGGCTGGTAAACAAATCCGTGTAGGAATTTTTTTTGTCTTGTCTGCCTTCAATTCCAGACTTCTTTCCCTAGCATCACAAATGACGTGCCGGGGATTGAATAATCGTCGTGTCAAAAGTTCAGGCGTTTGTCGCACGCGGGTCGTCGATACTCCGTCCGTTGCATGTAAATAACCTTTGACAAAGGAAATGGAAAAACTCGAAAGGGTTCTGGCGATTCAATACGGAATACCTGAAATGATATATCCTTTTCTTTTTTTTTTTAATCGACTTTTTTCTCCATCACAGACGCAAAATATTCCTTCAAATAGATTACAGGTAACGAAGAAATTGATTTACGCGAAAAAATCTGAAAATTAGGAGTCGTCGACGATTAGGGGAGTAAATTCTTGAAATTCCTCAATCCCCACGACCACTCGTAATTCACCCGCATTTCATACATACCGCGCAGTTAAAACGCGACGTTCCGCACGCGGCTGATGACAGATTTTAACAGCCTTTCACCTGATATCTGAAATAAAATCGAATGAAGAGATGGAGGGCCATTTCTCAAGTCGGCAGTGAGCGGTTTACGACTATCGTTTGCCGAGAGAAATAAAAAAAAAAAAAACACCCTTGACGATCCCAACCCTTTGCATCCGCACGACGCGTTTTTGCTTCGGCGTGCACGCATTCGACTTTTAAGCGCACGCTTACGTCGTGATGCGAGGCTATGCATGCAATGCAATGCAATGCAATGCTGTGCCTACGTAACGTGTCGAAAGCAAACACACGGAAGTGCACGGTGCTCTAATTCTGTACTATTGAACACGATGCATTGCTACGCGGTGAACGTGACCTCGTGCTATCACTCTTAGAAACGTGTCGTGCAGAATATATCAGATGGTGTTTCTAGTCGCGTTAAGTCAAGTGCTACGTATAAAATTGCGCAGATTGTAAATGTTTTTATATCTCATGCGTTATACATCAGATGGGATGTGGGTTTAGATTCATAAAAATTTATATTCTAAAATTTGCATGTTTGATATCGCAAGGAAATGCGTGGAAGTGCACGGTGCTCGGATTTTGTGCTATTGAACACGATGCACTGTTACGATATGAACATAACCGCGTGTTTATCATTTTTAGGAACGAGTCGCGTAAAATATATCGCATGGTGTTTCTAGGCGCGACAAATTATATGCCACGTGTAAAATGGATTTTAAACGATTTTATATCTCACATGTATTATACATCAGATGGGATGTGGGTTTAGATTCATAAAAATTTATATTCTAAAATTTGCATGTTTGATATCGCAAGGAAATGCGTGGAAGTGCACGGTGCTCGGATTTTGTGCTACTGAACACGATACACTGTTACGATATGAACATGACCGCGTGTTTATCATTTTTAGGAACGAGTTGCGTAAAATATATCGCATGATGTTTCTAGGCGCGAGAAATCAAGTGCCACGTGTAAAATGGATTTTAAACGATTTTATATCTCACATGTATTATACATCAGATGGGATGTGGGTTTAGATTCATAAAAGTGTATATATTAAAATTTGCATGTTTGATATTTCATTATTTTTCATCATTTTTTGAACGTAGGGTGGAATGTATCGCATGGTGTTCATACCAGCGGAAGCGAAGCGTGTAAAATTGTAGATTGTGACTACATATTTAATATTCCATATAGGATTTACAAGATAGAATGTAGGTTTAGATCCATTGAAATGTATGTTCCAAAATTTGCACATTCGATGTTACAAGCAAATACGTGAAAATGCACGGTGCTGCAATTCTATGTTATTGGACATAACACGCTGCCACGTGAACGTAACTTCGTGTTATCGCTTCTAGGAATGAACACTGCGGGGTATATTATACGGTGTTCGTGGGTCGTGAGGTGCTGTGCATGACATCGCAGTTTGTAAAACCGTGTTATTTTAAATGTTTCCATGTTTCATACATGTTGCACGAGATCGAATGGAGGTTTAGATCATTCAAAATTTGCATATTCAATATCGTAAGCGAAGGCGTGGATGTGCACGGTGCTCGGATTATGTGCTGCCGAACACGATGCACTGCTACGCCATGAACATGACCTCGTGTTATCGCTCTTAGAAGCGAAAGTGCAAAATACATGATACAGTGCTTCTCCGCGGTTCGTCGAGCGCTACTTGGAAAATCGTATTCCAGCCTGTAAAAAATGGGCGTTGTTAAACATCTTCATGATTTATGTACCTTACGTAAGATAAAATGTAGATTCAGAGCTAAAAACTCCGTCAAGAAATTGTACATCACAATTTACATATTTACATATTCGGATAATGTTTTTATATCTATGGAACTATACAATGGCGCGGAAAATTTTAAAGAAATGTTATGCAATCTCGTTAAAGGTGAAATTACACGTATCAATTCTCTGCAAATGCTTGATATAATTTTTGTAACGCCTTCGCACGCGATATCGGCAGAATTAATCTATGCTTCTCTGCATTGCCCCCCCCCCCCGCCCTTGTGGAAATTAACTACCATCCAGATTTACATAAATCGGTGCATATGTTGTTTCAGGATGATTTATTTCTTAAGAGGACATGCATTACCGTTAACTTCCCGCGTAACACTTTTATTCATACAAAACTTCTAACCTTATCGACAGAGAAAAAAAACGCGCGCAGTTTAAATTGCGTTTGTTTATTTTTCTGATATTAGGATTGATAATTAATTTAACGGCGGGCAAAATTTAATTTTAAACGCAAGATATATGTAAGGATATAATCGATATTAATCATTTTGATCAGCATAATATTTAATAATAATTACTTATAAAGAAGAAAAGAACCCGTAAAGGTGTGCGAGCGACGTTTAACGCAGCGGAGAACATTGTTTTTAAGTTTCGCGCGGTCGGTCTCGTATTGCAAATATGATGAAACAATACCGCGCCTCTTCGCGTCGACCGGGAGCACACGAGAAAAACTCTTTCACTTAAGCTACCGCCGGGCGATAACCCATTGTTGACACCCTAGATTAAATATCTAGAAAGTAACGCGCGTTAGCGGCATTGCTCGACGTTGCGTGTACGTCCTTTCGGTGTAATGAGGGGAGAGCTGCGCAGTAAATTCTTGGCCGCGGACGAGATTTCGGGAAGACGAAATCAGTAGCCCTAAATCACGGACGAGTAACGGCCGAATCACACGATCTAGAACTTTCCGGTGTTTTTATTTTTATTATGTACACAACGACGACGATCCTTCCAGTGACTAATCGTTCCGAGCCTTGGTCAACATCTCCGCTCAAAATTCCAACTTTCTCTGGAACGCTTTCCTATTAATACCCACTGCGACAAAGCGACCCAAAATTTGCTGAAATTCTGAAAATGGATACTCAAATCTATCGGATGTCCTAAAGAATTCATACACACTTTGGATGACCGTAAACGTAGTATTTATTAAAATATGCCTAAGGTTGAAACTCCAAATAGAAAAAAAAAAGACGTGTGGCATTTTTTTTTAATCATCGCAAGTGCTCAATTTAGTGGCTGTTCTGGTCCAAGCACTGCTGAAAATGTGATGGCCTAAAAAGTATGAAAATTGTGAGGATTACGGAGTGTAAAAGTGTGTGTACGTTTGTGGAGGGGGAGTTTCATAAAAGTCAAATTTGTGTTAGTGGAATTCCTGCCCGAGTGAAATGCGTGTGCGTGAAATGGTCGGCTACGTCTGTTATCGTCTTTTGCGTTTCACTTTTCCCCTCGCA